CTCAATCCATGACTGGTTGTGGGGGACGCTGCTGTACACAATTGGCTGCTGCGTTTCGCCCACAAAATATAGTCAATTCGCTTTGCAGTATAGCCTGTGAAGCGCTTTGAGACGTCTCGAAGACTTGATAAGGCGCTGTATCAAACGCAAGGATTATTATTATTATTTTTTTTTATTATCGGTATTTAGGAAACTACTCAAAGTGGGGAGACAGGAGGGTTGGGGGGTTCTGGAACGAAGCAATCGAATATGCCAACGGTTCCCACCTGTTCCCATGATCTCTTTCACTCAGTCTGACCTAATGATTGTCCGTCACACTTGCTCATTTATATGGTGAATATAAATGCGCCATTGAATGGCTGCCTTGCCATCGCCTGACAGCCACCCGTTCCTCACCCAAGCTGCCACCCAAAGCCAAGCATGACAGAGTTACAGACTGCATGGTTCGGGGGGTAAGGTGCCGGGCTCAGTGATCTTGCTAAATGAGCCTGCTTTGTATTCCCCAGACAAGCGAGCAATGTCAAGAGTGGCTGATATCACATTCAAAGCACAGAGAATAAATATTTAGCAACTAGCGAGCTGGCAGGGTTGATCAATTTCTCAGCAAGGTGTCTGCATTGCAAAAATAAAATTACAATACGATAGAGGCAGCAAAAAGTGGAAGCGTTTAGAGGTAATGATCTTGGGATCAGTTTCATCTCGACTCTGGGTTGTCGATCTGTTTACACACTTCTCCAGCCTGGGGTCCTGCATTTCAGGATCGTTTGATAAAGATTTAGCGAAATGTCTCATTTGAAAGGCTGACTTATTGCTCTGTGCCTTCGTGGGAGCTGAGCCTCTGTCTACCGGCAGGAGCTTGAAGAATTAGATCTTACTTTCCGCATTAATCATCCCTACACTGACATGCCATCTTCAGTCTCTATCTCACCAAACTATAAACAACTACCAAGGATTAATCACAATAGATGAATTATTGCCCAGTTCAATGAATGGTTTGAGCGCCTCCAATAATAATGTGGATTTTTGTAACAGCATTCTGGCAAAGGAATGTTTCCAAGTCCTTAATAACAACAGAATGAGCGAGAAGTGGGTGGAATTTAGAGTGGACCGGTCGAAGAGATAGGTCTTCGGAAGATTTCTGAAACGAGTACTGTACTGCGTGGAATCCTGTAGTTTACTGGTTTAGAGCACTCGCCGAGCGAGCGAGAGGACCTGGGTTTGATTCCTGGGCAGGGCGAAACGTTGGGTAAATTTCCTTACTCCACACGCATCTTATTAAGTAGCAATAAGTAGGAACCCAGTTGTTAGTCAATTGGTAGATCGCTTTTCCACGGGTAATAATCCCTTAAAAAATATACTCAATCCACGACTGTTTGTGGGACGTTGCAGTGCGCAAATGGCTGACGCGTTTCATCCACAAAATATAGTCAATTCACTTTACAGTATATTCTTTGATATGTTTGATAGCTGTGATATCAAATGCAAGGATTAGTATTTGTTATTATTATTACTGTTGGAGCAAAGCCCGTAGTCAGGTTGCATTCTTGCCGGTGGTATTGCTTTTCGCTTCAGTGCCGTGAAACACCGACAGGAATAGCGGCTCAGACGAAGAAATTCTGTTCTTCTGGGCAGCCCGAGCGCAGGAGGGAAATCGGATTACTTTTTTTTAATCCAGTAAGCGCAGCTTTGTGACCGATATTACACGAGACAACCTCTTGTAGAAACTAACAAATCTGGTCAGATAAAGTCGACGCAGTGGGAACACCCAAGCCGTTTTGTTCGGAACTTTGCAGCGAATACCACAGCCCCGACCTGGGGACCTCTCTCCAATCGACGCCCGGGACTAATGGGAGGCTCACAAGCGTGGGTCTGCATCTCATGAGTCTGCGGAGCCATTAACCACGAGTAATTGTCTAATTAGATGAAACAGATTGCTGGATTGTACCCGTTCTGGTGTTTGTTTAGAATCAATAAGATGATTGACGGAGTTGGGGTTAATTATCACTGATGTGTGTTTATCGGCCCTGGAACAAGGGATGTGTAGGTGTTTCTGGTGCGGGTGGGTGTCTGACAGACACATGCAGGAACCCACCACTGTGCTTTAGTGTCTCCAAACTAAACGGAGAGTTCCATGTGTCCCACTTACCTACAGGTGGAAATTCCAGAGATAGATTGTTGGAATGGAATACGCACTCTCTCCCTGGAGGGACCCCAGAGTGTGTGTTGGGGTGACTGCTGGAGTCTAACCAACTAAACCTGCACAGCGTGGCCGTGTTCAGCACCACCCGGAGCTCTGACATTGCTGCTAAACAGCCCCCAACCCCCTCCCAACCCCTGACACTCACGAAAAAAACATTTCAGTCCCAGGTGAGAGACCGGTTTATTACCCACAAAAGACTTTGTACAGTTAATATTTTACAACAGTTCACCAATCTTCAATTTCTATAAATAATTATTTGATCTCACACTGTTGCTGTATATTTGAAACATTTTCAGTATGAAATAACATTTAAGCCCTGTAAAGGAGCACTGTGGCAGCTGGTCCTGGGCTCGGGGCAAGGGTGGGGGGGGGGAACGGGGAATAGACGAGAGATATTAACTTTAGGCACAGTGCCATGATGTTGAACAGCACTGACATTTCTCCTTCACACAATTAAGCCAACTGGACGCGTTAAATGTCCTCTCTGGTGCTCACACTATACCCCACACTGAGTACCACATATTTATACACCTACTCCAACCAATTTGTGCTGGTGTCCCAACCCAGTCTGTGCTGAATTAACTGATCCAGTGAGTGAGTTGGATGAGTTATGGTTTGGAGAGGGAATTGTGAAACAGAAATCAATCAGAACTCACTCTCACTCCTGACTATGTTATTTCACAGCCTCCGCTCGTAACACCATGCTGGAATGTGTCTGTATGTGAGTGTCAGGCAATGACAGTACAAGCTTAGCTGCCATGCACCCCCCACCCAATCAAACAGGCCACTACCACACATCACCCAGACTCACGCACATAAAAAAACGGACACTCACTGGCGCGAGATAACGCAGGCCGGCCAACGCCTGTGGAAACGTAGGCCAGCATGAGTCATCCTCGTCGGCTTCGGGAGAGGAGAGAAATCTGCAGTTAGGGATTCTGTAAAAAAAAAGTGTTTGTATTTTTGACTTCGAAAAAGGCAGCAAAAAAAAATTCCCAATCTGCGAGTGTAGTGAGTAAGCGAGTAACTGGCCGCCTAAGCAGGAGTACGGATGACCCCTGCATCACTTGTTTAGCAACACACACAGCCCGGAGGCTCCTCAGTCCGATTACGCAACAGCCTCTCTCCACTGCTGACACTCTCAAAGTGAGAAGGTGTCAAATATCATCAGCCATCCTGGTTTGAGGACACCCACACAGACAGACAGACTCAACAGGGGTGGGGTGGGGTGGGGGGGGAAAATCAATCAAGTTTTTCGATATATAAAACAGTTTAAACTTGTGTATGTAAAAGCAAAATTTCAGAAACATTGATTGCCATCAGATTTTTGCTTCCTACGTTGCTCAAGAAAGAGCGATCTGTTGTTCATTTCCTACAAGTTTAGCAAGATAAATTAAGGGAAACCAACCCAATTTAGTTATGGTACAGAGCAGTAGTAATAATAATAATTCCGCTACTACTCGCATTTGATATAGTGCTTTACACATCTTCTAGACGCCTCAAAGCTCTTCGCGGAATAGGCTGTAAAGTGAATTGACTACATTTGTGAGCAAAACGCGGCAGCCAATTGCGCACAGCAATTTAGCACAGTAGCACAGATCTCACACACGGGAGAGGCATTTGTCTTACATTTGGGGCACTACTACCAAGTAAGAATTAGATGGACAGAAATCAGGCAGAGATTTGGTGACCCTAACTGTTTGATTTTGATATCCAGCTCTCGCCATCAATCGGACTGAAAATAGGAACCAGCCTGAAGTAAACTGGCTTGGAGGTAATAATAATAATCTTTGCATTTGATAGCACCTTATCTAGGCTTCAAGATACCTCAAAGCGTTTCACAGATGATACTGTAAAGTGAACTGACGGTGTATTTTGTGGGCAAATTGAGATTTTTTTGACTCTGAAATTAATGTCCTCTGAAGGCATCTGACAAAGAGAATGAAATAGAAAAACTGGGAAACTCCTCTGACAATCTTAATGAGACTGCCTTCGCTCCGGCACAAGCTCGCCTTTAGGGTAAGAATAACATCAGGCGCTGGGGGTGCTGTGTGGGGACTGGAAGAAAAAAAAAGAAAGAAAACAATTGTCCAGATCCAAAAAACAATGAGATTGCATAGAAGTTTTTGGAATGTGCACCTTTTTAAAATGAATCAGTCAAAAGCTTGCAATCACTTTGCCTCAACTCACAGGAACGTGAAGCACTCAGATCGCCTAGATGTTATTGCGTATACACAACTGTGGTACAATTTAAGCCACTCACTCACTCACCCAATGCTTGGAGAGCTCACACTGTTCTGTCTACCCCCACCCCCTGTTCTGAGGCGATCAGGCTTTCCTCTGAAATAAGCAGATGCGACTGAACACACGTGTCCTGCTCTAGGTTGCCAGCATCTTATTTTTAACGTTTCCGCTTCAGAAATGCTGCGATTCCCCGAATGTCAGGCGCACGTTTCACACACAGCAGAGATCAGGTATCACAGTCCAGCGCCACTCAAATCAAGCCACAATAACCTCTTGGCCTTAAGCTGTGGTTTAAAGTCACAAGCGCACAGACAGGTAGCAATCCCTTGTGCAAACCTGAGAAGCAAGAAGTTGTTCAGGGATCTCTTTACCATTAGTCTCTGCTGGAATGCTAGACGTGTAATTAACATGATCAAAGGCAAACAAGATTTAGAAGAACCACATTAAACTCCCGCTTGCTAAAATCTCACACCAGACCTTTAACAGGTTATATAAATAATTCTTGCATTTGATTGCTTTTCATTGTTTTCAGAGAGTGTCTAATATTTCTTTCTCATTAACTCAGACGAAGGTAAAGTCACTGGAAAATGCATCTCCTTATCAAGGTGTAGAAAAGGCCTCCGATTCCCGTCACGGTGACGATTGCTAGCAGTCGGACTGTCAGGAAGTCCAATGAGTCCTCCAGCTGTGAGTGCAGTTTGCAGGCCTGCCGGTAGGTGCTGGAGGACTCCCCCGAGTTATCGATCACGTGGTTTGCCAGCCTCCGCTTCTGCTCCAGTGGCATCTGCGCACTGATGCGTTGCTCCGCCTCCGTCTGCGTCAGTTTATTGCGCTTCATCAGCCGCGACAGCTGCGTCTGGGGGTCACTGCAATGGTGCCGACACACACACATACAAGGGAGTCAGACGCAGGTCACAAACGCACACTACACACACTACCACTAGCGCATGAACGATGCCGCATTTTACCCAGTGGGAGTCACGAGCAGCAATAATAATAATTCACCATCAGTGGTCAGGCCATTAGCCTTTCTGCCCCCCCCCACCCTGGAACTCCATCACAGTCCCTTTGCCTCCCCCCACCCCCCCCCACAAGGCCCGTCTCAAGATTCTGCTCTTTGACCATACCTTCGGTCACCTTCCTACTCCTACCCTTCCTGCCCTCCACCCCTCCTGACTCCAACCTGCAGCTCAGGTGCAAATCCTAGACTGTCCAGCGCCTTGGGACGTCAAAGGCACTGTGTAAATGTAATTTGTTGTTGCCTTTAATATGCCGTTTGACATAGACACACACTCACCAGTAAACAACTATCGTGTGCTTCATAAACTTCGTCAATTTGTTGGCCTCAAATAAGAGCGGAACATCAAGGATAACGTACCGATACCCTACGGACAAGACAGGCCACAGTTACACATCTGGGCTGTACGAAACAAATCAGTTTGTAAGCGGTTCCTTTTCGTTTACAATCTGATATTCCCCATTATCGTTACATCTGTCAATTTCTGAACACTGCATTTTAAGATCATAATAATAATAAATAGAAGCTACTCCCCCTCCCCCCGCCTTACCTTGTATAAAGTGTTTGAAGATCTGTTTCAGCATGGCTTTGTGGATTTCTGGGTGAGTGATAGAGTTGAGGAGTCCCCGTTTCTCATTGTCCGAGAAGATGATGCTGCCCAGCATCTCTCTGTTAATCTCTCCGTTCTCCAAGAGAATTTCCTTGCCAAAGTAACGCACTATTAAGCGGTACGATCGTGAGTTAAGCTGAACAACTGGGGGAGGCGGAAGAGAAAGAAGATTCAGGAAATTCCATTGCACTTTTTACAATCAAGGTAAAGCTCCCTCTACACCATCCCTCCAGCAACCCCAGTGTTGAACCATCTGCACACTTTTTGTGCATATTCTTAGGTCAGCTACGGTACACGTTAGAGACAAAGCAAAGCTTCTCTCTGTACATTATCCCACCCAGCACTTCCAGGTTAGCCACATCACTCAACAACTCCGTTTCACAGTAATGTGCTAAGATTTTTAAATTGCTGCATCACACACACAGAAAACTACCTCAAATATCTTACCCTCTCTCGCTATCTGATCAGCATCAATAACGGGACACCCAAGCTCACGGAACACAGCAGCTACTGAGCTCTTCCCTGAGGAAATCCCACCTGTCAGGCCCACCAGGAACATCGTGTTTCTGAAACAAGAGAAATGGCATGTTACTCCACATCACTGAGTCCTGTACATAAGCATACAGTTAGGTAAAGGTCAGCATAGAAGCAAACATTGTACATAACCAGACTTACATAACAGCAATCGATGGCTGTTAACCTGAGTGCCCTAACAAATGTTTTAAATTGTGGTGTGTTAAGCCACATTAATCAAGAAGGGCCACGGTTTGATTGTGGTGAGTGCTGAGTAAGGCAACGGCATTATGAGAAGATCTCATTATGAGAGGAGGAAAACACTGCACAGGGATTTCCGGGGGTAATAAACCCTTCAAAATAAATAAATAATATGTTCACTCAATCCACAACGGGTTGTCGGACACTGCTGTGCGCAATTGGCTGCCGTGTTGCGCCCATAAAGTGTACAGTAAATTCACTTTACTGTATATTTTGTAAAGTGCTTTGAGATGCCTCGAAGATGTGATAAGGCGGTATATAAAATGTAAGGATTATTATCATTCTTAAAATGCAACTGGGACCGCACTAGATTGGTAAATTATCCACTCGCTCAGACTATAAACAGCCGTTTTCTGACCTACACTAACCTCATGCTCTGTATACAAGCAGCTAAAGCATTGGGCATCGACCACGAGGTGAAACCAAAAGGTCACCTCACGCAATTCTAGTCTTGGCATCGCTCTGATGATTGATCAGAAACGGCTGGAAAAGTTGGTGATATTTTCTCAGCTATGATACGAACAGAAAGGTTCAGTCAATAACACCCGCTGAAACGTGCGAGACAAAACTCGGGAGGGGGTCGATATTAGCGAAATTTATATCCCAAAATTGAATGCTAAGGACCTCGGATTCTTCCACACTGTAGCTTCACTACAACTCAGCACATTGTCTGTTCCGCATGGAAGGTTAACTGTGAGATCCAACAGAAACATTTGATGATTTGCACTTACGTAACACACCTTTCACATAAAATGAACATCTTAAAGTACTTCGAAGCCTGCGTGGAATGCTTAGGCTAACAAGGCACATTGGAGACGTTTTTTTTTTTTTTTTTGACAAGCTCAGCTCTTGCAACGCCACTGCCCGTCCTTCCCCCAGAAAGATTCTTGCCTCAAAGCCACGGGATTTAACACAACGTGTGGCCACTGAAATATTTCGCAGACACTCTTAAGAGATGCTTTTAGGCGCAAATAAAAAAAAGCTCATCAGAACACAGCATCAGGAGGATAGGAACATTATTATTATTATTATGTGAATACGTGCAGCGACACGTTTGTGGGGGGACGTCGCCGCGCGCGATCGGCCGCCGCGTTTCGCCCACAAGACGTACAGTCAATTCACGTCACGGGGTATTCCTGCGAAGCGCTTTGAGGCGTCTCGAAGACGCGATAAGGCGCTGTAGCAAATACCGGGATCATCATCATCATCATCATTATTATAATAATAATCCTCGCATATAGATATAGCGCTTTTCACGTCGGGAGGACGTCCCAAAGCGCTTCACAGAACACACTGTAAAGTGAATTGACTGCATATTTGTGGGCGAACGCGGCGGCCAATTGCGCACAGCAATGTCCCCACAAACAGTCGTGGATTGAAAATGACCAATTTATTATTGTTTTTGTTTTTGGAGGGATTATTATTAGGCTCTGTGTGGAGTAAGGAAACTTGCCCAAGGTTTCACCCTCTGCCTGGAATTGAACTCAGGTCTCTCACTTGCAAAGCGAGTGCTCTAACCACTGAGCTACAGGACCCCACATTATGATCATCATTGCTGTTATTCCAGCGCCTCGGGACGTCCTCCCGACGTGAAAGGCGCTGTACAAACGCAATCATCTTGTTGTTGTTGTTGGTGTTGGGGAGCAGCTGGGCTGGGTTAAACAGTGCAGCTGTCAATCATACCGAGCCCCGCCCCCAGGAGACAGACCACGTGATCCGCCTGATTGACAGGCGGCGGTTCGCCGGGAAAAGACCCGGAGCGCCCATTTCCCGCCCCACTCCCGCATTACCGAGCTCCGGCCTAAACCGCCCGCACAAAACACACTCACCGCCGCCGCCGCCTCCTCCGCCGCCGCCCCCAACCAACCCCTCGGCCCTCAGAGCCCGTCTCCCGTCCTCGACTCCCTCCCCTCCCCTACTGCCCCTCCCTGGAGCTCCCGGCACTCCCCGTCCACCCCTCAACACCGCGCTCGCCCATTGGCCGCCCTCCAAACCAACTCAGCGCCCACCAATCAGCGGCCGAGTCACTCCGCCCGAGGTTGCCAGGCAACCGACCGAGGCGGCCCTGCAGGCCCGGGGAGTGGGGGGCGTGGCGGGCGTCGCCTCACGTGGCGGCGGCGCTCTCCAAAATAGTCGTCCCGTCCCCCCGTCCCCCCCCGAGACCAGCGCAGAAACCGCCGGGAATTTCATCAGCCACTCCTCAATGTCAAAACACTTTTTGAAGCGCTGCGCTGCGTCCACAACAATAAGCCTCACGTTCTTCGAGGCGTCTGAAAGCGCTTCGCGGGACGCGCCGTAGCGTTGGCAGCCAGTGGCGGGCAGCCGTACTCCCCTCAGTGGGGGCCACGGGGTTCGGGCCCCCCTCCCGCCCACCCCGGGTCAGAACGTAAGCTGACAGTGCAGGGCTGGGGGTGGGGGGGGGGAGTGCCGCATCGACACAGGCTCTGACCGAGACGCTTCGCACCGAATTATTATTAAATGGGAAAGTTCAGACTTAGCGTTCAAATCGCTCGCGGCGCCGCCGCCGCCGCACGTACCTCTGCGACCCGCAACCCTACCACCCCGGGCCGCTTCAGTCTGCTTCACGTGCCCCCACCATCAGCGGGTTAGCTCGCAGCCATTTTGCTCCTGCTCTCTGGAGCTCACCCACCCCCCGCCTCACCCTCACCCACCCCGGCTCCGGTACACCCCCACTCAGCTCACTGCTTTGAGATGTCCTCCCGGTGTAAAATGCCGCTCTATCGATCTACGTTGCGCTCTCCCAGAGGAATAAATCAAAAAAAAGGGGGAAGGAGACCCCCCCCCTCTAAAAAAAAATGTTTGACAGGGACAATAAATTGACAGGTGGGGGGGGGGGAAATCGGGGTGGGGCGCCTTAAGTTCGAAGTGCATTGTGGGAACCGTAGTTCCACGTGGTCCCGCGACCTCATTAGCATGAAGTGCGTCGCCAGCCGCGGGAAACTACAACTCCCGGCATGCCCCCAGCGACCCCCCCCCTCCACACCACCACGGAGCCCGGGGTGGGGGGGGACCCGCGTGCGCTGCAGGGTCGCCGTGACGCGAACACCTCCCCGGACCAATCGGCGAGGCTCTCTAATCGCGCCTCGGCTGGGGCCCCGACCAATAGCGAGCGGCGTTGTTGGGTTGGGTCGGGTCGGGTCGGTGGCCGGGACTGGCTGAGCTCCTTCCTCCCGAATCATGGCAGACGAGAATGAGACGGCGATAAAGGAGCACGACGAGTGCGGCAGCGACTGCGACAATGAGGAGGACGACGCTCATAACAAGGAGTACGTGCCGCCCGAGGGTGGTTTAGCGCAGCGTCGCTGGATTATCGAGGCCGGCGGCAGCCTCTCTCTCCCCCCTCCCCCCCCCCCCCCCCCCCCCCCGGGGGCTCCCAGGGTATCAGCGCTGCTCCGCCGCTCAACCAAACCTGAAGGCCCCGCCTCCGGCGCGCTCCCATTGGTCGGCCCTCCCGATTGACAGGCGGGCGCTCGGTGGCGATTGGTCGTTCGCCGCGTCCGTCAGCGGTGGGGCCTCGACTTCCGTCACGCCGTCAGGTTAGGTTTCACCTCCACTCCACTCCCCGACGAGAGTGAGTGAGAGAGAGAGAGAGGTCCACGGTTTGTGGTTCCCAAAGGGCGGACTCTCCCCCCCTCCCGCCCTCCCGCCTCCCCCTCCACTTCCCTCTCCCGCCCGCGTGCGGCTCGTGGGAGCGGCTCGCGAGGGAGATACGAGCCTCTCAAAAGTTAACGCCGAGAAGCGCGTGGTTTGGGGCGGGGGGGCGGGGGGGGGGGTCAAGGTTACCGGGAGCTGAGGCTCTGCTCTCTTCCTCTCTCTCCATCTCTCTCTCGGGGGGGGTTGATGGGGGGGGTTGGGGGATGTGGGGGAAAAAAAATCGTCCCCAATAATAAAAGGTGACCCATTTCTGGAGGCAGAGGAAGGGGCGTAATTATTCGCGCGTCGCGCACCCAATTGATTGAGGGCTCCACTCTGGGGTGTGAACGGCTGTACGTTTCCAGCTTCACCCTCAGACGTATTTGAAGGCTCTGAAGAGGCCTCATTTTTCAATCCCCCCCCCACCATACCCCACCACCCCCCCCCCCCACCACACCCACCCACCCCCCCCCACCATACCCCACCCCACCCAACCCCCACCCCACACGTCGACAGCAATGTATATGTTATCAGGCGCTTTTCGCACTTGATGGGGATGTCTCGAAAGGGTTTCGGACAACCGGGACTGAGCTTGTGGGGTGGGGGGTGGGATTGCCCCGGAGAAAGCCGGCTGCCGGGGCGGCGAAAGGGACGCGTGTTACGCGGCGGCTGTTCGCGCGCAGATGACCCCAGGTTTTCCACGTTGCGTGAGGCAAGCGTTTCCTCACACGCACCTCTCGTCCCAAGCGTTTAGCGATCCGACCCATCGAGGCCGTTACGGGAGAGGGATCCAGTGACCGTCACGACCTGTAGACGCGTTTCTGTTTTCGTCTTAAACTATTCCGTTGGCTGCAGTGAATGATTCTGAACGAGGTTTCTCCGTACGATGACATCTTGTTCTCGTGAACTTTAGGTTATCAGTTCAGTCAGTGCTGCCAATGGTAGGTTAGCCTCTGGTCAATGGGTTGAAGCGTTTTATCTTAGCGGGAATTTATGGTTGAAGGAATATTTGACTGAAGCCCAAACTCTTGGTTATATGAACCAGTAGCAGTTCTTTTTTATTTGCAGACTTGAACTGAAGTTTATAGAAATGCTGTTTGTGTAGACTCTGTCGGCGACTTTGATTCTGGAGAGTTTTGGGGGTGGGTGGATTTCTAAATTTTCCTTTAAAGAATTTTCAGTGCTGGAAATATGGTGTTGTATTTCTTCGCCTCCAACTAGATAATTACACGTCCGATATTTAATAAGCGTAATCTACAGATTTACCCTTATTTCAAGAGAGATTCTTGATCTAGGAGCGGCGATAGGATTACCAGCTAAGCAAGGAAAGAAATACATTGCAATAGTTTTTTTAAGATCCAAGTAGAAATGCAAATCCAAAAGCAGTTTTGTGGGATTATTGCTAAGAGTGCAGAAGCTAATCTTTCCTGCAGATTGGCCTAATACCACTGAATCCAAGCACAATAGGAAAGCCAGCTCCGCTGCACCCACCCGCACACGTAAGTGCCTATGTATCAATAGATGTCATGTCCTTGTGTTGTGGTTCTACAATAAGGGCCGTCTATTCAGATGGGTGTTAAGGATCACATGACGCTAAGAAAAGGGAGGTTCTCGCAGCGTGCTAGCCAACAATCTTCCAGATAAATTGCTCGTTTTATAACTATTTGTGAGACCTGGTTGTGTGCAAATTAGCTGTCACTTTTTGCCTACAAATAGTCATCGGACTTGACAGCAATTAACTGAAGCATTGGGAGACGTTTCGCCAAAGATGTAGGTGTTTCATCAAATGCAGGTATTAAGTGCAATGTATTTGCTTTAAGCTTCTTGTGTTGAATGATGGACATGAGTATCTGAGCATGTTAAGAGTTGCTTAAGATTGCATAATTCATTAAAAAACTAAAATATTAAGAGTGTATGAGAAGTCCGGGGTAACTTGCATTTTTTTATTAATAATAATATTTACATTTGGTATAGTGCCTTTCATATCTGTAGGATGTTTGAGGGCTTCAATGGGACATACTGTAAATTGTATTGCATTCCAATCACTTCGATGATATTTAATAATAATCCTTACATTTGATAAAGCTCCTTATCACGTCTTCGAGACGTCTAAAAGCGTTTCACAGAATATACTGTAAGATTAATTGACTGTACTTTGGTGAAGTGTTAGCCTTTAGCTGCTTAAGGTGCTGTCTCACAAAGCAGGTGAGGTTCTCGAATATGGGGTAGATAGATATTATTGTGAGAGAATCCTCAAATTACTAATATTCTAGTGTTTAATTGCACAATTCACCTTTATCTAACCGTGTTGCTTTGATAGCACGTGCAGAGTTGCACAGTGGAGAAGAGAGGGGGAAAAACTGGGCCAGAATGAAAATGTTCACATTTTGTTCCCAGTGGTGTTGTATTCCACTTTTTATAACATCCTTGTACCTTATTTGGTGATTTTAATGATTGTATTTCTGTGTGCGAGTGCATATACATCTCTGGCAAAAGCAGGCTATCTTATCAACATCAGTGGTATTGCTAAAGATGGGACTACTGGAGCCAGCAATGCGGTGATAAAACACAGTATAAGCTTCTGCTATTTTAAAGCCTTAATGTCGCTTTGCACCAGTGAAAGTGGTTCACTTTTTGGGGGAATCCTGAAATGTCATCTTGCCAACTTGTCCTAAGGTCCTAGGAATCTGGTTTGCTGGTCATCGGATTGGTTTGTGAGAATGAAATTGTTTGCACCGAGCCTGGGTGTTTCTGAAAAACTGAGCTAACATGAAAGTGACGAGCGTTTGAAGAGGTCAAGCTCGCTGAATTGTGCAGCCTCAACTAAGGCTGACTGAAAATGGAACACAGTTGAAACCCAATTCACGTGATAAAGAAACAATACACATTTTACGTGTAGAAAACCAGTGACATGTGTACAGTGGCAGTCGCAATTATAATCCATGCTACGTTAGGGGAGGGGCAAGGATCTTGGATTAAGTGTATTTAATGTGTGCGGATTATTTAGTGCTTCCGTTTTGTCCCAAGTGTAAGCATTATGATAACAATAATAATCGTTGCAATTGATATAGCGTCTTATCAAGTCTTCGAGATGTTTCCAAGCACTTCACAGAATATACTGTAATGCGAGTTGACTGTATATTTATGGGCGAAACGCGGCAGCCAATTATGCACAGCAATGTCCCACAAACAGCCGTGGATTGAGTGGCCAAGTTATTACTGCTTTACATATTTTTTTTCTGGAGGGATTATTGCCCCCGGAAAAGCGATCCACCAATCGACCAGCAACTGGGTTCCTACTTAGGCAAACGGAGGTGTGTGGCTTAAGGGAAATTGCCCAACGTTTCGACCAGCTCAGGTATCGAATCCAGGTCCTCTTATGTTAGTGGTTAGGTGAGTGTTCGAACCACCAACCTACAGGACTCCCATCCACAGCATTTGTCCACTTCCTCTTACTATTTATGATACAGCTGTCCTGCCACACATTCAGTCTGACAGCTGTACGCAGCACCATCTTCCTTCTGATCGTTTGTGATCTAATCAGAATCCTCCATTTTACTCTCCTCCTCTTGTGGGCAGTGGTGCATATGGGTTCCTTAATTGTCACAGCGTTCCAGAGGATGGGGGCAGAGAGACCGAAGGCCCGACAGCCGATGATGGGCGGACTGGGCGGGGGACGTGGAGCAGGCTGGAACCCGCTGAGCGGAGGGAGCGACGGGCGGATATGGCCAAAGAAAAAACACTTACCTTTTTACGGTGCCCGAACACGCGTCTCAAAGTGCTTCGCAAGGGGTTGCTGTCAAGTCTGGTGGTGAACTCTTCTTACTTCTACTCTACGTGGCCCGGAACGCTAGGGAATGAAATTCCTTTTCCTGCTAGTGGCAACAATTTTGATGATGTGCACTTCTCACTGGAAAACGCATCAAAATTGCCACAACAATAACAGGAGGAATTTCCCCTCCCTTTCCGAACTCCCCGCAATAGTCCTTGCAGCGCTTATCTGATACCCACTCAAACACATTGTTCTCCGAATGAATGATAAAGCTACCGAGAAACGCACAGAGCGTTCGACTGTGGCCTCAGTGGTGATCAGTCCGGCGACGAATGGGGTGGCAGCAGTTGATTTGTTAAGCTTCGTGTGGACGGGAGACTTTCATCTGTTGGAAGGAATAATCTTTGACCTTCAGAGCTGAGAATCTGGTGGTGTGTAAGCTGGAGTGAAACCCACTTGTAGTGAGAAATTGCACGACGCTTTCATTTCCAATTATATAATCCACATCGGTTGATAACAGGAAATCACTGTGTTGTCAGGGGGCCCATTACTCATCTGAGATGTTTAAACTGAGAGTCTGTCTGCCTGTCCAGACGATCATTAAATATCATTAAAACGCTATTTGAAAAGTGCAGGGAGTTTCTCCTTGTGTCCTGGCAGACAATCTTCCAGATAAATTTTGCCCACAAAATACAGTCAGTCCACTTTACATATACAGTATTCTGGGAAGTGCTTTGAGATGTCTCAATGAAGTGATAAGGCGCTGTTTCAAATGCAAGTATTATTATTATAAATTAGTCGATTCACTTTATGGCTGTTTATGGAAATGCTGTGGGAGGATTATGCATTTATTTCTGTGAAATATTTCTATGCATATATGTATATATATATAGAGACGGTGGGTAGGTGTGCTTTGCTCTTTTTGTTCCCTTCCTGTTGAGAACAGCCAAGTCTGCGCTCCGGCAAGTTCCCATATAAGGAACTTTGGTTGCTCTGGAGCCGGCCTTAGCTTGGCAGTATCACCCTGCAAGCAACACAGCCCCACTTGGTTGACAAACGAGAGAACGTAAGAATCTGCTGGCGAAAGAAAACCAAGGTCTGTCTAGTTCGCCTTCCGCCGTCCTGGCTTTCGCTTGCTATGTTGTGTCCCAAACTGTAGACTGTAGCCCTAGGTATTACTTTCCTGTCTGATGCTCACCGATCATACACACAACTGCCTTGGGTCCGTTGAGGCAAGAATACACTCGCAGAAAAGATCTGGAGTGAAATAACTTGTGTACGTTTTGTTTTGCATCAACAGTTTTCTGCTGTGTGTCATTGAGCGTTTTCTAAGCCGGTGTTAGCAGTTTAAAAGCTGGGAGTTGTGGCGACATTTGAATAACCATTGGGGTGCGTTTGTTCTGGAATTCTCTGTACATTAGGCCCAGCGGTGCTCTGTCTGTGCCTTTTTTCCATCAGAACCACATGGAAGTTCTTTACTAAATGCCTAAAAAGCTGCCCGGCTCGCTCCAGTGTTCCCTCTTTCACATGTGATGCATCATAGGGTTTCGCTGTACAAAAGCGATTGTTGTTGCCTCTCGTTGCCTTGTGTGAGTGTGAATCGGACGCACCCTCCATATCTATGCAAGGTCAGAGCTGTTAAATGCGGTTGCTTGTTTGAGTGGCCTGAGTTGATTTGTACGGCCTGCGTTTATACTATTGCAACACCGATCAATATATTGTCGAAACCACCTCCTCAGGATATCGTGGTGTTTTGTTAGAAGAGGGGCTTCCTCCTGGTGTTATAGACAACAATCATCCACATTAATTGGTCAGTAACCTGATGTCTAATTGTAGAATACGCTGTGTGCAAAATGGTTGCTGTGTTTGCCGCTGAAAAGCAGTCACTAGACTGGACAATAATCACAGTGAAGATCTTTGAGGCATTTCCTAAGGCAGTTATTAAAAACCACATGCCCTCTTGTTCGCTATTAGCATTAAATAATAATTCTTACATTTACTTTTCAGGTCAATTCACTGAACTTTCTGTGAGGCATAAGTGGCAATGTAGGCAAAACACAGCAGCTGGGACACACGGGTGGGGAGATGAACTAAAGCTCGCCTTGCACTCGTTACGGATTTGCTTCTCGCTGAATTTCCCTAAAATAACTTTTTTTCCTCATTTCTTTCTTTGATTTAGTAAGAGCCCAGGCGATGAAACGGGAGCCAAAAAGAAGAAGAAGAAACCAAAACGCAAGAAGGACAAGTCTGGGGGCAAGCTAGATTTGGACGATCAATCAAAGGTACATTTCATTGAGAGGGGGGTATTTTGGCCTGGCAGTGTAAAAGTAATAATAATAATCCTTGTATTTGCTATTGCGCCTTATGTTCTGGAAACGTCTCAAAGCTCTTCACAGAACTTACTGTAAAGTGTAGTGACTGTATGTTTTGTGGGCGAAACCCCTCGCAGGGTACCACGTGATTATCAACGAGATAAACAAACAGACCGAACTCGGGGTATTTAAAAATCATTCGACTACTTTCTCTGACAGTGCACTTGTGTCTCTTATCCTCACATTGATGAGGCAGTGATGCCCTATGGTTCTGGGCCAGAGTGCAAGTCACTGAGCCAGAACGTGCACTCGAGGGTGGAAAGTACTCAGTATATTCGATGGCCCATTTAAATGTGATTCTGCCACAAAACCTTGGGTTCTAGCAGTCTGATTGTTTGCATCATACAAAATACACGGTCAATTCACTTCATAGTATGTTCTGTGAAGCGCTTTGAGACATCTCAAAGGCGTGATAAGGTGCTATATCAAATGCAGGGATGATTATGCTGATCCCTCTCTTTCCCCTGCCCCACCCCACCCCCCACCACCATAGCTTTGCACATGCAACAGTCGAGGGAGAGGAACAATGTGCGAACTTGCCCTGAAACAAATCCTAGTTCATGCTGGCAGTGGCGGCCTGCTGACTGGAGTGTGTTACACTCTCCCAAACAAATAATTTACACTGAAGGTCACCTTATTAGCCTTGGCTTTGCAGTTAGCAGTGGCCTTGGATTTTAATTTTAAAACAATCATTTTAGTTTTTAAACTTTTGTTGACATTCAGCACTCGAGTCTAAAGTGTTGTGACATCAAGGGATCTTTACGGTGACACTCGTCTTCGACCATGCCTTCGGTCACCCTCCTAAACCCTGCCCTCCACCCCTTCTGATCCCAACCCCCCAGATTAGGTCAGAATCCCTGACTGTCCAGCGCCTTGGGACGACCTCCCGATGTGAAAGGAGCTGCGTAAATGTAAGTTGTCGATGGGGAAATTAAATCCGCACTTTTCAATCTCTGGCTACCAGTGTTCACGATCACTGGGTGTCTGTGGGGGAGGAAAAAAAAATCTCTGTAGATTAAAACGTTTTCTCTCTTTGACCTTCTCAAGCCTGTTTCTATAATTGCTGGAGTTTTGTCAGGTTCCAGCTTGAAACGTGTCACTGCTGGCGAGGAGATGCTTGTAGCCGGGCACCGCATTTTACATTTTTAAAATGTCACCTGTAATTGGTTCGTTGCATTAAGTATCTTTGCATTTTATTTTCTCTCCCTCCCCCAAAATTTTCTGCTTCAACATTCAGTGAGCAGGAAAGTGTGCGTGTGTGTGTCTGAGGATTGTGGGTTTCTTTTAAAATCTTGTACACGTGAAATAATTTTACCACCGTCTTGTCGAATGAATATTCTATCAAGTGCTTTCCTCATTGATAAGGCCCTATATCAGATGGAAGGATTATTATTATTATCATTTATTGTGCCTTTCAGGTTAATTCACTGCCCGCTGAGAAGCTGCAGGAGATTCAGAAGGCGATCGAGCTGTTCTCTATCGGCCAGGGACCGGCCAAGAGCATGGAAGAGGCAACCAAACGAAGCTACCAGTTCTGGGACACGCAGCCTGTACCAAAGCTTGGTATGTACCCAGACAACTCTGGCAAGACTGTGAGGATATCCCTTGGGGCTCGAAGGGTTTGGGCTGTGTGGGCGCGCGTCTGCTTTGACAATTACAGCTTTGATGATCTAGCAGAAGTTCTCCAGAACAAATGCCTTTCTGTTTCGCCCACAACAACATACAGTCAATTCACTTTACAGTGCATTCTGTGAAGCGCTTTGAGACGTTTCGAAGCTGTGATGAGGCGCTGTATCAAACGCAAAGATTATCGTACTATTATTCTGTTGCTTTGAGCTCTTATCTTCTTATCCAGGTGAGGTGGTCACCGTCCATGGGCCCATTGAACCAGACAAGGACAACATCCGACAGGAGCCCTACACTCTACCACAGGGATTCTTGTGGGATGCCCTGGACCTCGGCAATGCTGAAGTGGTGAGTGAGGTTTTGTTTAGCGGAATAACCTGTTTGAAACGGGCAATGGCTTTGAGAGAGAGAGAGAGAGAGGTAGACTTTGACTTTGAAGCAATATTTACAGAGTGAATAGAGAGCCACTCTGCCTTTCTGCATGTCAGCTGCGATGTTAGGGAACTTGTTTAGTTAACCATGAGGAATAAGAGCTTGCCCCGGATAAAAGTTGCTCTGAACACATTTGTTTCCCCCGCACACACACACAGACACCTCCAGCAGGGCTCAGTAGCCTCATGCTGAGGGTAGGAATGCCAGTGAGTGTTCATGAACTGTCTGTGTTGGCTGGAAAAATTGCATGCAAAACCTTTGCCCTGAGCCCAGCATAACGCCATTACCTGTGTCTGATCCCCAGTTGAAAGAGCTGTACACTCTGCTCAATGAGAACTATGTGGAGGATGACGACAACATGTTTCGGTTTGATTACTCCCCCGAGTTCTTACTGTGGTGAGTATCCAAACCCGCCGAGCCCTCAGTTTTCCGCAGGTCGGAAAACAAAAACTGGTTTTACAAGTTGAGAGAGATTTTAAGAGTTTTCCACAATGGAGCCTGATTTAATATTTTTTTAAAAAATGGTGTTGCAGGCAATGACTTTGGTGGAATTTTGGTTCTCAGGTGTTTCAAATAAGCCTGAACTCTCCAGGATTAGATAAGCAAAATATGGAAGCGTTCATCTATCTGGGGAGAGAGTGACAAGTGAGCATAGAACTCACACGTGGAAATCTCCGTAGTTTTGGTTTGGAGACTCTCAAGCGTGATGGTGATGTTTCCTGTGTGGTATGTGTGCATGTGGCGAGTGACGTGTGGTGTGTGTGTGTGTGTGTGTGTGGTGTTTGTGTCGGTGTGTGTCAGACAGACACCTTGCTGTTCTCCCTCTCTCGTCAAAAAAAAAATTAAACCAAGTTACAAGAGAATCCATTCCGAGAGTCTGATAGTTTATTGCTTATTTAGTGTCCCAGGGTCCCGAGTGATTGAGTTGCAATGATGGTTTTCTGTTCTCTCCTCTCCAGGGCTCTGCGTCCTCCAGGCTGGCTGCCCCAGTGGCACTGTGGAGTGAGGGTTGTGTCAAACAAGAAATTAGTTGGTTTCATCAGTGCCATTCCAGCTAACGTTCAAATCTACGACCAGTATGTAATTTGTGCCTTAATCTCTTACCACGGAGGCAACTAACGTCTCTCTCTCTCTGGGTTACCTTGTCTTGGTGAAAACCTCAACAGGATGAGTGTTACGGGATTTGATATAATAAGAATAATAATCCTTGCGCAGCGCCTTACGTCTTGGAGACGTCTCAAAGCGCTTCACAGAATGTACTGTAAAGTGAATTGACTGTATTTTGTGGGCAAAACGCAACAGCCAATTGCGCACAGCAGCGTCCCGCAAACTGTCGTGGATTGGGTGACCACATTTTTACATTTTTTATCATATAGCGCTGTTATCAGTGGCGATAGAGCGGGTATCAGTGGCGATAGAGCGGGTATCAGTGGCGATAGAGCGGGTATCAGTGGCGATAGAGCGGGTTTCAGTGGCGATAGAGCGGGTTTCAGTGGCGATAGAGCGGGTTTCAGTGGCGATAGAGCAGGTATCGCACACTTGTGCTAGTTCCCTGCTGCCTTTACATTAACATAGTATACTCCAGAGTTTAAGCTGCTCTGTGCACTTCCTTTGTATCTGACGTCTGGTTCTGTAGCGTTTTGTCCAGAATTACGCGTACTGTAGTTTCCTCCGACGTAGCGTACATAACAGATTGCCCGTGTGCAGACTGTAAACCGGTTCCATTGCTTGCTTGTGCGCAGATGCTGATGATCTTGGGGGTGTTTTTTTTTTTTTTTGCTCTTTAGCGAAAAGAGGATGGTGGAGATCAACTTCCTGTGCGTGCACAAAAAGCTGCGGGCAAAGCGAGTGGCTCCGGTCCTGATCCGCGAGATCACACGGAGAGTCAACCTCGAAGGCATCTTCCAGGCTGTGTACACGGCAGGCGTGGTCCTTCCCAAGCCTGTGGGCACCTGTAGGTAAGGTCTGAAATCAGCGCCGTTAACCGCACTCACTTGGGCACGTCGGGCAGTCATCCCTCTCTGATTGTTTTCGCACGACAACAACTTGCCCTTCACGTGGGAGTAGCGTCTCCGGAACGCTTCGCAGTGGTGGCGTCTGACTCCGAGCCAGAGGGAGAGGCGAGGTGACCCTAAGCACCATCAGAAAGGAAGGTCTTTAGGCGGGATTTGAAAGGAAGGAGGGAGGGAGGGGGCAAGGCGGCGGGATTGAGGAAGGGAATCACAGAGCTTTGGGGCATAATGGCTGACAGCGCGACCGTCGATGGTGCGGCGGAGGGGCCGAGGGACAAACGGGAGGCCGGAATAATGTCCAGTCCTGTTATTGCTATCGATAGCACATCACTCTCCCCCACTTTTGCAGCCTGTTAGTATTTTATGATCCCAACTGATCTTGCTTCCCTTTGGCTTCTTGTCAGCTCTCCACTCAACTACTACTACTACTACTACTACTACTAGTAATAGTAATCATTCTGGCATTTGATTTAGCGCATTCTCAAGTCTTTGAGACATCTCAAAGTGCTTCATACAATATACTGTTTGTGGGCGAATGTGGCAGCCAATTCCATACAGCAGCGTCCCACAAACAGTTGTGGATTGAGTGGCCACATTTTTGTTTGTTTTTAAACTTTTTAACCTTCAAACCTGGCTTAATACATTGAGAAGCGAGAACTTGCATTTTCATCATTGAACCGTCTCGAAGCTCTTCACAGTAATTGTCAACTGTGGTGACAGCTCGGTGATTAGGTGAATGGCTACGTCTGGAGGCACTGTAGATGTTTCTGATTGCAATGGGAGCTCTAATCAAGAGTCTTTTGGATTTTGTTTCTGGACAGGTATTGGCACAGGTCGCTGAATCCACGCAAACTAGTTGAGGTGAAATTCTCGCATCTCAGCAGAAACATGACTATGCAAAGGACAATGAAGCTTTACAGGCTCCCAGAGGTGAGGCCGACATGTGCAACAGTATATCTGATGTTCATCTTAAAGTACTTTGACGGTTCTTTTTCCACCAAGTATTGCTGGAAACACAAGGCAGCAAGGTAACCGGCCTTGCATAATGCATAACGCAGGCTGTTTCTTTGCACCGTCGGGGCTGCTGGACCCAGGGTTGTCAATGACCAATAGCGGCCCCATTTGGAGTCCAGTGATACTGCACCTACCAAGTGCAAACGGAGGATCCCTGACGTGCTGGTGATGAGGTGGTTCTTTGTCGTTCACACTTCTCCAGGGCTGGGCGTATAGACACGTTTGATATTAAACTGAATAATGTTTTTAAAGCCTCTTGTGTATCCGGGCTTCAGAAGCTCTGGGTTTGCTCTGCTGCTGCGTTTTACTCTTGATTACCTTTGGAGAGATGGACAATAAAGTAGTTGGGACTGTAACATTTAATGTGACTCGTGCAAAATATAAGTTATGGCAAACTTGAGTAAAGTCACATAATATACTGTAAAACTCCTAAGTCTAAATCTGTATAAATTGTATAATCGCCTGAGTCGTGCATCGGCCCAAATCCTGTTCAAGAGTTTGCATTCAACTCAAGTTTGACATGAGGCATGACTTATGCAAAGTATATTAAATGCGTAGCCCCAACTGTTACCACTTCTCTGAGCTTTACTGTATGACTTGTATGAAGTTATGCACAGTATATGTGAGCAGGAGCACCCTCCAGATGGCACTGCTGTGCTTACAGTGATCTGCACTGTGCCTTCAGCGAACTTTCTTGTGTCCTTTCAGACAACAAAAACGTCTGGCTTGCGGTTGATGGAGCAGCGGGATGTGCCGGGTGTGTGCGCGCTGCTGAGGGAGTACCTCAGGCAGTTCCACTTGACTCCAGTAATGAATGAAGAGGAGGTTGCTCACTGGTTTATGCCTCAGGAAAATATTATAGAAACTTACGTGGTGGAGGTAAGTCCCCTTGCTCTGTGTGCTCGGTGTAAATGGAGGAGGGGGGAGTGGGTGTCTGCTTTAGTCTGTATTCTGCCAAACCCAACAACGCATTACATTCACACAGCGCCTTTCACGTTGGGCGGACGTCCCAAGGTGCTGGACAGTCAGGGGTTTGCAGCCGAGCTGGGGGTTGGGATCAGGAGGGTTGGAGGGCAGGGGTAGGCGGGGTGACCGAAGGCGCGGTCGAAGGATGGTCTCGAGACGTGGCTTGAAGGAGGTGAGGGAGGGAGCGAGGATGGAGTTCCAGAGGGTAGGGGCAAAAAGGCTGAAGGCCCAAACGCCCATGGTGAGGCGGGCAGGGCGGAGGCCAGAGGTCCTCTGAGCGGAGGGAATGGACAGGTTGGTATGGAGTTAGCAGGTCATAGAAGTAGTGAAGAGCAAGGCTGTGCTGAAACGGGCCGTTATGTTTTATGCGAATGGCAATTGGAGGGTGTGACGTGACATCTCAGGCTGGACATTTACTAAGCTGCTGGTGTGCTGTTCAGTGGTCTCTTACTCATTGCAGGATAGTGTGTGACTAACTTCCTCGTTCTCCTTTTCCCCCCACAGAATTCTGAGAAAAAATTGACGGATTTCTTCAGTTTTTACACCCTCTCATCCACCATCATGCACCACCCCATTCACAAGAGCCTGAAAGCTGCTTACTCTTTTTATAATGTCCACACCAAGGCTCCTCTCGTCGACCTCATGAACGACGCTCTCATCATTGCTAAGTCGGTACGTGGCACCTCATCTTCTCCGTCAAAAATAGGAGGTAGCGACTTCTGATTACTGAGCTACTAAAGGACTCTGTGAAGATGGTTATGGTTAGCCCACAGTCCCTTTGCCTCGCCCCCTCCCTTGCCTCCTTCAAGACCCTCCTTCGGCCAACCTGCCTACCACTGCCCTCCACCCCTCCTGATCCCAACCCCGACTGTCCAGCGCCTTGGGACACCCTCCCGACGTGAAAGTTGCTGCGTAAATGTAATGTGCTATTGTTTGGGGTTATTGTGGATCAGAGGCTGTCGATGTAATTTGGTCAGGCAGCTCGTGTAGCTGTGAGTCAACTGATCATAGTTTGGGCTCTACATTGGCTTCAGTCTGCCTGGATTACAGGAGGGAAGGACAATCAGCCAGGGTTTCCGCCTCACCAGAGCCCCTGTTGGGAGGTGTGTGTGTGTGTGCGTGCACATCAGCTGAGCGATGCTTGTCTGTGATGCTCTGTCGTTGTGGCTGTGGACACTGTCAGGGCTGTTGGATGTATGTGTATGTGTGAAGGATGAAACTCTACTGCAGTAGAGAAAGAAGGAGTCAAACCTCAAGCTGAATCATTCTCGTGGTGTACGGCTCGTGAGGGGCCCTGGGTTTCGTCCATCATGCCTCCTGCTGACCTCCTGCCTTTCTTCCTCACAGAGAGGGTTCGATGTTTTCAATGCACTGGATCTAATGGAAAACAAAACCTTCCTAGAAAAGCTGAAGTTTGGGATTGGAGATGGAAACTTGCAGTATTATTTGTACAACTGGAAGTGCCCGAGCATGGCGGCCGAGAAGGTAAAAGCTTTGCTACGTGCGCAGACGCGTCCCTGTCCCTCTCGCTGAACACGGGCTGGTGTTTGAGATGATTCAACTGAGGTCTGGGTTGGCTACTGTGGCTTTTGCCAGCACGCTCGGGGAGTGGGCAAGGAATCCCGGCTCGACCAGGGTTTCCCATCACCTCACCAACACCCCCCGCCCCCCAGCAGGGGATCAGATCGGGTTCCATAAGCTATTGTAAAACTTGATACCAGAACAGCGCACTGTGACACAGTTTGCTTGCTTGGTCTCTTGGAGGTTGTCAGCGACTGGCTTAAGGATGCCGTTCTTTCCACTCACTAGGTTGGGCTGGTGTTGCAGTAATCTCCCATGTCGCTGATGTTGGTAGAAATCACCAGTCAGTCCCATCAGGAATATCCTCCGATCTCTCTGACCTGACCTGACGGCAGCCACTGAACCAGAAAACCTCGCGAGAAATGGGAGGGAAAAGGAGCCCATTGGATTGGGGGAAAAAAAAGTTTACAGATTCTATCACCCAGTTATATACAGTTATTTCCCACTAACCCACCCCAACACCACTCCCCACCCCTTTCCCCCTGTGGAACTAAAAAAGATCGAGATATATATATATATATATGCATTGCACATGCTTTTAACACATGGAATGTGACCAGGCAGATTTGCAAAGGCAGTCAGTCTCAGACTTGTTCAAAGCTGTGTTAAATATTTTCTGATGTTGATTGAGCTGTGACCACATCTAAAACCCACTCCCCACCTTCCTCCCCCCCCCCCCCCACCCACCCCCCACCCTCTGCTCCTACTCCTTCTCCTATATCTCCTCCTCCCTGAGAAGCACATAGTCTAAAATTATGTTAAGAATTATATTTAAAACATTTTTTGAGAATCAAGTCACTGACCATTTTTAATCACGGCAATTTTATTTTAGAGAGAGAGAGAGAGAGAGAGACAAAACAAAGGTTCAATTCCAATAAATGTTATGGCGCTGTATATCTTCTCCAGACTCGGATTAATCCAGGGTTTGCTACAGGAACAGGCATGGTGGGAGGTGGAGGGGTGGGGGGGGGTGCAATTTGGGGACCTTCTTTGCTGTGGCTTTAATAATAATAATCCCTGCATTTGATACAGCGCCTTATCGCGTCTTTGAGACGTCTCAAAGCGCCTCACGGGATACACCGCAAAGTGGAGTGACTGTATATTTTGTGGATGAAACAAATCTATACCTAGATTTAAGAATTTTAGGAGGGGGTGTGGTTGGGGGGGGGGGCGGTGGGGGTAAAGGGAGAGAGAAGTAAATATCCCGATGTACCATCTAACCTGAAACCACAAGCTTTCAAATGGCAGCTCTTGGCCTGATTTGTCACGGAGTTACCAAGAGTGACTTGGCTCAGTAATAGGCCCATCTAGTCTGAGTCGGTGCTCACACAAGCCACTGGTGAGTGTCCGGGAGCAATGTAATCCTCTTGAAATGAAGCTGCCTGTAGCCTCCCAGTGTGTGAACGCCACAGTATTCCCCACCACACGTTTCTCTTCCCTCGATCCACTACCATAAATGGTCAACAGGTCCACGAGGTGAGTAACGTTCTTACTCTGAACTGCCGTTGGGTTGAAACTGACCCTTGGATTAACTTCATTCGTGCCCTAATGCTTTTTTTTTTTGTGTGTGCAATCGGAAATGAAATTCTACTGTAGCGTCCGTGTAGCAAACCCGGCAGATGTCTTCGTGCTTTTGCTGCTGGTGCGTGAGCGGGTCGGGGTGAGGATGGGGTGGGGGTGGGGGGGGGGGGATCTGTTTGCCTGACGAGCGGGAATCGGCGAGCAGAGCCAAGTCAATAAACAGCCTACAGAGCTACCTTGAAACGCAGCCATTTTCTTTCTCCGGTTTCTAAACGGATTGGGTTCATTTGAGAGTGACCACAAACGTGGTGACCGCTCCGGTTTCGTTAGCGCTACGTGCAACTCGCTCGCAGCTCCGAGCTGTTTTTTAAAACCAGCCCTGGCCTCCTGCCCTCAAGGTAACCCATTTCCTGTTTCGAAATAAGTTGGGCTGTGTGACGAGCTTCTGAGACGCGAACACACGGGGATCAAATGCAAATATTTATTCCCGTCCGTTCACACTGTTGAATAGGACAGTCAGACTAAAACCCAAAGCCTATCGGCTGAGGGGTCGTAAGTAAGAGCAGCAAAGGGGTGGGGGGTTGATGAGGTTCCTGTCTTTGTGGGGTGAGTCCCTGTTTGACAGCTTTTGATCCCTCTTTCCTCTCTCCAGTCGTTGAGACTGATCAAAGCGCTTCACAGGGTATACGGTAAAACAGAGTGACTGTGTGTTGTGGGTGAGAAGGTGATGTTCTCGGTTTGTCCCAAACCTCTCCATTTATGTCTGACTTAAAAACGACTCTGCCGGAAAGATACGGACAACCACTCGGGTGAGATGCCAAGAGGCCAATCAATCCCCCCCCCCCCCGCCCCCAAGAAAGAGTCAACACCTTCAGGAGAGAGAGAGACACACACACACGCACACACCATCAGAACACAGAAATATCTAATTTAAACACCTGCCAACGATGAGGACGTTAAAGTCTATTGCTACCTCTGGAGTCTATTAGGATGACGGAAATGCTTCACATTTCCCTCGTCTGTCTCACTTCCCCCCCACTGTGCGATTGAGGGGGGGCAGGGGGGAGGAAAACAGTCAAATGTGGGGCGGGGGCTGGGCACAGTCACCGTCTCCGCTCGACTCGCTCTCTATCCTGATCCGGACGAACAGGGTGGCCGGCGAGAGGGAGGTGCCGTCCTTGGCCAGTAAGTGGACGTGGCGATAGCCTGCGGGAGAAACGGGGAACAGTTAATCGGGTTCCTGGGGCCGGGAGGAACACTGGGGTTGTTATAAACAGAATCCTCAGCAGCGAGAATGGTCCTGATTGATCGAGTTCTCACGGAAACGTGGAACAGTGTGCGTTGGCGTCAACACGGTATATATTTTGGGGCAACGTGTATACCCCCGCACCCCCCCCCACACACGCGTGCGCGCACCTTGCTGGACGCTGGTGAACGGGAGGGTAAACTGCCCGATGAAGTCGTTGCTGCTGGCCGTGTCGTAATCCTCCACCACAAAGCGGATCAGCGCCAGCTCGGGAACGCTGATCCCGAACCTCAGCACCTCGTTCCACACCGGGTTAAAGCCTGCGATCGGGAACACCAACATCAGCCCCGAGCGGTGAGCAGCCACTGCCCCCCTCGGCCACAGCCTCACCACACTGAGCCCCCCCCAGCCTCACCACACTGACCCCCCCCCCCCCCCCCCCCCACAGCCTCACCACACTGACCCCACCCCCCACAGCCTCACCACACTGACCCCCCACCCCAGCCTCACCACACTGCCCCCCCCCCAGCCTCACCACACTGACCCCCCACCCCCCCCACCACAGCCTCACCACACTGACCCCACCCCCCCACAGCCTCGCCACACTGACCCCCCCCCCAGCCTCGCCACACTGACCCCCCCCCACAGCCTCACCACACTGACCCCCCCCCCCACAGCCTCACCACACTGACCCCCCCCCCACAGCCTCACCACACTGGCCCCCCTCCACAGCCTCACCACACTGACCCCCCCCCACCACAGCCTCACCACACTGACCCCCCCCCCCACAGCCTCACCACACTGAGCCCCCCCCCCACAGCCACGCCACACTGACCACCCCCCCCCCCACAGCCTCACCACACTGACCCCCCCCCACAGCCTCACCGCAGCGCGCCCCCAGCCTCGGCCACACTGACCCTCATTCCCTCCCCCCTGAGATAGTGATACACTCTGTATTTGACACAGCGCCTCATCGCCTCATTGAGACGTCTGAAAAGCACTTCACAGAATATCCTGTAAAGTGTAGTGACTGTGTTTTTTCGGCCATCATCAAACATCTAAATATCTGCAGCCCCTGAATCCTCCTCCCTAACCCCCCCAATCCAATCCCCCCCGGGGACCTCCCCACCCCTTCGCTGCTCTCACCATTATTCGTCACGTATCCCGTCTTTCCGGACGCGTTGTCCTCGGGAACACCGTGAACTTCCACCCTCACCTGCGGGTCCACGATGGAGTTCTTCTTGGTCTTGTTCACTTTGGGCAACTGCTGAGCTGTGATCACCTGTCGCGGAGAGAGAGAGAGAGAGTCCGAGCACTGCAACACCAGCGAACCATCCCCTCTCCCCCCTCCCCAGACCACACTGAGACACAAAGCAATACTCAGCAACTAGTTATACAGAGCGAGGGAGGGGGCGGTGGGGAGAGGGAGGGGGGGGCGGTGGGGAGAGGGAGGGGGGGGCGGTGGGGAGAGGGAGGGAGGGAGAGAGGGGGAAAGCCACTGGGCAGAGATGGACAGAAATGACAAGGGGAGAAAATGAGGCTGACGCCCAAACACGTGGGGTAAAGTTACATCAATGACCAGCTGTCTCCTGTCCAGCCCGGCCCCCGGCACGGGCTTTGTGGGGCTAAATGCGGAGTCGCTGCTCCTCATGAAGTCCGGCTTCAGCACGTAACCGCAGCGACCGTTCTGCCGGAACCTTCCCTCGTTCAGGTCCATCTCCGCTCCGCACTTCTGGAAATTCAGGGAAACTGGAGAGGAGAGAAACAGACGGCGTTAACCCTAAACTCCCGTTTCCCTTCAACGAGCGGAGAATTAAGGTTTTCTTTTAAGATCGCGCCGTGACCACAGTGTGCGTGTGTGTGTGTGTGCGGCTCCCCTCGTGCAGGGAAGAGTCCCAACTGTCCGGCTACAAACACACAGTCACTGCAGTAAATCCTGGGAAGTGCTCCTGACGTGATGGGGCGCGATATAATAATAATAATCCTCGCATTTGATATGGCGCGTTTCACGTCGGGAGGACGTCCCGAAGCGCTTCACACAACACACTGTAAAGTGAATTGACTGTATATTTGTGGGCGAACGCGGCAGCCAATGGCGCACAGCAATGTCCCACAAAGTGTCGTAGATTGAAAATGACCAATTTATTATTGTTTTTGGTTTTGGAGGGATTATTATTAGGCTCTGTGTGGAGTAAGGAAACTTGCCCGAGGTTTCGCCCTCTGCCTGGAATTGAACTCAGGTCTCTCACTTGCAAAGCGAGTAACCGAGGTCCGTCCGTCCAGTTCGCCTTCCATCATCCCTGGCCGTGGCTTTGACGGAACCAACGCGAGGCTTATTATGGACAGCAATTCCTTAGAGGCTCGCTGGGGTTTTGTGGGGCACCGGGCACCGAACGGAACACGCGGATTGTTTTGACCGGGGGGGGGGGGGGGTGAGAGGCGAACGTGGAAGCTCCGGCCTCTGGAGTCTCACCGAGGTGACAGCCGGCGTTCCACATGTCCTGGGGGTTGAAGTTGGAGGAGCTGATGCGAGATCCCAGAGGGTAGACCTTGGACAGCTGCAGGGTGTTATGCCGGACAAAACTGGTCCCTGGGGTGTGGGGGGGGGAGGGGGGGGGAGAGAGAGAGAGAGGAGGCAGAGATAGAGACAGAGAGAGTGAAATGGATCTCAGACATTGCTTTAACATCCAAACGTCCAAAACCAAACCAAACTTATGGGAGAACGAACCCAAAGGACATTCTTCCTACTCCCACCCCAACCCCTTGACCACCATCACCAGGGCTGATAAATTTTGATACAGAACAGAACGGGTGCTGTTCTCCCTTCTCCATAGAGCCCCCTCTCAATCCCCAGAGGGGGCTCTCACCACAATCATTGATCAGTTTCTTGGCTTTGGTCTCTGAGAAGGAAGAGGTCTCGCAGGCCACCTGCCGGCTCCACACAGCCTCGAAGCCCTGGAATCGGGTGTTCCTGCAGTAAACCACCAGCTCAGACATCTCCTGGGTCATTCTCTGCAAAACCAACAGCGGACTTGGCTTACACAGGGAGCTCAGCTTCCCCCTCACCCCCCACACTTCCCCCTCCCCTCCCTCCACCGTCCCCAACGCAGCTCTCCCCCATCCCCTCCCCTTCTCCCTCTCCCTTTACCTTCCTGCTTTTCTCTTCATTTGTTACGCTTTCCTCCTCCTCCTCCTCCTCTTCCTCCTCCGGAGTCTCCGAGTCCACGTCCCCCGAGCCGGTCAGCCTCTTGCCCCTGATCACAATCTTCCCTTTGAGCTCCTGCGGGAATGAGGAGGGACTGACTGACTGACCACAGCCTCGCAGCTCAATGTCAGTCGCCGCATCAGCGTCAGAGCACGAATGCTCCTCACCCTCACCGCAGACACACGGGAGGACACGGGCCAGGCCGGGCTAGCCTCGGGCCAGGCCGGGCTAACCTCAGGCCGGGCCGGGCTAACCTCGGGCCGGGCCGGGCTAACCTCGGGCCGGGCCGGGCTTACCTCGGGTGAGGGCAGCTCCTCGGGCTCTTTGCCGTCAACTGGGCCGGTGACCAGCAAGTTGCCCAGAATGTTGGTGAAGTGTCGAGCCATCACCATCTGCTGCTCCACCCCACAGTGATTCTCCAGCGACAGGATGAGGGGGAAGGGGGACATCTACCACAGACAGCGAGGGGGGGAGAGAGGGGGGGAGAGGGAGAGAATGGAATTGAATGAACTTTACAGCGAAGCATTCAGTAAGTCACGTCACCAAAATAATAATAATAATATACAATAATCTTTGCATTTGATGTAGAGCCTTATCATGTTGTTGCGACGTCTCAAAGCCTCAAAGTGCTTCCCAGGATGTGTACTGTAAAGTGTAGTGACTGTGTATTTTGTGGGAGAAACTCGGCGGCCAATCGCGCACGGCAGCGTCCCACCCGCGCACAGTTGTGCGAGCGACCAAATCGTTATTTTTTGGGGGGGAGGGAAAGCGATCCTCCAATCAACTAACAACCAGGTTCCTACTCACTGCTAATTCAAAATACAAGACGTATTGAACAATTTAACCGCGACAGCATTTTGTTTCCCGACAACACGGTGGCCCCGGGAGCCTTACCTTGAAGGCGTAGTCGCGGATGGCTGTGACCACGTCCTTGAAGAGGATTTTGGAGGTGAGGGTGTGTCCGTGGTACACAACGGGCTCCCCGTTAGCTCCGTCCCAGCAGTCCAGCTCCACACAGCGACAGCCTCGCAACAGCGCTCTGACACACACACACACACGCACAGAGACACACACACAGAGACACACACACAGAGACACACACACAGACACACACACAGACACACACACACACGCGCAATGTTAGCACACCACCAGCCCCGTCTCACACAACCAAACGGGTTACGAATGAACCTCGTCGCACGGCCTGAGAGTTGATAATAATCCTTGCGTTTGACACAGAGCCTTATCACGGTATTCAGACGTCTCATAGCGCTTCACGGGACACACCGTAAAGTGGAGTGACTGCGCGCTTTTGTGGGCAAAACCGCGACACAGTGTAAATGTCAGTGGGACGCAGTGCAATACCCCGGGGTTGGGGGAGCGTTGAGGAGGCCTGAAATCAAATGATCCGAAGGCTGTTTTTTCACCCAAAGTTCTCTCGGACTCCAACCTTCCTCCTACTGATGATATAAGAAGGGTGGGGGGGGTGGAGAGCGGGCGAACGAGTACCTGATATAAGCCTCAGTGCTGCTGGGTCCTCCCAGCTGGTTCTCCATCAGGTAGGTGTTGTGCGAGGACGAGATGAAGTAGTGGCTGAGGGGCTGCCCCATGTCCTGGTAGATCAGGTCGTGGCTGTGGTTGAAGATGTCGCCGTCCGGCGAGAGCATGTACATCACAAACCCGTCCCGGGTCAGGAGCTGGTTCTGTTTCGCTGCCGATGGCAAACAGGATGAATAGGTTTTTATTAGGGTCTCAAACCGTGAAGGAAAGGGAGCGATTGGGAACTGGAGGAGGCCCTTCAGCCCCTCGAACCTGTTCCCCCGTTCCATTCCTTCAATCACCCGCCTTCGCCCCATTGGGAGGAACAGCTGCTATGGAGAAGGAGTTGGGGAGTGGGACCGGTTGGTAACTCCTCCAAAGAGCCAGTGCAGGCACAATGGGCCGAATGGCCTCCTTATGTGCAGTGGGATTCTACGATGCTAGGAAATTGCATACCTTTCTCGTTCAGCTCGTGCCTTTGTATGATGCTCAGGCCGTTCTCCTCGCTGGGGACCTCCTTCTGCTCCTTCAGGAAGTTGCTGATCTCCCTGACGGCCAGAATCTGGTCCTCGCCCGAGTAATAGTTGAAGATCTCCTCCAGCTCCGGCCTCTGCATCAGCAGCTGACAGAACTCCTCGATCTCGTGCTCCTCCAGTTTGCTGCTCTTGGACCTGTCGCACTGCTGTTGACAAAGACGAGACGAGAAATTGGGAGCAGAGCGTCCCACAAACAGTGGATTGTCTCCATTTTTTTCGTGTGTGTGTATGTGTGACGGGACCACTCATCGACTCACCTGGAAGAGGCAGGTGATGTATTCCTCGTTCACCTTCAGGTTGATCATTTTCACCAAGTCCTTGATCTCCTGGAAGCTCATTTCGCTGTCGTTGTCTTTGTCAGCCTTGTGCAGGTACTGGTGGATCCAGGTGAATGGGACATTAAGGAAATTGCTTAGCAACGATGGGGTTAATAACCGCCGGTAACTATTAATCATAATAATAATAACCCTCGCATTTGATACAGCGACTTATCACGTCTCCAAGCGCTTCACAGGATACACTGTATGGACAACAGTCACTGCACTTCAAAGTAACTCATCGACTCGAGTCTCTTGCTGAGCAAACGCCTCCGTTCCTACGGGACACAGCGGACAGTTTGGGGCCAGGACATGTCAAGGGACCCCTGGATGGTGGGTGGGAGGTGAACTAGATGGACCTGGGTCTTGCGTTCGCCCAGTGAATGGCTGAGCGCCGGCCGCTAAAGGATATTGGTGCAGTTTCTCACGCTGGCTCATGCCGGCCGCTCGGGCCATCAGTTTGTGAAGCCCCCGGACCCAGCGTCTCCTCTCCTCCGGGGTCTCGGCCACCAGGTCCAGGTTAGTGCGGTTGCCCTGGAACACGATGGTGAAGCACTGCTGCTCCGAGAAACCCCGACCGTGTTTCCGCATCACCTCCGACTGGTGGCCCTCGCGCACAGACTGGATCTCCATCACCGAGACTGCGGAGAGAGGGAGGGAGAGGGAGAGAGTGTGAGAAAGAGGGAGAGAGAGAGAGGGGGGGGGTGAGTGTGTGTGAGAGAGTGTGTGTATTATAGAAAGAGAGTGTGATAGAGAGAACGTCAGAGATGGTATGCGAGAGAGAGAAGAGTGTGATAGAGAGAGTTTGTGTGATGGAGAGAGTGTAACAGCGAGAGAGGGGAGTAAGAGAGAGAGAGAGAGAATACGTGTGCGTGACAGAAAAACTGAGATAAAGAGTTAGAAAAAGTCAGGGAGAAAAAGAGAGACTAAATGTCCGTCCTCTTCCCCCACTCCCCCCCCCGGAGACACAGAGTGATCAGAAGTCTGAGGTGTTTGAGAGGGTGAATGGCGAGAAACTATTTCCACCGGCTGTTGAGGCAGTAAACCGAGAGATCTCGCGTTTAACGCGGCCACCAAAAAAAAAGGGAAGAGGTTAGGAGAGGGGGTTCGCTCGTTAGTCAAAGGTTATCGTTGGGACTTGGAGCTCATGACCGAAAACGGCGCTGGGAGCTGCCAACAGGGAAAAAAATATCGCAGGGTGTGTCTGTGTGTCTGTGTGTCTGTGTGACTGTGTGTCTGTGTGTCTGTGTGACTGTGTGTCTGTGTGTCTGTGTGACTGTGTGTCTGTGTGACTGTGTGTCTGTGTGACTGTGTGTCTGTGACTGTGTGTCTGTGTGTCTGTGTGTCTGTGTGTCTGTGTGTCTGTGTGACTGTGTGTCTGTGACTGTGTGTCTGTGTGTCGTGTGTCTGTGTGTCTGTGTGTCTGTGACTGTGTGTCTGTGTGTCTGTGTGACTGTGTGACTGTGTGTCTGTGTGTCTGTGTGACTGTGTGTCTGTGTGACTGTGTGTCTGTGTGACTGTGTGTCTGTGTGACTGTGTGACTGTGTGTCTGTGTGTCTGTGTGACTGTGTGACTGTGTGTCTGTGTGTCTGTGTGACTGTGTGACTGTGTGTCTGTGTGACTGTGTGTCTGTGTGACTGTGTGTCTGTGACTGTGTGACTGTGTGTCTGTGTGACTGTGTGTCTGTGACTGTGTGTCTGTGTGTCTGTGTGTCGTGTGTCTGTGTGACTGTGTGTCTGTGTGTCTGTGTGTCTGTGTGTCTGTGTGTCTGTGTGACTGTGTGTCTGTGTGACTGTGTGTCTGTGTGCGTGGCAGTGAGATTAAACGAAAGCCGTTTCCGAGAGCCAGAGATGGACACAATGGGTTTAATGACTTTGAGAGCTGTGCTGTGTGTTCTGTATTCCATTCCCTGCTCTCTCGCTCTCTCCCTCTCTCTCGATTCGATAACAGCTTTAAAGAGAGAACTGGACCGGTATCTGGGGAGGACGGGTTTGCAGGGTAACGGGGAGAAAGCTGGTGATTGGGGTTTAGTGAAAGTGACGCTCTGTCAAAGAGCCGCCACGGACTCGATGGGCCGAATGGCCTCCTTCTGTGCCGTAACATTCTATGAATCTCCCCATCGTGTCCGGGCTGGTGCTCCCTCCCTCCCTCCCCGGTGATACTCACAAGTGGACATGGATGGCTTTCTCCTGGACTTGGACTCACACCAGACAGACAACCCATCTCCCTGCAGCCTCAGCTGCCTCGGCTTCTTCCACACCTGGGACTTGATTTTCTGTAACTTGCTGCCCTTCAGCATGAACCTCACATCCTCATCCTCCTGGAGCCCTGGACAGACACGCGGGGGGGGGGGGGGGGGGGGGGGGGGGGGAGAATGAGGGTAAGGCAGGTCCACATCGCAAAGGCTTGGATATCAAAGCCCCAACTCCCTTCACAGAGCCAAACCCTACTGTCGAACATTCATACAGAGCCCATCTCCGCTCCAGTCACAGATCATTCAACATTTACCCTTCCAATACCCCATTCCCCCAAACCAACACCCACTCCCCAACAACAACAGCAACTTGCACTTATGTCGCGCCCTCCACGCAGGGTAGAGTCTCAGAGCCCTCCCTACCCAACAACCTCCTCCCCCCCACACCTCCCCCAATACCCAACCCATTCCTTACCCACTTGTTTAAGGGCTTTAAAAGCCAGCTTGTTTCTCTCCGGGCTGAGGTCAGGCACCTCACTTTCCAGCTCACTTCCCTTGGATTTAGTGCCGATCATGGGGTCACCTTAGTGGATGCAACAAGCCTCCAGCTCCCGGGAGCCTGTCTCCTGGGGAGGAAGGTGTGTGGGAGATCTTCGAGCTGCTGTAGATGGAGTTGGACGGTGTAGTTTGGGGTTACTCCGCCGATCACTGGGATGGAGCTCCGATTCCTTTCAGCTCTGGTTAACCTTAGAGCGGGTCTGTCTGTCCGTCCGTCTGTCCGTCCGTCCGTCCGTCTGTCTGTCTTGACCAGTTGGGTTGGGTTTGGATGGGTCGCTCTCTTCTTGTCTGTATCTGTGCTGGAACTCTTCACTCTGTGTGTGTGTCTCTCGCTGCTCACGGACTCCTCTCACATCACAACTATTTTTTGCTCAGAATCGTTTCACCGAACACCAGGAATTCGGTCCATGTGACTCTTACACCCGGTTCCCAAATTAAAGGAGGGGGAAAAGTGTTATTTTGCACAAGTGAACAGCAGTTGGAAAAGCAGAGCAGATCGCCCCAGGCTCCGGTTAACACACGTTCGTTCCTCAATAGCCTGGGCTCCCCAACTTAATTCCATTCCATTGCTCTTCTTGTTGAGTTAATGAATGTTTTCATTCATAGTTCAGAGCAGTCAAAGCCTCCTTTTGTGCTCCAGCCTCCCAGTTGCTGAATGTGCCAGATCTGACGTAAAGTTGCCTGTGTTAACTGCGTTACTGAGTCTCTCTCGTTCTCTCCCTCCCTCCCTCTCCCTCCCTCCCTCCCTCCCTCTGTCTTTCCTGTGTCACCCACTCCTGAACTGACAGCACATCACGAGCTCAGCTGCCTTTCAGCCCCTTTATGGTACAGGGGGGGGGGAAAAAAAAAGCCAAAGCTCTCGCCAATCACCGGAATAATAGTATTAATCCTTGCACTTAACACCGCGTCAGTAACATCAAACATCTCTCTTAAGTACTTTGCAGGGAATTAAGTGTAATGACTGATTTTTTTTGTTGTCCAGGCGAGTGCGACACGCAGATTTTTACGCAGCAAAAATCTCACTCGCAACCGGCCCTGAAGCGAACGATTAATTCAACCGTGGAATTGCTCAGCCAGGATCCCGGGAGGAACTCCCTTCTCGTTACCTATTTGTCCCGGGGAATGTTTAACAGGCAAAAAAGGGATTTGGGTTTAACATCTCACCCCCAACCCTCCCCCACCCCACCTCCGACCCACACCCCACCCCACCCCATCCCAAAACCGTGCTGGAGTGGTGAGCTTCAACCGTGAGCTCAAAATCTCGAACCCAGGCGTGAATAGAGCGACAGACCGAGCCAGGCTGAGACCAACTTGAAACCGCCGGAAAACTATCGGCCAAGCTAAGAACGAATTTAAGAACTGTCCCCCCCCCCCCCCAAAAAAAAAAATTCTGCGTCAACCTTAAACTTCGCAGCGATGAGCGAAGCTGAGGCTCGGAGACACTTCTGGGATCTGGGGTTCGGTTTGTATCGGGGAACACGACGCCTCCTCGGGGTGAAGCAGTTGAAAGCCAAGCACCGTTGATGTCTTTGGTCCGCCAGGTGGCGCCTGAGCCACAGGCGGTGGTTGAGAACATATGGACCAAAGTTGAAAGAGCCTTTGAAGAGACTAATGGGCCTCATGGGCTGAGGGCTCTTGACAGAGACATGTAACGTCTACTCATTAATTAACGCAGCAGCCCTGTAGTTATATCCCACTGCTCCGTGCCAGACAGTCTCATTAAACTAAAAGATAAACTGTGTTTAAAAAGCAACCACCAAACAGAGATGACGTCAAGACCCAAGTTGGCAACCGTCTCCAACCCGGACATGTCCGTGACTGGCGTGTCAGAGTGAATGATTCTTATGGAAACCGGTACAATAAAGTCTATAAAGGTACTGTAAGAGAAGCGCTGATTTAATCTCGCCCGCAAAACATACACAGTGTATCCTGTGAAGCGCTTTGAGACGTCTCAAAGATGCGATAAGATACTGTATCGAATGGAAGGATTATTATTATTTATCATAATATTATTATTTATTGTTATTGAGCCACCAGCAGGTCGGCAGGACACTATAATATTATTCAAAGTTACCTGGAACAAATAATACTTTGTAACCTGTATAATATACTCTGCAGAAATAATATTATTATTTATTCAAGGTTACAGAGTATTACTTATATTATTCTCTCATGGTGTTATTCAAGGTTACTCACTCATGGTACTCTGCCCGTCTTAATAACAAGATGATCCGTTACTTAACAACAATAAATAATAATATTGAAGCAGCGTTTTTATTGTATCGCCTTTATAAGACTTCATTGTCACCTCTGTTTTGAAATAATATTATTTGAGATGTATAAACGTAATTTGTTCCCCTTGTTATTGTTAACTGTGGACAACGTCAGGGTATCGATTTGTGACTGGTGGGTCAGTGAGAGAGAGAGAGAGAGAAAGAGCTAAGGCTATAATACCGCAGATACAACAACAACAACTTGCATTTATATAGCGTCCTTCACGTGGGATAACATCTCGGAGCGTTTGACCGTGGAGGAGTTTGGGCCCGAGCCGGGGGGAGGGAGGTCTCTAGACGGGGGTTTGAAAGGGAGGAGGGAGGAGGCCAATCCGAAATAAGAGCACTCAGCAGATCAGGCAGCGTCTACGGAGAGAGGAAAGTGGGTCAGTGTTTTGTGGTCGATGACCTCTCGTCAGAACCGGGGGCTGTTGGCAGTTCCGAAGGAGAAAGAGAGAAGCAGGCGGGGAAAGAAAGACGAAGGGAAAGAGAGAGAGAGAGAGAGAGAGAGAAACATTACCGCAGTCTGTCTGTTCCCAGCAGAAAAAATAGGAACAGAAATCTGGACTTGGGAGAGAGAGAAAATGAGAGAGAGAGAGAGCGATGAGGCTTTTTGTTGTTGAGATGTTGGAGGCCGTCGGTTTAAGGTCATCAAAAAAAAAACAACCGCCGGATTACTTAGAATTTAGGATTTCATTACACAGAGTGATAAATTCACCCGGATTTACGGACCGCAGTTTTACATCACAAATAATCCACAAATCCGCTCCATCTAATAACTCCCACTCCATATTGCTATTACAGTGAGAGAGAGAGAGAGAGAGAGTGAATGTGAATGAGAGAGTGGGGGGAAGCGAGAGAAGGGGGAGCAGAGAGAGAAAGAATGAGAGTGAGAGAGAGAGAGAGAGAGAGAGAGGGAGAAAGGGAACAAAACAGAGTAAGAGTCAGAGTGAATGAGTGAGTGAGTGAATGTGAGTGAGAGAGTGAGACAGCAACAGAAGACAGAGAGAGAATAGCCCTGAGCCCAACCAGCTCGTGACTGAATAGTTTGGTTTGAAATGACAGTCTGTCAGGAAGAATCCCGTCTGCGGGGGTTATAAATAAATCTCTCTCTCCCTCCCTCTCCCTCAAGTCCGAGTTCCAAAGGTGTGGCTAAGAACAGTACGTGCACGAGAGCAGAGATCAGCAGCAATCGCTTTCGTTTCTCATTCGGGTCACAAACCAAACTCTGGTCAAGTTCAGAAAAAGTTGGAGGGGAGGGAGGGAGGGAGGGAGGGAGGGAAGGAGGGGTGACATAAACTTTAGGTAAGATTTGTTGCTCCGCACGCCTCTCTGTTGACCCAGCAGCAACCCAGTTGTAAGTCGATTGGCAAATCGCTTTCTGTGGTTAATAATCCCTCAAAAAAATGCGGTTACTCAACCCACGACTGTCTGTGGGGACATTGCTTTGCGCAATTGTCTGCCGCGTTTCGCTCACAAAACTCATCCAAATCACTTTAGAAGACGCGAATAAGGCGCTCTATCAAAGGCGAAGGATTATTATTAGTAGTAGTGGTATGATTAATAACGTAAGTTACAGAAAGGACAGCGTTTGACTGAAAGGAAGAAGGTTTTGCAGTCGCCCTCGATGACCATTTCCGGAGGAGAACATTCAATCCAGGTGTCAGCTCGTTTCGGAACTTTACAGGATTTTCACGTTGGTTCTTGTTATTGCTGAATAAACAGGATTGGAAACCAGGTCAGGCTCTGCGAAACTCTGCACATCACTTCCCCCTCACTCTCACCTCACCTCTCACCTCCTCCAACCCCCTCACCACCACCCTCCCCTGGGCAGACCGGTCACTGGGGGCAGGGAATCCTCCCACTCGGCTCCTGTTGAACCCCTAAAGCCAAAGCCCGAACGGTCCAAGCTGGACAAGCAGCGGGAGAAGCTTGCCACACTGCTAACCCCTGCCCGTCCCCCGCCCGCCCGCCCGCCCCACCCCACAGAAGAACATGAAAAAATACCCACTTGGCTCCACTCAATGACTTTCCCGTGTTGGCAGTAAGTGCCCGTTTCGTAAACAGTCCCCAGTGTAGCGTGTAAACACCGCTGATTGATGGCAAACACGTCGCAATTCCCTCCTCCGGGTTCCTCTTGGCTTCCCGCGTTCAGAGATCTTTTTTTTTGAAAACAAAAACAAAATGCCTTTTCTTTGTCTCTTTTTTTTTTGGCAAATGAATGAGGAGAGTAAAAAAAGTTAAACTCACGAGATGTCGAACGTCACTACGGAAGAGAGGACCCGGGTTTGACTCCCGGACGGGGCGAAACTTTGGCCAAGTTTCCTTACTCCACACGCGCGCCTCTCTGGGGGGGTAATAATCCGTGTCCCCCCCCTCCCAAATAATTTGGTCACTTCAATCCACGACTGTATGTGGGGGCACTGCTGTGCAAACTCCACTTTACAATGTACACTCTGAAGCGCTTTGAGACGTCTCAACGACGTGATAAGATGTTGCATCAGATACAATGATTATTATTCAGGGTTTTTTTCTCTCTCCTCGGCGTCTTGGTTAAAACCCCCCCCTCCCCCCCCCTCCCCTCCCCACCCGGTGCACAAATTGGCTGCCTGCAGAACACACAGTCACTTTTACAGAAAAAATAATCACTCAGCACTTCAGGACGCAAACAAGACCAGGCTTTATTGTTGCAAGATATTCAAATTTCATTTGTCCGCCTGCCAAAAAGAAATGTTTTCCTATGTTGAGAATCTTCGAGTCACGAGAGTGGATAGGGGTCACTTACCCAACTTGTGTGTGCATGTCTGCGTCTGTCTGTATGTTTGTGTGTCTATGTGTGTGTGTGTCTGTGTGTGTGTGTGTGTATGTGTGTGTTTGTGTGTCTGTGTGTGTGTGGATGTGTGTGTTTGTGTGTCTATGTGTTTGTGTGTCTGTGTGTGTGTGTGTCTGTGTGTCTATATGTGTGTCCCTGTGTGTCTCTCTCACACGTTAATAAAAAAAGGGATTGATTTCTGTGAAGGAGAAGGTTACTGAACAGTCTATTTGGAGATTCAATCTAATGTCAATCAGCTTTAAGTCTCAAGACAGCACAGTGAGGGCTGTGTGTGAGTGTGTGAGTGAGAGAGAGAGTTGGAGAGGAAACCTCAAGCCACTGACTGACTCCACCCCAGAGAAAGAGCAATGTATAAATCAATCCCAGCTGTTCCCTGGATTGACCCACTCTCTGGTAGTCATTCTCACCACCTCCCAACCCAAGGAACTTACTGTGTGGTGTAATCTAACATCTTACCCCACCCACTGGAGAAGGAGAGAGAGAGAGAGAGAGAGAGATTTGCAGTTGAGTGTTGTGTTGGTGTTGTGTTGAAGACAGTAACAGAGCAGCAGAAGGAGGAGAGGAACACACACACAAAGACAGGAATGAACACTCGATCAGACCCCAACTCCTCAGCCCGCAAGAAGCTGGTCCTGAAAGACATTAAGAGAGGTGGGTGGGTGAGAGAGGGGGGGTGGGTGGGTGGGTGAGTGGGTGAGAGAGGGGGTGGGTGGGTGGGTGAGAGAGGGGGTGGGTGGGTGGGTGGGTGAGAGAGGGGGTGGTGGGTGGGTGAGTGGGTGAGAGAGGGGTGGGTGGGTGAGAGAGGGGGTGGGTGGGTGGGTGGGTGAGAGAGGGGTGGTGAGAGAGAGAGGGGGTGGGTGGGTGAGAGAGAGAGAAAGGGTGGGTGAGTGAGTGGGTGGGTGAGAGCGGGGGTGGGTGGGTGAGAGAGAGAGGGTGGGGGTGGGTGAGAGAGAGGGTGGGTGAGGCTGAGAGAGAGGGGGTGAGGGTGAGAGGGGGGGGGGTGAGAGAGAGAGGGTGGGGGGTGGGTGAGAGAGAAGGAGGGTGGGGGGTGAGAGGGAGAGGGAGGGTGGGGGGTGGAGGGTGAGAGGGTGAGGGTGGGGGTGAGAGTTGGCCCAGTAGCCTTTTCACTGTTGGAGACGCTGTGAGTGAGTGAGTGAGTGAGTGCAGAGCTGCGATGACTAAATAAGGAATTTCTGTCCCATTAATGGGAAAAGCATTCCTTTGATTTAAAAAAAAGCCCCTCCTCTCTCCCCTCCTCTCCCACCCACTCTCTCTCTCTCTCCCCCCTTTCTCTCTCTCTCTCTCTCTCCCCCTTTCCCCCCTCCCCCCCCCCCCACCCACCCCACTGTTTTCCCAGCCCAGGGATCTGCACATCTGTCTCTGTTCTGTGTCTGTCTTGGGTTATATCACAGGTCACATCTGGTTTACCGGTGGGGCGGAGGGGGTGTGAGCGGACGCTTATTGTATTTGTGGGGAAAGGGATTGGGAATAATCTCCCCCCACCCCCCCACCCCACTCCTCCCCCTCTCTGTCTCCACTTCTCTTCCTTCCAAAGCAAACCCGGTCCCCGCCCACGACTTGGAAGTCTCCGAGCCGCTGTCGCTCGGGGCTTCATGGAGTCTTGAGCACTCGCCTCGCAGGAACACTCATGTCCTCCAACTACAACCGGCATTAACACAGCGTCCCATCGAGTTTGACAGTGGCGGGACATGACCCCGAGACCGGGGGAAGGGGGGAATGGGGGGGGAGATGACCGTAGGCATTGGTCGAAGAGGAAGGTCTTCAGGCGTGACCTGAAAATGGGGCAGGAAGGGGGGCAAGGTGGTGGGGAGGGGGGATAGAGGAAGGGTGTTCCACAGTTTCGGGGGGTAGTGGTGGTACGGGGGACAGGCAGGAGGGCAGAACCAGTCGAGCGGATGCAGCGGGTATTGGGTTGGAGGGTGAGCAGGACGGAGAAGGGAGGGAGGTGCCGGGGAATGAAGGGATTTGAAAACGAGTGAGAGGATCTTGAAATCAATCTGTTCAATGATAGGGAGTTAGTGGAGCCTGGCGAGGGCTGGGGGGTGGGGGTGCGGGGTATAGTGTGTGTGATAGGGAGCCGGTGGGGCCTGGCGAGGGCTGGGGGGGTGGGGGTGCGGGGTATAGTGTGTGTGATAGGGAGCCGGTGGGGCCTGGCGAGGGCTGGGGGGGTGGGGGTGCGGGGTATAGTGTGTGTGATGGGGAGCCGGTGGGGCCTGGCGAGGGGTGGGGGATGGGGGGGTGGGGTGCGGGGTATAGTGTGTGTGATAGGGAGCCGGTGGGGCCTGGGGAGGGCTGGGGGGTCGGGGTGCGGGGTATAGTGTGTGTGATGGGGAGCCGGTGGGGCCTGGCGAGGGCTGGGGGATGGGGGGGTGGGGGTGCGGGGTATAGTGTGTGTGATAGGGAGCCGGTGGGGCCTGGCGAGGGGTGGGGTTCGGGGTTCAGTGCAGGGAGTATATGTACCTTATCACAACGTCGAGACGTCTCAAAGCACTTTATAAAACATATGATAAGGCAAAAGAAGGCGATGTGTGTTTTGGGGAAAGGAATATGTGATATTATAACATATATGTGATAGGGCCCTCTATCGAATGCAGGGATTATTATTATTATTGTTAATGTTATTACTGCACTTTACAGTAAATCCTGTGAAGCGCTTTGCGACGTTCTCCTGAGTGCCAAATGCTTTATAATTAGTTGTTGATATCGATATAACTATTGAGCCGTGGCTTGTCCGTGTTCGTGTGGGTGTGCGTGTGGGTGTGCGTGCGTGTGGGTGCGTGTGCGTGTGCGTGTGTATGTGTGTGTGTGTGCCCAGGTCTGCTGGAGGATGAGGACCTGAAGTTCATGCAGAAAGGCAGCAAGTTACAGAAGATCAGGTCCCGGATGTGGACGAAATATCGTCGGTTTCGGCTGCTGGAGGACGGACTGACCGTGTGGTGTGAGAGCAAGTCCATGAAGAAGTCCGGCATGACCACGTGTGAGTATCTCTTCCCCTCACCCTCCCCCCCCATCCCACCACCACAGCCACCACCACCACCTCCCCCTCCCGTACTATAGTGGTTCGAGCCCTCGCCTCGCAAGCGAGAGGACCCGGGTTCGATTCCCGGCCAAGGGCAAACCTTAGGCAAGGTTCCTTACTCCGCACACCTCTGTTTTCCCGGCAGTAAACAGGTTCTTGTTGATTGGCGGATCGCTCTCCGGGGGGTTATAATCCCTCCAAAGAAAAATATTAATGATAAGTTGGTCACTTCCATCCACGACTGCTTGCGTGGGGACGCTGCTGTGCGCAGTTGGCTGCCGCGTTCCACCCACAAAATACACAGTCACTCCACTCCACTTTGCAGCGTGTTCTGTGAAGCGCTTTGAGCCGTCTCGAAGCCGTGATCAGGCGCCGTATCAAAAACGATGTTAAACTCTGCGCTATTTATTTGCGATCAACGCCCTTTCTCTGTGTCCGGTCAGGGAATCCCGAGAGGACGGTTGTTCTCTCCGGATAAGATAAGAAGAAAAGGCTGTGTTTGCGTTGCGGGTGGAATGTCTTGGTGAACGTTAGGGCTGATCTTGATTACGCGCGCGCTCTCTCTCCCTCTCTCTCTTTCTCTGTCGCTCACACACATTCTCTCTCTATCGCACATTCTCTCTCTATCCCACATTCTCTCTCTATCCCACATTCTCTCTCTATCACACGTTCGCTCTCTCACACACTCTCTGCCTCTCACCTTCTCTCTCTCACACACACTCACCCCCCCCCCTCTCTCTCTCTCTCTCTCTCTCACACTCTCTCCCTCTCCCTCCCTCTCTCCGCAGTCTCGGTGATGGAGATCCAGTCTGTGCGTGAGGGCCACCAGTCGGAGGTGATGCGGAAACACGGTCGGGGTTTCTCGGAGCAGCAGTGCTTCACCATCGTGTTCCAGGGCAACCGCACTAACCTGGACCTGGTGGCCGGGACCCTGGAGGAGAGGAGACGCTGGGTCCGGGGGCTTCACAAACTGATGGCCCGAGCGGCCGGCATGAGCCAGCGCGAGAAACTGCACCAATATCCTTTAGCTGCCGGCGCTCAGCCATTCACTGGGCGAACGCAAGACCCAGGTCCATCTAGTTCACCTCCCACCCACCATCCAGGGGTCCCTTGACATGTCCTGGCCCCAAACTGTCCGCTGTGTCCCGTAGGAACGGAGGCGTTTGCTCAGCGAGAGACTCGAGTCGATGAGTTACTTTGAAGTGCAGTGACTGTTGTCCATACAGTGTATCCTGTGAAGCGCTTGGAGACGTCTCGACGACGTGTTGAGGGCTGGGGCTGGGGGTCAGGTAATGCAGATCTTTCTACGCTGTGTGAACGAGGCTGATCGTCGGGGTTAGAGGAATGAGCCGTGAGCCACGATCGGACAAGCTCAGGCTCCTCGCTCTGGGAGAGGGGACGTGTCGGGTGGTGGTGGGGGGGGGGGTGGGGGGACCTTTTATAGAGACTCACCATTTTGAGAGCGGGGTCGGAATGGAATGGTAAACCCAGAGCAATACTTTCGGACCCACCAAGACAGGAGCACAAGGGGTTTAGGGTCGCACAAGGGGAGAAATTTCAGGAAAGGCACCAGGAACGATTGGGACCAGGGTTGCCAGGGAGGCTGGTTGGGGCCAGGATATTGGGACTTGATGCCGTGATGGTGGGTCTCTCTCTCGCTCTCGCGATGACACCTTAACGCCGAGCACCTGGATTCACGAGTACCTGCGGAGGGCAGACGCCAACAAGGACAAGAAGATGAGCCTCGAGGAGATCAAAGACCTCCTGAAGCTGATCAACATCGAGGTTTACGAGGAGTACACGCTGCTGCTCTTCAAGGTACAGCACTGAGTGGGGCCGGGAGTTACCATGGAAACGGCTGGAAGATGATCCCCACCCCTCCGCCCTGAGGGAGATGAGGAGATGAGGGAGATGAGGAGATGAGGGAGATGAGGAGATGAGGGAGATTAGGAGATGAGGGAGATTAGGAGATGAGGGAGATTAGAGAGATTAGAGAGGGAGGGAGGATTGTTCACTGTTACACATTATAATAATAATAATAATAATAATAATAATCCTTGCATTTGATATAGCGCTTTTCACGTCGGGAGGACGTCCCAAAGCGCTTCACAGAACACACTGTAAAGTGAATTGACTGTATATTTAGGCGAACGCGGCAGCCAATTGCACGCAATGTCCCACAAACAGTCGTAGATTGAAAATGACCAATTTATTATTGTTTTTGGTTTTGGAATTATTAGGCTCTGTGTGAGTAAGGAAACTTGCCCGAGGTTTCGCCCTCTGCCTGGAATTGAACTCAGGTCTCTCACTTGCAAAGCGAGTGCTCTAACCACTGAGCTACAGGTCTCCACGATTCAGCCACTACGCCCCGAAACTCTGGAACACTCTCCCTCAGACCCTCCGCCTTGCCCCCGCTCTCTCTCTCTCTCTCTCTCTCTCTCTCTCCCCTTTTTCAAGTCCCGTCTGAAAACCTTCCCCTTCGACCGCGTTAAGCGCTCTGAGGCTCTGCGGGCGGGGAGGGCGCTGTGTAAATACACGTTGCCGTTTCGTAGCTGAAGTGGAGCTGCAGCTGAGCTGTGATCTACTAGAATGGCGGAACAGGCTCGAGGGTCTGAATGGCCTCCTCCCCTGTTCCTTGCCAAGGTATCTTTTAAAGCCCACCTTACTTTGACGGCTCCTTCGAAGGACGGCACCTCTGACAATGCCTCTCTCTCTCTCTCTCTCTCTCTCGTTGAAACGTCAGCCTTGAGTGTGAGCTCCAGGGAGGGGAGGGCGGGGAGGGGGCACGAGTCCCAGTGATAAGCCGAGTAGTTTTATCTGCTCGTCTTTGCCAACAGCAATGCGACAGGTCCAAGAGCAGCAAACTGGAGGAGCACGAGATCGAGGAGTTCTGTCAGCTGCTGATGCAGAGGCCGGAGCTGGAGGAGATCTTCAACTATTACTCGGGCGAGGACCAGATTCTGGCCGTCAGGGAGATCAGCAACTTCCTGAAGGAGCAGAAGGAGGTCCCCAGCGAGGAGAACGCCGTGGAACTCATCGAGAGATTTGAGCTCAATGAGAAAGGTGGTCACCAGCGCTTGTCCCAAACGTCTTCCCCCTCTTTGTGGCCATTTTTCGGGACGTAATAATAACGATAATGAATCCCTCGCGTTTGACCCGGCGCCTGATTGCGTCGTCGAGACGTCCTCAAAGCGCTTCACGGGATACACTGTGAACTGTAGTGACTGCGTGTTTTTTTGTGGGCGAAAACGCGGCAGCCGATTGCGCCCAGCGACGTCCCCGCAAACAAGTCGTGGGTTGAGTGACCGCGTTTTGGTGGTGGGGGGGGGGGTTTTCGTAGGGATTATTACCTGAAGAGCGATCCGCCAATGGACTAACAACCGGGTTCCCACTCACTGCCGGTAAACGTAAGACGTGTGTGTGTGTGTGTGTGTGTGTGTGTGTGTGTGGAGTAAGGAAAGTTGCTGAAGGCTTCACCCTGACCGGGAATCAAACCCGGGTCCTCTCGCTTTGCGAGGCGAGAGCTCTAACCGCTGACCTGCCTCCAGGTCATCGTTGAGCGCACACTGCCCGGTGCGTTTCACCTGCAAGACACAGAGGCCCTGTGACTCCCGGGTCACAGCCAAATCCCACCAAGTTCTCCTCTGTTCACTCCCAGGGCAGAGCAGGGCTGGAGATCTTTTCTTTCTGCACCACTGGAGACCAGGCCACGGTGTGTTCCTCGCCCTCTCCCGTCCCCACCCTCACCCACACCCCACCCACTCCCCCCCCTCCCACTCCCCCAGCTGAGGGTGACGCGTTATCTGTTAATAAACATTTCACTCCAAAGTGGACGGCGGTTGGAGAAAGCGTTCAGTGCGATAAATGTGCACGCAGTGTGAACCAGCTCCCTGCACCTCACGCGCTCAGATCTCTCTCCCCCCCCCTCTCTCTTTCTTTCCGACTGAGTCAAAGGTTTTATTTATAGAGGCGTCAAATGATGTTACCCGTGGACACAGCCCGTCTGTCGGCGCTTGTCCCAGATGGTGAAGTATTTTGGAACTTCTTCCATCTCGTATCTCGTCCTATATCTTAACTCAGCTCCGTTCAGGAGGCCATCAAGGACCCTGCGAGTCTATTGGAGAAAGAGAAAGGGAGTTTCTCTCTCTCTCTCTCCCTGGGGTCCTGGCCGGCAATAATCCTCGCATCGCAGGATTCCTGGAGCTCAGCGGTTAGAGCACTCGCGAGGCGAGTGCGAGACCTGGGTTCGATTCCCGGCCAGGGCCGAACCTTGGGCAAGTTTCCTGACTCCGCGCGCCTGATAGTAACCCCTCAAGGGGGGAAAAAAAAAAGCAATGAAACTGATCACTTCAATCCCCGGCTGCTGCGCGCAGTCGGCTGCCGGGTTTCGCCCACCGATATACGGTCAACTCACTGCCCGGTATATTCGGTGAAGCGCTTTGAGACGTCGAGAAGAAGTGGAAAAGCGCTGCATCAAAGGCGAGGATTATTATTATTATTATTATTGCTATTTGACACAGCGCCTTATCAGGTCATCGAGACGTCTCACAGGAAAACACTGTAAAGTGTAGTGACTGTGTGTTTTTGGAGGCGAAACGCGGCAGGCCAATTGCGCGCAAACAACGTGCCACAAACCGCCATGGAGCGAGCGGCCAAATTTATTAGGAGTTAAGGTGTGAATGAATGAACGAACGAACGGACGAACGAACGAACCCGACGCGAGATCGAGGCACCGTCCATGATTCTCCGCTCACTGACCATTTGCCATCGGCAGCGAAACAGAACCAGCTCCTGACCCAGGACGGGTTTGTGATGTACATGCTCTCGCCGGACGGCAACATCTTCAACCACAGCCATGACCTGATCTACCAGGACATGGGGCAGCCCCTCAGCCACTACTTCATCTCGTCCTCGCACAACACCTACCTGATGGAGGACCAGCTGGGAGGACCCAGCAGCACTGAGGCTTATATCAGGTACTCGCTCGCCCACTCCGTCCCCCCCCACCACCACCAGCACCCCAACCCCCTGGGCCCCCACCTACCCCGGACCCCCATCCCCTTGGCCCCCAGCCCCCAGCCCCCCCCGGCCGCCTCTTCCTCAGTGGGAGGAAGGGAGAGAATTTTGGGTGAAAAAAAGACCCTTCGAACCATTTGATTTCAGGCCTCCTCGATTTCCCCCCCCCCCCCAACCCCGGGGCGTTAAGAGCTGTGGGACCCTATCCCGCGAGGAGGGAACCTGTCAGCCCCTCACACAGCTGAGAGGAGAGATCAGTTCATCCATCCGAGACCAGTCGCTTATCGGCTGAAACCTCCCCCACAGCTTTGCCGGATTGTTTTGGTGAAGTGAACGCTCACTCCCAATGGTGATGTTGGGGACACACGGACCAGGTGCCCCCCCAGTGCCCCCCCACCCAGTGCCCCCCCCCCCCAGCGCCCCCCTCAAAAAAAAAACTTTTATCGACTTTTTATTTTTAATCAAACGTGTCTATGTGTGTGTCTGTGTGTGTGTCTGTGTCTCTGTGTCTGTCTGCGTGTATCTGTGTGTCTGTGTCTCTGTGTGTGTGTATCTGTGTGTCTGTCTGATTGTGTTTGTGTGTGTGTGTGTGTGTCTCTGTGTGTGTGTGTGTCTCTCTGTGTGTGTGTGTCTCTGTGGGTGTGTGTCTCTGTGGGTGTGTGTCTCTGTGGGTGTGTGTCTCTGTGGGTGTGTGTCTCTGTGGGTGTGTCTCTCTGTGGGTGTGTCTCTCTGTGGGTGTGTCTCTCTGTGGGTGTGTGTCTGTCTTTGTTTGTATCTGTCTGTGTGTGTGTCTGTGTGTGTGTGTCTATCTCTGTGTGTGTGTCTCTCTCTGTGTGTGTCTCTGTGTGTGTGTGTCTGTGCGTGTGTGTGTGTCTGTGCGTGTCTCTGTGTGTGTGTGTGTGTGTGTGTGTCTCTCTGTGTGTGTGTGTGTGTCTCTCTGTGTGTGTCTCTGTGTGTGTGTGTCTGTGCGTGTCTCTGTGTGTGTGTGTCTCTCTGTGTGTGTCTCTGTGTGTGTGTGTGTGTGTCTCTGTGTGTGTGTCAGAGCGCTGTTGCGAGGCTGTCGCTGTGTGGAGCTGGACTGCTGGGACGGAGCTAACGGGGAGCCCGTTGTGTACCACGGACACACCCTCACCTCCAAAATCCTCTTCAAGGACGTGGTCACAGCCATCCGCGACTACGCCTTCAAGGTAAGGCTCCCGGGGCTGGAGCGACACTGGCCTCGGGCCACGTTTGGTGTCGTGCTATAGGAGACTGTTGGCGCGGAGGTCGCTGCGCGCAATTGTCTGCCGCGTTTCACCCCGAAAATACACGGTCACTCCGCTTCGCCGTGCTTTCCCGTGAAGCGCTTTGCAGAAGTTTCAACGGCGTGACGAGGCGCTGGGTCAAATGCAAGGATTATTATTGATCCCCGCGCCTTATCACGTCTTAAATAAATCCCTTAATGTTTAACGGTTAACTTTGTAATGTGATCCGTGGTGTTTTGGGTCCAGGACATGAGCCGGAAGGAACCTGGAAGTGGGTTTCAATGGAAATCAGTTCCAGGAATTGTCCTCTTATCACACAACGCCTCAAACCTCTCTCTCTCTCTCTCCCCTTTCCTACATTACACTGCACCTCCCGCCACCGTTAACCCCCAAACCGCTGACTTCAACATGCGTGACCGTGCGTGTGTCTGTGCGGTGCTGGACCCTACCCCGTGTGAAGGGCGCTATATAAGTGCAAGTTGTTGTGTGTGTGTGTATGTTTGGGTGCGTCCGTCCACATGTACTGACCTAAGAATGTTTCACTGTAAATTTAATTCAATGTCTATTACCCTGACCCTTCACCCTCCCTCTCCCCCACTCCCCCTCGCTCTCCCCTCCTCTCCCCCTCCCACTCTCTCCCCCCCTCGCTGTATGTGGCAGACGTCCCCCTTCCCCCTCATCCTGTCGCTGGAGAATCACTGTGGGGTGGAGCAGCAGACGGTGATGGCTCGACACTTCACCAACATTCTGGGCAAGTTGTTGGTCACCGGCCCAGTTGATGACAAAGAGCCCGAGGAGCTGCCCTCACCCGAGGTAAGCCCGGCCCGGCCCGAGGTTAGCCCGGCCCGGCCCGAGGTTAGCCCGGCCTGGCCCGAGGCTAGCCCGGCCCGAGGCTAGCCCGGCCCGAGGCTAGCCCGGCCTGGCCCGAGGCTAGCCCGGCCTGGCCCGAGGCTAGCCCGGCCTGGCCCGTGTCCTCCCGTGTGTCTGCGGTGAGGGTGAGGAGCATTCGTGCTCTGACGCTGATGCGGCGACTGACATTGAGCTGCGAGGCTGTGGTCAGTCAGTCAGTCAGTCAGTCCCTCCTCATTCCCGCAGGAGCTCAAAGGGAAGATTGTGATAAAGGGGAAGAAGCTGACCGCCTCGGGGGACGTGGACGAGGAGACGGCGGAGGAAGATAATGAGAAGAAGAAGGTAAGAGGTGGTTGGAGGGTGAGGTTGGGGGGGAGAGAGACAGTCAGAGCTCTGTGGCTCGGTTGAAGGGAGGCGAGAGCGAGCGACTGAACGACGGGCTGAGATCTGTCGGACATTCAGGGCGGCGGTCTTTCGAGGCGCGCTGGCAAATGGGTGTCCTGCCGCGAGTCCGTGTCCACGGGAACCGAGGGCAGAGGGTTTACTGTCTCTGACGGGACGAGAATCCTACGAACCACCCAATCTCACAGCGCAGGAGGAGGCCATTCAGCCCATCGTAACCTGTGCCAGGTCTTTGAAAGAGTTCCCAACTCGTCCCACACTCCCCCCCCCACCTCCCACCCCCACCTCCCTCCTCCGCTCTTACCCCAATAGCCCTGCTTTTCCCCCCCGACCCCCTCCCCCCCGCCGTAAGGACCTCTCCAATTCCCTTTTGAGACGTATCGTCAAATCTGCTTCCGGGCGGAGGGTCCCAGAGCGCAACGACTCCATCGCTCGGGTTTCGGCCGCACTCAAATACAACGGTTTAAAAAGAAAAGGCAACGCAGTGTATATTGGGGCCACAGACACAGACACAGACACACACACAGACACAGACACAGACACATTGATACTTGGGGGTCCCTTGTTCCACCCTGGTCCTGGGGCGCCCCCTGCAGGCCAGGGCTGGCACTGCACGCTGTTCCTCAACCCCCGTTAGCCCACGTCAAATAGCGCCTCCTGGTGGATACTGGAGGAACTAAACGCCGCTCAGTGACACTCTCATGGACCCCCTAACACTGGACCTGCGCCTAATACTCTCCGGAATTAGGCAATCAGGATGCCTCCTCCCACCCCCCCCCAGAAAGGGGGAGAGAGAGCGCGCATTCCATTCCAAGTCGATGGATAGACATTTGTTGGGTCGGGGTGTTAAGGGATATGGGGCGAAGGCGGGTAATTGGAGTTGAGGCGCAGATCAGCCTTGACCTTATAGAATGGCGGAACAGGCTCGGGGGCTGAATGTCCTCCTCCTGTTCCTATGTTCCTGGAGCTGGTGCTTGTGTTGTGTTGTGTTGTGTTGCGGAGCCTGGGTACTGATGGGCTTCGCTTGTGTTTGTTGGCAGGAGGCGAAGCTGTCCCAGGAGCTGTCTGACCTGGTGGTTTATTGCCAAGCCGTCCACTTCCACAGCTTTGCTGCCTCCCGCACCGAGGGCTCAGTCACGCAAATGTCCTCCTTCGGAGAGAGTAAAGCCAAGAAGCTGATCTCCGAATCGGGTAAGAAACCACAGCGGAAAAGCATTTATTAATAACAATAATAATAATAATAATAATAATAACCCTTGCATTTGATAAGAGCGTCTTATCACATCGTTGAAACGTCTCAAAGCGATTCACAGGATATATTGTGAAGTGGATTGTCTGCATATTTTTGTGGGCGAAACCCGGCAGCCGGTTAGGCACAGCAGCGTCCCCCGTCAAACCGGTCTGGATCGAGTGATCTAACCTCCCTCTCCCTCTCCAGGGAAAAGCTTTGTCCAATACAACGCCAGGCAGCTGAGCAGGATTTATCCGTCCGGAACCCGCTTCGATTCTTCGAACTACAATCCTCAGGACATGTGGAATGCCGGCTGTCAGCTCGGTCAGACCCCGTCTCTCGCTCTCGCTCTCGCTCTCGCTCTCTTTCTCTGTCGGATTGATTCCTTGCACACTGTGACTCTGTGTGTGTGTGTGTGTGCGTGTAGGTGTGGGGTTGGGAGATGTGGGCTACTGTTTTGTTCTGTGGCTGAATTGAGGGGGGAATTCAGTTAAGGTTCCATGTTCTAGTGTCTACCAGTTGGCTCTGACTTATTGGGGTTTATTCCCCCCCCCCCCACCCCCCTGATGGGTTGCAACAACAACTTGCACTTACACAGCGCCATTCACGCAAGGGCAGCGTCTCTGAGTGCTGAGCGGTGGCGGAGCCCGACTCTGAGCGGGGAGGGAGGTTGCTGAAGGCAAAGCTAAAGAGGAAGGTCTTGAGCTGTGATCCGAGGCAGGTTATGATTTGTTTGGGGGTTTCCCCCCCTCCTCTCCTCTCTCCTCTCCAGTTTCCCTGAATTTCCAGAAGTGCGGAGCGGAGATGGACCTGAACGAGGGAAGGTTCCGGCAGAACGGTCGCTGCGGTTACGTGCTGAAGCCGGACTTCATGAGGAGCAGCGACTCCGCATTTAGCCCACAAAGCCCGTGCCGGGGGCCGGGCTGGACAGGAGACAGCTGGTCATTGATGTAACTTTACCCCACGTGTTTGGGCGTCAGCCTCATTTTCTCCCCTTGTCATTTCTGTCCATCTCTGCCCAGTGGCTTTCCCCCCCTCTCCCCCCCCTCCCTCACCCCCCTCCCTCTCCCCACCGCCCCCTCTCTCCCTCACCCCCCCCTCCCTCTCCCCACCGCCCCCTCCCTCCCTCTCCCCACCGCCCCCTCCCTCCCTCACCCCCCCTCCCTCTCCCCACCGCTCCCTCTCTCCCTCAACCCCTTCCTCTCCCCACCGCCCCTCCCTCCCTCTCCCCACCGCCCCTCCCTCCCTCACCCCCCTCCCTCTCCCACCGCTCCCTCTCTCCCTCAACCCCCTCCCTCTCCCCACCGCCCCCTCCCTCCCTCTCCCCACCGCCCCCTCCCTCGCTCTGTATAACTAGTTGCTGAGTATTGCTTTGTGTCTCAGTGTGGTCTGGGGAGGGGGGAGAGGGGATGGTTCGCTGGTGTTGCAGTGCTCGGACTCTCTCTCTCTCTCTCTCCGCGACAGGTGATCACAGCTCAGCAGTTGCCCAAAGTGAACAAGACCAAGAAGAACTCCATCGTGGACCCGCAGGTGAGGGTGGAAGTTCACGGTGTTCCCGAGGACAACGCGTCCGGAAAGACGGGATACGTGACGAATAATGGTGAGAGCAGCGAAGGGGTGGGGGAGGTCCCCGGGGGGGGGATTGGATTGGGGGGGCTGGGGAGGAGGATTCAGGGGCTGCAGATAATTAGATGTTTTATGATGGCCGAAAAAACAGTCACTACACTTTACAGTATGTTTTGTGAAGTGCTTTGGAGACGTCTCAATGAGGCGATGAGGCGCTGTGTCAAATACAGAGTGTATCACTATCTCAGGGGGGAGGGAATGAGGGTCAGTGTGGCCGAGGCTGGGGGCGCGCTGCGGTGAGGCTGTGGGGGGGGGTCAGTGTGGTGAGGCTGTGGTGGGGGGGGGTGGGGTCAGTGTGGTGAGGCTGTGGGGTGGGGGGTCAGTGTGGTGAGGCTGTGGGGGTCAGTGTGGTGAGGCTGGGGGGGGGGTCAGTGTGGTGAGGCTGTGGGGGGGGGGGTCAGTGTGGTGAGGCTGTGGTGGGGGGGGTGGGGTCAGTGTGGTGAGGCTGTGGGGGTCAGTGTGGTGAGGCTGGGGGGGTCAGTGTGGTGAGGCTGTGGGGGGTGGGGGGGGTCAGTGTGGTGAGCCTGTGGTGGGGGGGTCAGTGTGGTGAGCCTGTGGGGGGGGGGGGGCTCAGTGTGGTGAGGCTGGGGGGGGGTCAGTGTGGTGAGGCTGTGGGGGGGGGGGGTCAGTGTGGTGAGGCTGTGGGGTGGGGGGGTCAGTGTGGTGAGGCTGTGGGGGGGGGGGGGGTCAGTGTGGTGAGGCTGTGGGGTGGGGGCTCAGTGTGGTGAGGCTGGGGGGGGTCAGTGTGGTGAGGCTGTGGCCGAGGGGGGCAGTGGCTGCTCACCGCTCGGGGCTGATGTTGGTGTTCCCGATCGCAGGCTTTAACCCGGTGTGGAACGAGGTGCTGAGGTTCGGGATCAGCGTTCCCGAGCTGGCGCTGATCCGCTTTGTGGTGGAGGATTACGACACGGCCAGCAGCAACGACTTCATCGGGCAGTTTACCCTCCCGTTCACCAGCGTCCAGCAAGGTGCGCGCACGCGTGTGTGGGGGGGGGGCGGGGGGTATACACGTTGCCCCAAAATATATACCGTGTTGACGCCAACGCACACTGTTCCACGTTTCCGTGAGAACTCGATCAATCAGGACCATTCTCGCTGCTGAGGATTCTGTTTATAACAACCCCAGTGTTCCTCCCGGCCCCAGGAACCCGATTAACTGTTCCCCGTTTCTCCCGCAGGCTATCGCCACGTCCACTTACTGGCCAAGGACGGCACCTCCCTCTCGCCGGCCACCCTGTTCGTCCGGATCAGGATTAAGAGCGAGTAGACCGGAGACGGTGACTGAGTCACTGCGGTCGGGTGGAGACCTGGGTGCACAGGTCTATCGTGCTGGGAGGCTGAGGTCCTGCCTCAGGCACTGGCCTGGGATGAAGCTCGGATTTTCAGACACAGGAGAAGCTTTCCGTCCCTGAATTCGGCTCCAGTTGAGCCTCAAGAGCCGGGTCGTAACCCAGAATCCGTCCCAACTCCCAGCAGATCTGAAGCTTTTTAGACTTTTAATCCGCGAAACATTTTTATATCCACAGACATCGAATGTCCCAACTTTTTAAGCGCGCGCGTGTGTGTATGTGGGGGGGGATGGGGGAGGGAGGGTCACTTCTCGTCCCGTCAAACTTTTACATCACAGAAAGAAACCATTTCAGCCCCATTGAAGCTCCCATCTGCTCGCGCTCTTTACCCCACACCCCTTATTTTATGTATTTAATCTATTTATCTAATTCCCCGCTGAAAGCTATTATGGTTTTGGCCGAGTGTTCTGAGGCCCTAATCACCTTCCCTGAAGGAAACGCCTACAAATACCCTTTGCCTTATTCTGTTTGGGTAACGACAACGCGCACTTGTTTTGTTGCATCCGTTCGTGCACCTTAGTAAAGTTTCGGCTCGAACCGCGTGGGCGCAGGAACCCCCATCACAGACGCGGGCTCGGTACTCGGTAACGAGTTGGTGTTTTGAGTCTGTAATTTAGGGGAAGAAACTTCGCCTTTTTTGATTGGAATAACGTAGAATTATTGCGCTAAGTCCGTGAGGTGACGAAGCCAATGTCCTATCTCTCCTCGAGCGAGACTCGCGCGTGTTTTTTTTTGTGTGTGTGTGTGTGCGTGCGTGCGCGTGCGGTACGCAATCTTGTGCGGTTGAGCACGTTTGCCATATAATTGTCGCATCTGTTACAGAAGCCTCGTCGCCGCTCGAAAGGTCACAAAGTGCTTCCCAGTTAATAAGCGGAGGTGCGGGGACTGTCTGCCGGCCAACGCGCTGCCCTGATGAACGGGTTCGCACCTCCGGCCGGAACGGAGACAGCCGTTGGCGGACTGTCGGCCGGGACCGCGCCGCGACCCGTCCACTCTCTCCTGCGGAACAGCGCGGCGGCCGGAACCTTTTAACGTCCGCCCGGTCCCGGCGCGAGGCGGGACCTCGGGTTTATTTGACCGCTCGCGTTCCATGTATTATTCCGCAAATAAACGCACCGAACTGCACGTCGACCTCCTGCGCGCGGTTTATCGCCGCAGTGCGGCTTCGGAGGGATCAGGACCCCCCCCCGACCCCCCGACCCCCCCCCACCACCACCCCGAGGCGGGAAACTACTGGGGTGGTCTCTGCCCTTTAGTGATCCGCTTTGGCGGTGGGACTCCCCAAGTGGGGTCAGGTCAGTGGGAGTCACTGGGGTGGGTGGGTGGGTGGGTGGGTGGTGCTGGTGGTTTGCTCTGTGTGTGCAGTGGGGGGCACCAGCCACGTGGAGGCGCTGCAGCGCCGCCTGGAGCCGCACGGGGTCGCTGTGCAGACGCGGTCAGCCGAGGCGCTGCAGTGCCGCTCGGAGCCGCTGTGGGCGGCGGCGGCGCTGTGGGCGGCGGCGGCGCTGTGGGCGGCCCCTCGCCGCCCGCGCCTGCGCGGTGGTGCGCCCTCCCCCTTTGTTGTCAAGATGGCGGAGGAGCGGTCGGTCTGCACTTTCCTGTTCAAAAAATCCTCCCGAAAGTTCAAGGGACGGAAACGGCGAACGAGCGACAGCGACGGAGGTACCGGGAGGCGGGAGGGGAGGGGGGGAGTCACCGAGTGAACAGCCTTGAAGGGGCCGCTCTTGAGAGACTGGCGGAACAGGCTGGAGGGGCTGAATGGCCTCCGCCCCCCCTCCCCCCTCCCTCCCTCCTCCCTCCCTCCTCCTCCTCCTCCGTTCCTATTGTCCCTCACGATTCCCTGTTGTCCTTTCACTCGATCCGCGTTCCCTTCTCAGCGTTGCGAAAATGCTCACAGTCACTACACTACGCTGCACACGCAGTCACTACACTGCACACGCAGTCACTGCGCTGCGCACACAGTCACTACACCGCACACACAGTCACTGCGCTGCGCACACAGTCACTACACTGCACACGCAGTCACTGCGCCGCGCACGCAGTCACTGCGCTGCGCACACAGTCACTACACCGCGCACGCAGTCACTGCGCTGCGCACGCAGTCACTGCGCTGCGCACACAGTCACTACACTGCACACGCAGTCACTGCGCTTCGCAGAAACTAGCTTTTTGCAGGTAATGTTTGTGGAGCGTAGTGACCGTGTGACGCGCAGTGACTGTGTGAAGCGTAGTGACTGGGGGGAGGGGGATTATCGGCCGGGACACCGGGAGAGAGAGAGAGAGAGAGAGAAACCATCCCTTTTCTTTTCCGACAGCGCTGCGGAGATCTCTAACGTCCGCCTTCCTCCAAAACCTCCTGAACCGTCGTCGCGACGATGAGCTCAAGGCCCCGACGTGTTTGGTTGAGTGATTTGGCTCTGTGTGAAAGAAAGCGGTGACGCTGCCTCTGTCACAGGGACACGGGTGTTGCATTCGACACTTGACATCACAAAGCACAAGCCCATCATCTGTTTCGCTTCATTTTCTTGGAAATGATCATTTATTTAGTTTCTTTAAACAGAGCGCATTTTACACAGCGAGCGCCCGCCGCACAGGGTAGAGTCTTGGGAGTGCCGAAAACCTGCGGATCCGCCTGTAAAGACATCCTAGTTTACAGGAAAGTTGTCAACCTGACATTACCGCTCTTCCACGACCTCTTCTCTTGCGAGTTGTCTACCCTGTCGTTGCTGGTTGAGAGCCGCAAACCCCCCACCCCCCCACCCCCCCCTCCCTGCCCTGCGCTGAAAGCTCTGCCTCGTTGATATTTGCCCGTAATACCCTTGTTGGGCAGGACCTAGTTTGCCGCCTTTGGGAGATGTCGCACTACACGAAATTCTTGAAGCCCTGTGCCAATTGCAAAAGACCCTTTTCGGTGTACGATGGCCACAAGCTTTGCATTGCCTGCCTGGAGCCCGAGCACGACATGAACGCCTGCAAGATCTGCCAGAGCTTCTCGGTCAGGGTGCGAAGGGAGCGCTTCCAAAAATCCCAGAACATCGCTAAAGAGCGATTCCGACGTCGGGCCTGGGCACTCCAGAGCCAACTCATCCACACTGACATCCTTCTCCATAGGTCAATGCAAGCTTCCAAGTTAAACCTGTCGGATTCTCTAATCACGATGCACCCTCTAACCCCAGTAGCGTTAATGGCAGCACGCAGGCGTTGATGTTACCTGGTGTCACTACTATAATGTTACTCAATAATTCCAAGTTCATCGTACCAGATTTGTTCTTTGATTGCTGTTTGTTTAGTTTCCTCTTGCCTTGTGATTCATTAAGGGCCTCTTCGCTCTCCCCCCTCCCTCCCTCCCTCCCTCCCCCCAAAAAAACAAACAAATCTGTGACTTTTTACAAAGAAACAGGTTTTTCTCCTGGATATCCTGGCTGATTTCCCCCTCCGCATCCAAATTCACACCGAAATTCAAGTTAACTGGCTGCTCATCATCCAGTATTATTATTATTATTATTATCTCGTTGTTTATGGGATGTCACAGGCTAGCCGCGGCATTCATTTCGATAGCAGTGTGAAGCACTGAAAGATGCTGTATAAATGCACAAAGGATTTCTGGCCTTGTTCCTTAGGGTTGTTCTGGGTACCACGCTGTCTCCTGCTGGGTAGGTCCAGGGTTATGTAGTTTGTTTAGAAGTTCCAGAAGGCTTCCAGTGCTCTCAGATTCAGTCAGTGACTCCAGTAGCCTCACGAATGGGCTCCACCTGCTCAGAAGTGGTTCTATTACATGACACTTGGCCCAGTCTCCGAGCCAACGCTCACTTCTGTGTAAGTCGAGAGTTTGAAGAGAAGAAGTACTCCAGAAGTATGCTTAGAGTGCGTTCCCCTCCAAAGGGCTATTTACTTGTTAAAGCCAATCTTAAAGGACATGTACGTCTGGTTCCTCCAGTTCAGAACAATACAAATCTGGTTTCAGGGAAACGCGGTTATCCAGCAGATACGTAACATTCAGATAAGCTGTGCCTGTAGATACTTATTTTCATGAGTAGCTAATTATTGCTAATATATAAAAGAGATGACTTCACATGGTACACTGTGACACTGCTATTTGGGGCATCACCTGACACTGACTGAGAATTCTCTCTGGATTGGGGATTCAAAGAGGAGTCACAGGTTTGACAGGTCAGTTTTCTGTTATGCGAAAGTGCAATGTTTGCTCTGGTTATTGAGTGTTTGTACTTCCTGTGATGTCTCTTGTGTAGAGAGTGGGGAGGAAAATGAGAGCACAGTGGTACGCAGAGAGAAGAAACACAAGGCAACCAACCCCATGATTCAGCAGGTGAGTGAGACAGAGGTGCTGGGAAAATGCCGTTGCCTATTGATTGAACAGTCCTATGCAGTGGTTGCAAAGGCTGGCATTTTGAAGTGTTGTATAATTGTTTCTAGACCGCGAAACCTGGAGGGCACAAGGAACATTATAGTGACAGCAACAGTGACAAGGATGAAGGCGAAGGACTTACAGTGACCTACAAGTCAACTCGGTCGGCAGTAAGTAGTGGTCATTCCGATGTGAAAGTCGCTATATAAATGTAATTTTGTTGTTGTTGTAAGTAGCTCTCCGTACAAACTACCACACAACGTCTCTCTGGGGAAAGGCACCACAGCAAAACATTCACAGAATATACTGTAAAACGTAGTGACTGTCTTTTTTGGGCGAAACATGGCAGCCAATTGCGCACGGCAGTGTCCCACAAACACTAATAGTATATGACGTATGGAAGTCTGCCTATAACTCATACTTGTCTTAAATCATACTAAATGTTCTGTAACTCATACTTGTGGTAATTAGCCTCAGTGACCTCTGATGACAGAGAACGGAAAGTCAGCCATGGCTTCTGCTCGATAGTTATGCCGAGACAAAGCCTTGTTTTGTAGAGACGAGAGCAATGGTAACTGTAACCCTTCTCATCTCTAGAAACCTGTTGGTCCAGAGGATATGGGGGCAACTGCGGTGTACCAAATGGACACGGAAAAAGACAAAGACATGCAGGCCATCTTTGAACGTAGCCAGAAAATCCAGGAGGTAAGAGGAGCAAAATGAGAAGGGCGTGGGGGGGGGGGGGAGGTAGTGGCGGAGATCAGAGAGTGTGGTGGGTCTGGGTACAGATCGGTGTCATCCTTTTCAGTACCTGATTTGCTGCTGACAGGAGCTGAAAGGGAAGGAAGACGATAAGATCTATCGTGGCATCAACAACTACGTCAAGTACGTGAAACCCAAGGACACGTCGATGGGAAATGCAGCGTCTGGGATGGTCAGGTAAGTGTGTTGCTTCCTCCCTCCCTTCCAGCTCCTCGAATCAGTCGGAGGCCGTCGAGGAGCTAGCGGAACTGGATTTTTAAGAGAATTTTGAAGGTAGGGAGAGAAGGCCAAGGGTAAGGGATTTGGAGAGAGTCGTAGAGTGAAGGCATACTACCTGAAGGCTCAGCTATTGATGGAATCCCAAGTGCAGAGTCCTTCTCGTAACTGGAAGTAATGTTAACTCATGGAGGCCCCACTCTGAGGAAAATCGTACCAATGACTTGAGTAGCAGTGCTGTCCCACCTCTTGCGGTGAATCTAATCTGTTCCTTGCGTGGCAGGAAGGGGCCGATCCGAGCTCCCGAGCACCTGCGAGCCACAGTGAGATGGGATTACCAGCCGGACATCTGCAAAGATTACAAAGAAACCGGCTTTTGCGGTTTCGGAGGCAAGTGTTTTACCTTCTCTGTGGTTGAGGTTTAGACGTAATCCAGATTTTCTCATTAAACACGCTAATTGATATTTTCCTCTCACAGACAGCTGTAAGTTCCTGCACGACCGTTCAGACTACAAGCACGGCTGGCAGATCGAGCGGGAGCTGGATGAAGGGCGATACGGACTCAACGGCAAGTGCTCAGTATCTCCCGTCGTCACTTGCACAACAATAAATGCCATTTATTTAGCGCCTTTCACATCGGAAGGACCTCCCAAGGTGCCGAAAGGCGCCGTATAGCAGTTCTGTACAATGAAATTCATTACAACTGGTCCCCTTGTAAGGTTTACACTAACTTGCACGGTGAGAGGGCACAGGTTCAGGACAGACACCAGGACAGTGTTTCTTCACACAATCAGCCTCTGTGTGTATTGTGTTCCCTCAAATAAAAGCCCCTTTTGACCTTTTCTTTACAGATGATGAAAACTACGAAGTGAGCAGTGACGAGGAAGACATTCCCTTTAAGTGTTTCATCTGTAAGAGCAGCTTTAAGAACCCAGTGATCACAAAGTAAGTGGGTCGCATTATCGTCAACCTGTATAAAACGGACAGACTACGATTGAGTCGATGGAAGCGGCCTAACAGTTTCTGCGGGCAGATCTAGGCTGGAATTGGATTGACTCGCCCACAAAATATAAAGCCAATATTTACACCATATTCTGTGAAGCGCTTTGAGACGTCTCAAAAACGTGACAAGGCGCTGTATCAAATGTTAGGATTATTGTTGTATTAAGCCACAAGCAGCAGGAGAGGTTGAAATCTTTTCTCTGCAAAGCGATTCCCACAAGTGTTTCGATACAGGGTGATATTTGTACTGTGAGAAGGGAATAGAGTGGTGGTGTAAGACAGTGTCTGTTCTCCATCAGGTGTAAGCACTACTTCTGTGAGAGCTGTGCTTTGCAGCAGTACCGCAAAACCCAGCGGTGCTACGTGTGCAACCAGCAGACCAATGGGGTCTTCAATCCAGCCAAAGGTATGTTCCTCACACTGGCTTTACACTCTCACTCTGGATTCACGTTCTCAGGCCAGCGCTTTAACCAATATGTTATCTGTCTTAGAATTGATAACCAAAATGGAAAAGCACAAGGCCCAACAATGCTCGGAGCACTCACATCCAGAGGGTGGCGAGGAGCATCCTGAATAACACATTCCGTCTCTCTCTTCCCCCCTCCCGCCCACCCGCCCACAAAAACTCCTGCTTATCATCTGATGTAATTTGTATCTTATGTAGACCAGCAAAATAAAGAGATTGGTTTAGAAATCTCTTCTATGTGCTTATAAACGAAAAACTTTTAACTATTGCATTTCTGGACACTTAATATAGTCCATTGTGTACACACACACACACACACGGTATTCTGTTACAGTCATGTATGTCCTGCTTTGGGAAACCTATCCTTTGTACCTTTCAGAGACAGAACAAAATATTTCATTCAGCCGTGTTTTCAGTTCGGGACTCGAAATGCCCTGGGACTGACTGTGCATTAGATAGCAAATAATCATTGAAGCGTGTCAGTTGCACTTGTTACCCTAGCCAAGGCTATTGGTGAACTCTCTGTGTTGAGACTCTCCCTCTCCCACACTCTGTCCGATAAAACTCACATTTATATCCAAATGTAACTTTAATATTGATCGAATCAGAATAAATAACAATTCAGGTACAAAGGTCCAGGAATAAGCACGCCAGTGTTCAGTCTCTCCAGGAATGGTTTGTTCTCTCTCCTCAACCCCCCCCAAAAGGGGGTAAGCAGGAGTAAGATCACCCCCCGCCACCTCACTCACTGGCCTCCACATTCCTGTATCAGAACCCTGCTGGTGCATCTCACATTATAGGAACTGAAGTAATGGAAAAAGTAAAATCGCGCCAATCTGTAAATTCCCAATTTCTTCAGCTAATTCTTCTTCTGAGCAGCCTTGCCAGAGACAGTGTGCAACATTCCCATGCTTCCCTGCTTCCATCATCAGCGGAGGTGGCTTGGAGCAGGGTAGAAGCTGCCGCCTCCCCAAGGTCGGAAGGTTGATGAAGTCAACTCTTTGATACTATATAAAAAAATAAGGATCACTGATGTCAAGCAATATTTTTTTCTCTAAGAATCTGGTCAACGTTTGTTATCAGAAATCCCAGTCCTCAATGTCCAACTCTTCCAAACTGGCTTCCATTTCGTCCATCCCTCTGTCGTGCCCTTGAGAGGAGTTGCAGTCTGGCATGGGGGCCACTGGTCGCAGCAGCTCCGGCAGCATCTCTGCTGCTCTCCTCTTCAGCTTTTTAAACATTAAAGAGAAATCAAGTTAGCTGGCGAACGTCAGAGAAACAAAGTTCACGTTCTGATTCAAGTTCAGAAAGGTTTGGGGCCCTAGGAATTAATTCTCATGAGGGAAGTTGAAGGTGGGGAGATGAAGAACAAGGCGAAGGGACTTTGGGAGACAGTTTCAGTGGACAGGGACACAGTCGCTGATGGCTGGGCCACTGGTGGTGGAACCGAGGGAGTGAGGAAATGCAGAGAATATGGATAGAACAGGGCTGGAGGAAACTGCATTGTTCTGGATGGGCAAGATCATAATAGATCTGAAAGTTGATCCGCTCGACTACAAACAAAGTCTGTTTAAATGCAAGTGCGAACACACCTGTTTTATAAATGAATGATTGAGGAGTGCGTTGGCTGAGGGTCTGTGAAGAACAAAACAAGAAGAATTAAGACATTAAGAGTGGTAGAGAACCAGGCACAGCAGCATAACGATTGCAAGAGAATACCACTGGCAGGTAAATAGAAATACACGTGGGTAAAATGTGATCAAAAGCCCTCAAAGAGCTGACAGAAGAAGGCATGCGATTGCAATGAAAGTACCTGTGCTCAGGCTCCCTCTGTAAGCACAGCTCTACAAAGTTGTGGAAGAGCCCAGAGAAGGTCCTGTTGTAAGGGTGCTGCTCATGTTCCCCGTTTGTTGCTCGGGCTCCACAGGCCGCACTGCCCTCCACTATCCCCGAGTCCACCCCTGAGCGAGAGTTCTTCATCATCAGCTCGTCCTCAGGGATGGTGGTGGTGTCCAGTAGGCAGGGCACGGTGCCATTCAACTTCTCCAGCAACATCTGAGGAGCAAAGAAAATGCTAAGAAGTCATAACCATCTCCGTTTACCTCGGCGTAAGGAACAACCCAGTTGTTAGTTGATTGGCAGATTGCTTTCCGAGGGTAATGATCCCTTCCTCCTACCCCCCAAAAAAGTGGTCACTCGATCCACGACTGTTTATGGGACAATGCTCTGCGCAATTGGCTGCCGCGTTTCACCCACAAAATACAGTCGCTCCACTTTGCATTATTTTATGTGAAGCGCTTTGAGACATCTCCAAGACGTGATAAGGTGCTTTACCAAATGCAAGGATTATTATTATCATCAATTTTTGCGACCGGTGTGAAAGGAAAAGGGAAGCTGTAGTTAGAATGCAACGTACTCACCTGAGTTGCCGGCATGTTTTTGAAGGGAACGTGCCCATTAGCCAGCTCACAGGCAGTTATTCCCAAACTATAAATATCTGATTTTGCATCATAACCCTGCAGGTTCTACAAACAAAGAAGAGAAATTGCACGCAAGTTATTTCCAGTAGGTTAACCTCTGACATCTATCACTCTTCCTCGATCCCTCCGTCTTGCCACCTCCTCCCCACCTTCAGGTCGCATCTGAAGACCTTCCACTTCGCCCGTGCCTACGGTCACTTTCCCCCCTCCCTCCGGCTCGGCATCGTGCTCTGCCAGTGTCAAGCGCTCTGGGACGCTACGCTGCATGAGGGTCGCTAAATAAATGCAAGTTTTTGTTTAAAAAAAAAGGATTGACAGCAAGTTTCAAATGGCCGGCTTTGGACAGCCAATCCGTGAGTGTTCCGCGGGATCAGCAGGTGGAAGGCACAGAGCCAATAACTGTTGGGATCAAAAGCCTCAGATATTCAGGGATTTTATAAGATTCATCTGATGCTAATGATAGTACTGCCACGTGCAGGACTGCAGTGCCAGATAAACTGAAAGTTTGAGTTCCACCAGGTACAATATCCTGTACTTTCTGAATGGATGATACACAGCTCCAGTTCAATACAAGTGCCAATGCACACACACTGGAGACATTATCCTGAAGCTACCCTTTACCAGCAATTGTTTACGCAAGAAAGCCCCTCCCGCCAGAGGTCAGTTTACCTGTTGTAGCAAATCTGGGCTCAGCCACGGCAATATTTTAACACTGTATTTCGGGAAATCATGAACCACCTTTAGCCTCTTCCCATGGCTGATCATGCTGAAAATACTGCGGAGTCCTGATAAATAAACTTGTCCATCCACTGAGATTAGAATGTGACTCGCTTTAACGCTCCTAAACAAAGGTGGGGGGATGGGGTGTGGAAATAACGAATGACTAAAAGTGAGCAAGACTATAATCCAATCCATCTCTACTTAACTTACAAAGAGAGAAAGCAGTAAATTCTAAAATCGTGCACACAGCAGTCATCCAGTTAAAGAGAAAACATTTAGCGCTTCCTCCATGTAAATCCAAGCAGTTCTAATCCTTTCACTAACACTCAAGAGCTAACCTGTGTACGTAGCCCATTCTATGAATGTAATCCAAAGCCTTTAGCACTCCCTGTAGGATGTACGCGATAGTAAGTTCCCCCAAACCATCTGTAAAGTGGCTGTTCATGAGATCTTTGGCAGAACCTAAGAAAAATCAGAACACATATAAACCACCTTAAGAGTTATAAATATAATCTTACAGTAAGGACTGGATACAAGCATTCAGAACAAAACAGTTTCCTTCCTCCTCTACATGGAAGGCATAGGGGTAAAGACTGGGAATATAAATTCAGAGAACAAATGAGGGAGCCAGCACATATGGAATGAGGGAAGTGTAGAGGCAGTAGGGGAGCGCACACCAGCACAGACGCTGACAATGGAGTGGAGGAATAGGATTAGAGTTTCGCTTTATTGAGGAAATTAGGAGCAGCAGACATGAGGGACCGAATGTGTGATAGATAAATCACAGGATTAGAAAGTGTAGGAAATCGATGCAAAAAAAAACCTTACCGTATTCCATGAACGGAGTCACGACCCACACTTCATTGTTAGCTATCAGCGTGGCTTTGTACGGCAATATGTTGGGATGGTGAAAGAGCTTACATATATGGAGTTCCCCCTAGTGAAGAAAACAGCTCAGTTAGGCCAACCACACGACAACCTTGCTTCAATTGTCTGTGAACGAATTGTTTCAATGATTTTAAAAATAAGGCAGTCTTAAAGAATTATATTGAAAAGGCAGCTTTATCTACTGATCATTCCTAGGACAGCTTTTGTAAAGTTTTACCTGTAATAAAGTAAACATCTCATTGGTGCAGTAGTCCAAATTAATCCTACGAACGGTCACACGTTGACCAGTGCGTTTATACCTGGCCAGGCTCACAGTCAGAATGTCCTCAAACCCAGTACCTTTAAAGAAACAAAGGAATTTACCAATCTGTAGAGCCAACATAGATTTAAATGCTGAGACGCTACCCTGTGTGGAGGGTGCTATATAAGTGCAAGTTGTTGTTGTAATAATAATAATGGGGAAAGAGCACACAGTAACTGCAGTGAATTGGCATTCAGTTATCATTGGAACAGCAGTAGCCATTCAGTCCATTGAGCCTGTTCTGACATTTATTGCTTGGGGAATATTCTTCCATATGTTAGCATCATGTGTTCAGTAGTTGTTATTATTATCATCATCATCAGAGAGAGCAGAATTGAATCAGCTAAAGCATGGATTTGGTGTAAAGAAGTGCTCTGACTGCATTGCCTCTTCAATGTGCATGATCCCCAGGCTCAGTGTTGAATTATTGGATCATGGCGGATCTTTTAGTCCCATCTCTTGATCTTTTCTTCATATCAACCTTACTTTCCAAGTATCTATCCATCTCCTGTGTGAACGCGCCAATGAAATCTGCGTCATACAACATCTAAGATTAAAGGTGTGTGTGGATATATATATATAAATTACCGATTACTTGCAGTAGTTCATAGGAACTACTGTCGGCTGGTAATGTACTCATGGTCTCCCAGTTCTGGGAGAACACAGTGTGTCCGGTTGAGTGTTCATCTGTCTGAGGAAGGAGAAACAGACAAAAACACGTTTAACACAGACCGCATCGTAACTATCTGAACAATGTGATTTTGATGATTTAGGAACCTTTAAAGATGTTTATTTCCTTTAGATTGTTCTTAAGAGTTTAAAAACTATACTTTTATCAAGCAGAAATCTATGATATATGAAAGGCCATCTCGGCTAAAACTGCCTAGTAACAGTCTGTGTAGCAGTGTGCCGGCTGCTTCCCTCAACATATCTACCGATGCCTGTAAATTAGCCACTTGGGTTCAAAACAAAAGGCGCTTAGTTATTTTATTTGAATTCTTTTCTTGCCCTACCTTCAGGTCTCCCGAACCACACCCCCTGACTCGCCTGGGAGATCTGACCCTCCTGGGGGAGCAGGTGATCTGTGAACAGCACAACTGAAAATCGTACATTGGCTTGCAAGCATTTCCAACCCCTCACTGATGGTACGATCGGGAAGCCATCATGCGAGGGAGCGACAGTCGCAACCTGCATCACACTGCTCGATGCAGCACTAACTGCATAACGCATTCCATTACAAATCGCTGACAAACCACACTGTTAATACAAACCAGCCACTGCATTATAACAGCTCGGAACCCGGATACACTGCATTACTAACTGCTTACAAACCAGATGTAATACATATTACAAACCACACACATTGAATTGCAAACCACTTACAAACACTGCATTACAAACTGCATAGAAACTCCTCCCACTCCATTTGATAAATCAACAGGAAATCCCTAATCTCAAGCTGAAGTCCCATAGAATGTGAGGAACACATATAATGTAAACCACGTGCAAATCAAAATGTGGTTGAAAAGATAAAAAGGAACCCACTTTTTATATTCAAGGCAGCAAAATAAAAACCCTTGAAGCAATACATACTGGGCATGCAGAAGGAGATAACATCCCAAAATGTACACCACAAGACACGACAGGAATTCATGAGCATGCAGGCATTGCAATCATACTCTTAGTGTTGGACACTCACCTTTCTTTGATATTCTGTCTGAGGTCGCTCTGAAGTAAAGAAACTAAATGTTGACTTTCAGTTATGGGATAAAAAGTACGGTCAAACATAATTACATGAACTCAGGTAGTATACCCAACCATTGGTACTCCCAAACCTGCACTCAGAGTACTGGTACTTAAGCATTTCCTGACTTTCTCCCCTGGCCACGCATAAATGTGACAAGACACTCTACAACAAAGCAGAGAACAGACTTACCAGCAAACAATCCCACGTCCTGCAGACTCTCCACACTGAGTTTCTCGGACACCCACTTCTGCTCTCAGGAATTCATAAAAAAATGAAAGACATCAGATGTTAATGATTGAGATCATTCCTCTTTTCTGATGATTTTCACTCCCAACCTCCCCTCTTCAAGCTTTAGATGAGAAAATTAGGCATTTTAAATAATTTTCCTTAAAAATCTGCAGCAGACTGAGAGAACGGAGGATCTACAACAGCCAGTTTAGTTTCTGAAGATCAGGAACAAACTACTTGCCTTTTATAGTGATGTTGCCTTTAAAGGCAGAAATCAGCAAACTTAAATCACACACTGCAATTAGTTTCATGTAAACACAGTAATCCAATCCCACCCCAAATTATTACAATGTTCAAATGATTTGATTATATAAAACTTTAGACTGTACAGCACATCCTCGTTAAAGCTGCTCAAATCCATCTGGAGCACTGACCAGAAATGACATGGGAACGCTGGTACGGTCACCAAACTGGCACAGCCATTAAGAAATCTAGTGAGAAAGGAAGATGGTGATTAGAGCAACGGTTAAGCAGAAGGCAACAAAATGCTCATTTATCGTAAAACATTGTTCAGTTTTCCTTTCAGTATGAAGGAAATAACGGCACTGAGTGTGAGGGCGGGTGCAGTGAGCATACTTCATCTTCAAGCATCTTCAAATTGAAGCGAACATAGTCTTAATTAAGGAGTCAAATCAAGTTCCCCCGCGAATCCCTTTTAAATGTAGATCACACGTATGGGTGTAATCATCCTAACCACGTTCCCTGCAAATTGCGTATATTGTGGCTCTCATTAATGCGCAAACAATACTTTGCATTGAGTACTGAGCAATTTGGGTAACACAATTCGCTCCATAAAGAACCTGAATGGACCAAACGGATGGATGGGTGGATGGATGGGATGGATCTTCGCGGGACATTGGTGGGGTGTTGACAAATAGGGGTTGCAGCGTTTGTTTGCCCACAAATAAATACAGTCGCCACACTCGACAGCAAGTCCCTGCAAAGGGCTTTGATGTTATGAGGTACGACGACAGCAACACCGAGACTGCATTTATAGAGCGCCTTTCACGCCGGGAGGACGTTCCGAGGCGCTGGACCCGACTGTCGGGTCGGGACCCGAGCATTGGGGGGGAAAATGGTCAAGGGTGAGGGGAGGGAGCGAGGGAAGGGGGTAGAGAGTCGAGAGGGGAGCCGAAGGCACGGTCGAAGAGGTAGGCGCCGTTCAGTCAGGTACGCAGCAATAATAATAATAATTCGGTCACTCCATCCACGACGGCGCGCGCGTGTGTGGGGGTGGGGGGGGGGAGGGTGACGGGCCGCCGCCTTTCGCCCACGGAGCGCGCGCGGTCAGACTGACCCCGCGGTGCGGGCCCGTGAGGCGCTTCGGGGTGTCGCGAAGAAGACCCCGGCGAGAGAGAGGCGCCGCGTCGAACGCAAGTAAAGGTGATGATTGTCGGGGACGTCCTCCCCGACGTGAAAGGCGCTCAATAAATGGAATCGTGTTGTTGTAGTTGTTGTCGTCGTCGTCGTCGTCGTCGTGGTGGTTGTCGTCGTCGTTGTTTCAGACAGGACGAGCCCGGGGCTGGTCATGGAGGGGCCCTGTTTTGGTGGGTGGGGGTGGGGAGGGGGGGGTGTGGGGAGGGGGGGGCGCCACGTAAACCAGTGCCGTCGTCGTTATTACCCAATGTAGACCAAAAGGAGCCTCGACCCGGGAGGCAAACAGCCCCCGAAACGATTGGAAAGCCGACACCAACCTCTGACGGAAAGTTTCCGTGAAGCGCTCTCTCTCTCTCCTCTCTCTCTCCCTCCTCTCTCCCGCTCTCTCGTCTCGCGCGCGCCGCCGCCGCCGGCGAACCCTCCCCCCCCGCAACCTAACCTGCTGCCGGAAGTCCCGCCTCGAGCGTGCCGCCGCTCCCCCCCCCCCCCGCCGCGCCCTGAGTGGCCGCTGGCGGCGATTGACGGGCTGCTCGGCTCTCTCATTGGCCGAGCTCGCCGTCAATCGCCCCGCGCGCCCCGCCCTCGGGCTGCGCGCCTTCCACAGCCGGGCCAGCAGGTTAGGTTGCGGGCCTGGTTTTCCGCTGCGACCTCCTCGCCTCAGAGCGGACGGGGGGGAAAAAAAACGCGAACGGTCGTCGCCGCCGCCGTCCGTCCGTCCGCTTTGTCGACGGCCCCCAACCGGAGCTTCGAGGCCAAAAAGTGTGGGGGTGGGGGGGGGTTCGGCGAAGCGGCGTTCAGTTGACGTTTCGTGAGGGAAGGAAGGAGGGAAAGGGAAAAGGAAAAGGAAGGAAAGCGCTCGGTGACCCTCGACCCCGACACACGACGCCCCGCGCATCGGCGAGAAGGAGCCCCAACTGAGGTATTTTTAATCGATCGATCGATCGATAGAGAGAGAGAGAAAAAAATAACTAATAATAACCGATTGAACGTCGCCTCCCGGTACCGGGGAGGGGGGGAGGGGTCGGGGTTTTTATTTTTTTTTCTCTCTCTCTCTGAGGTAAAAGTCGGCGGTGTGTGTGTGTGTGTGTCGGTGGGTGAGAGAGAGAGGGGGGGGGCGGTGTGCGCGTGCGCGGGGCCGGGGCCGGGCCGAGCGGTTTTGTTGTCGCTTCTGAGACCCGCGGCCTTGCGGTGGGGGGGAGGCCGGGGGGGGGAGGGCCGGGGGTGGGGGGGGAGGGCCGGGGGTGGGGGGAGGCCGAGCCCGGCCACAGCCACAGCCTGAACCCCCCCCCCCCCCCCCCACTCAGTCACACCCCCGCCCAACACTCACTCCCTCCACCCTCATCACTACCACTACCGCCTCGACCGAGAGCCAGGCCTCCAGACCCCCTCCCCACCAACCCCCACCCCGGGGGGTGGACACACACACAAACACACACACACACAGAGCGAGTCCCCCCTCTCCCTCACACACACACACATAAACACACACACACAGAGCGAGTCCCCGTCCCCTCCCCCCACACACACACACACAGAGCGAGTCCCCCCCTCTCCCTCACACACACACATAAACACACACACAGAGCGAGTCCCCCCCCCCCTCACACATACACATAAACACACACACACAGAGCAAGTCCCCCCCCCTCCCTCACACATACACATAAACACACACACACAGAGCAAGTCCCCCCCCTCCCTCACACACACACACACACACACATATAAACACACACACAGAGCGAGTCCCCCTCCCTCACACACACACACATAAACACACACACACACACAGAGCGAGTCCCCCCCCCTCCCTCACACACACACACACACATAAACCCACACACAGAGCGAGTCCCCCCCCCTCCCTCCCTCACACACACACATAAACACGCACACACACACAGTCCACCCGCCGACCCTCCCTCTCTTTCTCTCTCCCCCGCGCGAGCAAAGACCGAGACACCGACCGACCAGCGAGCAAAAGCAATCCCCCCCCCCCCCCACACACACACACACTCCCGGGGCTACACGGCGGAGGTACCGCCGTTTGAAACCTTTTCTTTGCCAAATCAACAGAGGGAGGGAGAGAGAAAGAAAGAAAGTGCGTAAATAATCTCTCCTTTCTCGTGTGAGTGTGTGGGGGGGGAAGGGGGTGTGTGTGTGTGGGGGGGGGGTGGTGGTTGTATAGGGCCTGGTCCCTGCCTGAGTCGTGCCCCCCCCCCCGGGGGAAGAAGGAGGAGGAGGAAGATGATGATGAGGGAGGGAGTGCGGGGATTAGATTAACACTTGCTTTTTCCTGTTGTCGCTCGTTGCTCCGAGCTACGAGCCGCCAGCGTTGCATCTTAGTGGGTCGGTCGGTCGGTCCTGCTGCATTGCATGCGTTTGTTTTTGAGCTGCGGCTATCGCCTTCCCTGGAAGCTCGACAAAACCATTCCCGCCTCTTAACCGAAATGGATGGCCCGATGCGATTTGCCAGGAAACCTTCTGACCGACGGTTCTTCTTTCTTTGGCGTCGTGGCAGAACGCTCGACCGGGTTACGCCCTCGGGAGAAAACTGAAGGATAAAGAAAGTGTTCTGTTTGTGTGTGTGTGTGTGGAGTGGTGGTGGGAGACAGAGCTTTGCTGTGATTAAGAGTACCTGTATCAAAATAGCCTGACATCTGCAATCATTGGCGCACGCCCCGTTGTGAGAACGAAAATGGTGTGGATATCTGGTCATCGCACAACGTACAATCAACATAACCCACACCTAACTTCTGTCGGGTGTTATTGGCCCTTTAACGCCACGCTGCGCTAGATAGACTGTCTCTCGCGTTCAGGTGCCCTCATGGTTGATAACTTTGTATTGTACTCTGGTCTCTTGCTAAATCCTAATTTGGGATTACCGTAGGGGTCAGAAGAAAAATTCTAAACCTACTCCCGTACTAAACATCATCCTGCTGTTTTGGAGAGTGTGCGCGCGTGTGCACAAACAGATGTACGTACATCAGTTGATCGGAGTAGACTCGGCTCTAATGTCATAACAATAATAATCCTTGCATTTGATATAGCGCTTTTCACGTCTTCTAGACGTCTCAACGCACTTCACAGAATAGACTGTAAAGTGAATTGACTGTATATTTGTGAGCGAAATGCGGCAGCCAAATTGTGCACAGTGGTGTCCCACAAACAGTCGTGGATTGAAGTGACCTTTTTTTCTTGAGGGATTATTATTAGGGGTGTGGAGTAAGGAAACTTGCCCAAGGTTTGGCCCTGCCGGGAATCGAACCCAGGTCTCTCGCTTGAGAGGCGAGTGCTCTAACCACTGAGCTGCAGGACTCCACCTTGCAATCTAATAGTTTGACAGCAGTCTGTTTAGGCCCTTGCAAGAATAATAGTCACTGGGCAAAGTGAACGGCACCTTCTGCTTGTAGGATTAATACCCAGAAAGGATCTGTACTTTCTGGATGGGAGTAAATGTGTGTGCATAGTTGTTGTGATAAGATGGGGAAAGTGAGGGATTTTGCCCACTGTGAGTATCTTGGGTGGGATATCATTCTGAGCGTTGTGTATCCTGTAGTTTGCACTTTGTTAAGAGCAATATTTTGACAATTTAAATACTTATTAGACTCTTTATTAGCATGGATGGATTCTCAAGCTGAAGGCATTTTGGAGAACTCTGGTAATACTTATGTAACTTACTTGTGTAGCTAAACCATGAATTGGAATAAAGGAGGGACTGGAGGAAAGAGGGGATTTGGCTTTGGTGGTTTTGCCATCGCGACTGGAAAGAAAGAAGAATCAAATCTGCCGAAGACATCCCATTCCGTATTTGGTGCAATGGGCCCTGGTGGAGGCTATGGGAAAGGCCAGGTATCTCAGACACCCTGCTTTTACAAAGTTGGATCAAAGCGCCCAAACTTTGACGAAGAAAATGCGTGAGTATCTTATTCCGTACATTGTAAACTATAAACCTTTTGTTGGAGTTTATTTTCACAGTAAACCTTAGGAAGAAATGTTTTCAGTTTTTTTTTAAAAAAAAGGTCAGATTAACAGAGCAGAGCTATAACTATTATAGAACGAGGAACTATAAAGAGTTTCGGAGAGGAACTAGGCAACTTTCTGAAAATTATAAAGATTTAGAATTCTTAGATGATGAGATTGAGGTGTGAAGGACTCTTTCCTGAAGTTGGCTGGATGGACCGCTTGGCTACACCTGCCGAAAACTAGTTACAAAATTAAAAAAACGAACGCTTAAGATAAAATTCATTGTCTAGTAAATCAAAGACCACTGAGTAGACCAACAGCCTCCCTAATTTCTCCTCCTTGTGGTTCTTTCAGATATTTTGAAGATGATGATGAAGATGACAATTCAGCCGATGTGGATTTGCCCTACATCCCTGCAGAGAACTCTCCAACCAGACAGCAGTTCGCTTCAAAATCTCGAGACTCTGATGATAGTGAAGAGGATCCTTTAGATGCTTATATGGCTGAAGTGGAGGTAATCAAATGACATGAGGAGTTTTACTGAGACTTTCACATGTCCGAAATGATCACTTCAACTATTTAAAAGAGTAAAAGCTGCAAGAGTTTCAAATGGAGAAAGCTCTTTTGACCTGATTCTTCATAATATTCACCACTCTCTTCACATTTACTGTGTTAAAGTGGTTTCTTAAATTAGTCCCAGCTTAAACACCGTTCCTCATAACCCCTTGCAGCTGTTGATTTCCCCTCTGTAAAGAAACACCATCTGCTGTCTCCTCCTGTTCTAAACTTGCCCTTCATGCCCCTAAACCTGTGCTCTCTTGTCCTGCTGCTTTGGCATATCTGAAAGCAGTTGGTCTGAGTTTACTTTCTCATTCCATTTAGGATCTTATGTAGGATCGTTTCATTTTTGTTTAACCTGTTTTCAACCAAAGATTTCATGCTTGAAGTAAGATTTATTCATAAATGTCTTTTGGCTATAGATAAAGGGGATAATTTGAAATTAAAGTATTCACCTTAGGCTTCCTTTTCTCCCTATAAATACTGCATGTGGAGTCCCACTAGTGCTGGAGTCAGGTAACTTCCCCATACACCAGCTTTGTGTGGTGTAGGCCAAGATCTACTCTGATTGTGTGTATCTCCTGATGTTAAATGGTGTTTTTTTCCAGGACCAGGCAGCAAAAGATATCAAAAGACTCGATGAAAAGGAAAGCGATAAGAAAAATGCAAAGTAAGACCCATTCCTACTCATCAAGATTTTTCTCAAAGCTCATTTGTGACTGCATCTTTAGTATAAGCTGTATTTAGAGTATTTCTCACTCATCATATTGAGTCAATATGCCTCAGCCTTCTTGTCAAGGAATAATTATTTTTGAATGCACCTTATTTTGTGTCTGATCAGCACAGCACCGAGAAGAGGAGGCACCTTCACCGCATCTCCTTAATTGCAGTTGAGATTGTGGGGAGCTTTAAGAGCAAATTATCCCTACTTGCGAATTTTTGGATCAAGTGAGAAGATTTGCTAAAAAAAAAGTTTTGAAATGAAATCCCATCTCAGTTGCATTCTTGTTGAGGAATGGAATAGAATCATCGTGGACTCAAATGGAATCATTCACCAATGTATGGTTTAGAAAACTTGAAGACCTTCCCATTGCATTTTGTGACCGCCTCCAGCAATGGACCAGGGCATGTGAATTTCATCCAGATTCGGCTTCCTTAGCTTGTGTCCCAAAGTAGCCAAATGCTATTTTTATTGTGCCGAGAACATTTTAAAATTACAATGCATTTGCCTTTTCTGGCGTGCAGTGCGATATCTTAAATTAAGATCAGTTTATCCTTTATAACCTTTCAATCCATATATTCCCTGTAGATTTACAGTAAAAAGAACTACGTAATCCATAAAACTATGCCAGGCTGAAGTTAAGATAATCATAGGTTTTGCCCATTGTTTAACAGCAAAGGAACGGTTCTGAATTTTTCTCTTGTCTGAGATTAGATGGCTGAGGCATATTGAAAGGTACATCCTAGCATTCGGAGGTCAGTATTTTAATTTTAGCATGATCTTTAAATCATAACTCGTTTCCTTCACGTTTTTCTTCAGTAAACATGCTAGGCTTTCGCCAATGCAACAAAGGTGATTTTAAAAAAACATTGGGCTAATCCTTTCGGATATCTGTTGACACACAGATTTAATATTAGTGACGTGTAGAAAAGGCACGTCGGTTTGAATTTATTCACCTGAAAGAAGCAGCATCTCCTTTGCTTCAAACCCGATTAGTTGAGCAACATTTCACTATGACTTCATTGTAGTTGAACGCAATTCTAAGATCTTTCTCATGATCGCCGTTTAATCATAGTAGCAGGAACTGCCATCGTGGGAGTAGTCTGCATTTCTGTTTGTGGATGTGGCTTTAGAAGTCACTGGGTTAGGATGGGGAGTCGTTGATCACAAACTAAACACAGGTCACTAACAAAAAAAAATAGCTTGGTAGACTAACCCGTTTTTAAAATGCTGAAATCTTATTAGTCACTTTTGGCAGATGCTGTGCAGACATCATTACCTGTCAGAATATTTACTGAACAGATGCAGTTTGCATTTCCTTGATGTTTGAACTGTGTAGGACAGCAAACATTTTATGTAAGTTGGGAACCTGTAGGTATATTCACAATGTGATCATTTCATGCTTTGATGCAATCACGCTGGGTCTGTTGAACAGTTGCAGGGAGTTGGTTTTTCCCTTTGTTTTTACAGGGGTATAAGGGATGACATTGAAGAGGAAGATGATCATGTGAGTCCTTATGCAGTCTTTTTTGCATATTTGAAAATAACATGCAGATCATCATGTAGTCACTGTAGCCTTCAGTTTGTACCAGTCTTTGGTAAAGAGCAAAGCTTGGCTAAACGGTGTGTGTTGCAGCGTCTGAAGCTTTCTGTCAAAACAAATCTATCCTTTATTATAAATAGAAGATCAGCTTTCATTCTCCATAGCATGATGATCCCACAATTGCTGTTTTTCAGTGACACTGTTATGGATTATGAATTGAAAGTGATGTGGTTGGAAGGAGACAAAGACAATTCTCCAGCCAAAGCCAACTTAAACTGGCATTGCCACAGGTCATTCAAGTGGCCATTGTTTCCCATGTTTTGTGGCTTGGTGGCTGGTTGCTTGTTATCAACCAAAGGAATTTCTTGCCGTGTGAATTATACCTTTAGTACTTGGGGCCATACCAATAACTGTCTGCTGACTCTGGGCTGCAGTGTAACTCTACTGTGTATTTAAATGGATGAGAAACTTTTAGAGCTACTGTGGTATAATGTAATTCAACATCACCCTCGCTCCCCACCCCTCCCCCNTCCAAGAAAAGTGTTCTTTGTTTTGTTTCTTGTTACTATCTGCTGTTTTCAGAATTTAAAAAAGTTTCTCCATGAATATCAAAAATTACCACTCGTGCCTTTACATTTTCTTCAGTATAATACAGTACTTTGGATTTTCTCTGTATGATGTCTCTTTCAACTCATTACAGTGAATGGTTTTCCCCCAGGTTCACAGTAAGAAGAAGGATTACCTTTGTGGTTTATTAAGACATCAATTTTGGATGTGACTTGTACAATTGCTAACTCGTGCAATTTATCTAAATTGAAACTCTTTGGGGGCTGTTTCAAACCTAATGCAGAACTCTCATGCCCAGCATTTGTACTCGAGATGCAAGTTGGTAGTTGAAATTCAATCCATCACCAAGTTTCAGAGCAGAGCTGAGTTTTAACTATTGTTTTTATTGTTGTTAAACTTGAGCAGTATTCACAGTAGCTGAATAGTGTTCTTCTCTTCTGTATTGCTGCTAGCTGATCACTTGCTGCTTCTGAGTTTGTAAAGGGGCGGGGGGTGGTGGAGAGGAAGAGGAAGCAAATATAAGACTGAGGAGGGAGACTAGCAAGACTGGGAATTTTTTTTAATGGAAAAAGAAACGTTGATTGCGGAAACAGCGAAATCAAGGGGCAGCATGGAGAGGAGAAAGGCACTTGTGAGAAAATACAGAGCATGCACTGTAAAAAGATAATGTTAAGTGCAGAATGAGGAACAGAGTGGACCAATTAATCTAAGGCAGAACAGTGGCACAAAGGAATAGTTACTGATGTTGTGCCTTTTACCAAGTCCCCTTTTCACATGACATAGTAGCAAACAGTACTTTGAAACCCACATGAATTTTTCACCGTGATTTTAACATGGGTGCTGAAGGCTTCAGTGTAATTAGCAACATGGAATTCTCTCTCTGGTTTGACTTGTGGATTTTGTTTGTGTGCAGGAAGCCTACTTTAGGTACATGGCTGAAAATCCGAATGCTGGTGTGGTTCAAGAGGAAGATGAGGACAATATGGAATATGACAGCGATGGTAACCCTATACCTCCACTAAAGAAAGTGATTGATCCTCTGCCTCCTTGTGATCATTCTGAGGTAGGCAGAAATCTAAGAATTCACCAAGATCTAACTGTAAATTAGGGAATAGTAGACAATGTACTATGCAAATGTTTTATATTATACATCACTGATAGGGAAGTTTGAATCCCAGGCAAATGCAATTCAGTAATTGTATGTAGGTGGGATAGTAGGAAATGAGGTTATAGGAGAGGGGGTGTGAGGCAGCAAAGTAACTTGTCCTTGTTGTTCAAGCATGCCTTTTGTTGGTTAACCAACAAGTGCTGTTAAGTGTCCGTATGGATTCTGTGCTGACACCAGATTTAACTGCCTTTCCGTCCAAGATAATTAGTGTGAAAGGAAACAATTGTTTGAACAGCACGTGCCATTTCTATGTCTGTCTTTTATAAATCCGCAAAATCGCACAAATAATTTGCTTGAAAAAAAATCTGCTATTGAGAAGCAGTGTCGTTACAGTCCACCTCTCGTGACTTTGAATCCCTTTTCAGATCGAATATCAGCCATTTGAGAAGAACTTCTACATCGAACACGAGGAGTTGGCCAAGCTTACACCGGTGCAATTAGCTGAACTCAGACAGAAGTTGAACCTGAGGGTGAGTTTGGAATTTCCATTTCCCTAAACACATACATTTTCGGCACTTTCCCGTTGTCTTTTGGTTTGATTCCATTAATGTCCAGCCACTTGTGGTACTGGATTCCATACCCTAACTCTGTGAATGACGAAATTCCTTCAAAACCTCTCCCTTAACCTTTGCTAAACAATCCTGATATTGTGCATCTTTGTTATTGGTTTCCCAGCTAAAATTCAGATGAGAATGTTTCAGGTGCAGAATTGGTAAAAGCACTTTCTATTTTATTCCGAAGATTTTCATTTTCTTTCGTAATTGGCAGAAGTGGGGGCGATGCTGCCAGTGATTAATGATCTGTGGAGGAGGAGAAAAACACAATCACAGTCTTTTTCATATATAAAAAAAGTTTGCTTTTATTCATGCCATAATCCTTGCCTTCCTTTGCAATCCTTGCAATTTTGCTTCTGAGCAATTAATTGGTTAAAAGTGCAATCTTGTTTTAAAATATTCCGTTTCAAACTAAATAAATTACTGTAACTACAGCCATTGGCAAATAAAAAACACATCGCTTCAGTCACTGATTGAATTGGTGAGGCTTTTCCAGTGAAATTGCAATTTTTCTAAAATAAAATGGCTGAAGTGAGGCTTATTGTTCAGCTGCCGTGAGGCTCACAGTCTGTCCTCTTTCCTCTTTGCAAATTGATTTCTGCTGCTGGCAGACGATGAAGAGTAGGATAGGAATTGCCGTGTTGTGTTCTCAGCTGTGCTAACACCGAAAATGACCTAGAGTGTCGGAGCCGGTGCAGAATAGGGAATTAACAGAATTGTAGAAGCTCCGTCATTCTGAAAAGGGAAATAGGGACTTAAGTTGGAGTAATGATCTGTTTTAATTCATTCATTTCAGGGAATACTATTATTACAGTGGAGTCCTGTAGTTCAGTGGTTAGAGCACTTGCCTCTCAAGCGAGAGACCTGGGTTCGATTCCCAGCAGGGCAAAACCTTGGGCAAGTTTCCTTACTCCACACGCCTAATAATAATGCCTCAAGAAAAAAATAAAAATTGGTCACTTAAATCCGCGACTGTTTGTGGGACACTGCTGTGCGCAATTGGCTGCCGCATTTCACTCACAAGTATACAGTCAATTCACTTTACAGTATATTCTATGAAGCTCTTTGGGACATCTAGAAGATGCATTTGCATTTAATATAGCACCTTATCACATCATTGGGATGTCTCAAAAGCACTTCACAGAATATATTGTAAAGTGAATTCACTATATTTTATGGATGAAAAATGGCAGCCAATTGCGCACAGCATTGTCCCACAAACTGTTGTGGATTGAGTGACCAAATTATTTTTTCAATGAATATTGCTTCTGTTTGTTGCTTTATTTGTCATACTGCAGATGTGTTGTGCTAAGGGAGAAATGCATTGTTAATCAGATAAATAAATACAAACGGGAGAGAAAACAGTCCTTGATATTAAAGTTTAAATGTTCTGAAATAGCCTTTATTATCTCTGAAATGTTTTTGTGATGTTTTGTGCAGATCTCTGGCGCCGACGCTCCCAAAACCTGCAGCAGTTTTGCTCACTTTGGGTTTGATGAGCAGCTGATGCATCAGATCCGAAAGTCCGAGTACACACAGCCAACACCCATACAATGTCAGGTACTTGTCTGACCACTACCTGCGAAAGCTTAGATTTTTATTTTAGATTTTAGACATGGCTGTCTTTTGATTCTTTCTGCCTTTTGGACAGTACAGATTTTGAATTGAAAATATTAATATTTGCTGATTGATGTACACTCAATATCTTAACCACTTTTGTGTTCAGCTTCAGGAATCTGATTTATCATTCGAAGCTTTGTGCAATTTATTTTGTTGGGAATGCTGTGTTTCAAATGAGTTACCTTTTTCCTGTTGCGTGGATCTAAAGCCTGATGTTAAGTTTTGACTGTAAGAGTTACACGAGCAAACATTGCTCATGCAACTATGGCTTGATAGAGAGGATTTAGCGGTGCTGGCTGGTGACTATGTCCATGTGTTTGAATGCAGGGTGTCCCCATTGCGCTGGGGGGCAGGGACATGATTGGAATCGCTAAAACTGGGAGCGGTAAAACCGCAGCCTTCATCTGGCCAATGCTCGTTCACATCATGGATCAGAAGGAGCTGGAACCTGGGGATGGACCCATTGGTGTGATCGTCTGCCCTACCAGAGAGCTCTGCCAGCAGGTAACTGCCAATGGCTGCAATCTGGGAAAATAAAACTAGGATCGCAGAGAGGAGAAGCACTCGTGACTAACAGAAACACAAGGCAGATTTGGTTAAATAGTTGGAGGTGGAGGGTGCTAACTCCCACATATTTGAGCATGTTTGATGCAAAAAAAATTAACTATCACAAAATTGTGTGCGAGTCGTTGGCTTTGAGATTTTTTTCAATGTGATACTGGGCTGTATCGGGTGCAAATAGTTATATCTTCAACGCGCCGGGAATGCACTTGTTCCCTGCCTGTCTGACCCGTGCTTTAATTACAGATTCATTCAGAATGCCGGAAGTTTGGCAAAGCCTATAACCTGAGGTCCGTGGCCGTATATGGCGGTGGCAGCATGTGGGAGCAGGCAAAGGCTCTGCAAGAAGGAGCAGAGATTGTTGTGTGCACACCAGTGAGTATAAAGGCTAGAAAAGTGATGCTTTTGCAGAGCATCGTTAACTAAGAGATGCGCTAGTGATCAATATTAATATCTTTTCGTTAAATATTGCCACACAAACCTCACTACATTGTGGGGGTTTTTTTGTATCCTGAAAGAGAATCTGTAAAGCATGTTCACAGTTTCAGTAAAAACAATGATTTGATATAGTGAAGCTGTATAATAAACTGGTGTTCGTAAAGGTGTCAGACCGTTTGATCTTTACTCTTATTCTCTCCTCCACCCCCACCTCCAGGGCCGGTTGATAGATCATGTAAAGAAAAAGGCTACCAACCTGCAGCGAGCAACCTATTTAGTGTTCGACGAAGCTGACAGAATGTTTGACATGGGGTTTGGTAAGCAGAAAGAGAGACCATGTCATCAGCATATAAAATTCACTGGATGACTTAGGGTGTGGTGTTCCAACCTTTGTTCTTTCATATTTATTTTTACAGAATACCAGGTGCGATCAATAGCCAGTCATGTTCGTCCAGACAGACAGAGTAAGTGTTTTATTTATTACCGCGCCGTGGTAAAGGAATATAGGAACTCAAGCTAAAATTCCAAGTGGGAAGCTTTGGCAACGTTGAGATGAGTAGAAACTTGACAAAAAAAGGTGTCTTCAGGATAGTGGTACAAGAGTGCGATTTACTCTCAGGGTTTGTTTGTTCTGTAAACAATTCATGCTTTGTGTTTCATGAAGCTTTCCAGATATACTTTTAATAGATAATGTACTCCTGGTAGCTGTTTATTTTGAGAAGCATTTTCTTGACAATTTTCTGTGTTTACAGAATCTAAGTATTGAACTGTATAAAGGTTGTGCCATGATTGGACTGTGCATCTGAAACCTCATAATAATAATAATAATCCTTGCATTTGATATAGCGCTTTTCACATCTTCTAGACGTCTCAAAGCACTTCACAGAATAGACTGTAAAGTGAATTGACTGTGTATTTGTGGGTGAAATGCGGCAGCCAACAGCAGCGTCCCACAAACAGTCGTGGATTGAAGCAACCAATTTATTATTGTTTTTTTTTCTTGAGGATTATTATCAGGTGTGTGGAGTAAGGAAACTTGCCTAAGGTTTTACCCTGCCGGGAATCGAACCCAGGTCTCTCGCTTGCAAAGCGAGTGCTCTAACCACTGAGCTACAGGACTGCTCATAATCTGTATTGGAAAATAGCTGGTGGATTCTAGGAATTGCTGCCATGAAGAGTAATTGGAAGAAGATGTTAACTGTGCCTATTTCACATCTCGATCAGTTCAGTTTGGTTTAAATTATATTCATTATCAGAATCCTCTCCTTAATTTTTTTTTAATTTCATTTCAGCTTTGCTCTTCAGTGCTACATTCCGAAAGAAGATCGAGAGGCTGGCACGAGACATCCTCATTGACCCTATCCGTGTTGTACAGGGAGACATCGGCGAGGTAATGGCACACTTAACCACACTAAGGGGCAGAGACCAGCTGTCTGTTAGGCAGCTGGCACGGTGGAGCAAGAATGTGCTCCAGAATTATCTTGCCAAATGTTTGAAGGCAGTTTATTGAACTGCAAAAGCCTAGTGTATGAGCAGGAAATTCAGTACCTTCCAAACTGGGATCAATTGAGGAAAACTAGTGGATAAGGACCTTGTGCTCTTGGCACCATTTATACCTCTTCCGCCCCAGATGTTTGAAAGTTTGTTTTTTGCCATCTTACAGAGTGAGTGCTTTGCAGTCAACGCTGGGATTCCAACGCAAGCAGTCGTGGCACTTTTGCACTGGTTCTATTTTAATAATCCTTGCATTTGATATGGCGCCTTATCACGTTGAGACATCTCAAAGCGCTTTGCAGAATATACTGTAAAGTGGATTGACTGTATTTTGTGGGCGAAACGTGGCAGCCAGTTTTATGCACGGCATTGGGCTGACGGCACTGAATCTATTTTTATTAGTTGGATAATAGTTTTTTTTGACCTTCTCTTTGTAGGCGAACGAAGATATTACGCAGATTGTGGAAATATTCCTGAGCGGTCCCGATAAGTGGAACTGGCTTAACCGGAGACTTGTGCAGTTCACGTCCTCTGGCAGCGTCCTCATCTTTGTGACTAAGAAAACCAACTGCGACGAGCTAGCTACCAACCTCAACCAGGAGGGCTACACTGTGGGGCTACTGCACGGAGACATGGACCAGAGCGAAAGGAACAGAGTCATCTCTGACTTCAAGAAAAAATCTATTCCTATACTCGTGGCTACAGACGTAGCAGGTGAGAGGTTTTTCTTGAGATTCATAGAATGTTCTTGCGCTGGTGAGGCCCGATCAGTCCATAGCTGTTGTGTTTTGGGACGCTACCGTGCGTGAGGGGCGCTGCAAGTTGTTGTTTTCTTTAACTAGTGTGTGACTCACTCTGCTCGCTCTGCCGTTTAATGCTATTTATACTTGCTGGTTATTTCTTCGTGGTGGTGTGATGCTTCGTTCAACAATTGTTTGCATTTGGATTTGTTCTTGCCCACTTTGATCACTTGGTTTAGAATTTGGAAAGCCGCACATTTGTTTGGTGGGGCAAGTAGTGGGGGAAGTTAGCTTCATGTCCCAATTCACCTCTTTGTCATTGAGATCATTGAGAGTGGAATGGATTCTGTTTTCGGTCGAACAATGTTATTGCAATAAGCAGATATCAGAGTAATTCTGTTTTTCTTATTTCAGCACGTGGTTTGGATATTCCATCAATTAAGACCGTTGTTAATTATGACGTGTCTCGTGATATTGATACACACACTCACAGGATTGGGCGTACTGGCAGAGCAGGTGAGAAGACGTCTGCAGTGTGCAAATAGATCAAAACAGCAGTAGGATTGATGTTGTGGCGTAATTATAGGAATTTTACATTCTTACCTATTGTCCTCTTTGCACTGAGCTTCAAATACCGACACGTTTTATAGTTTATTTTGCCATTTCTTTCTCTTGGCCTCCCACGGAGCAATAGTAACAGGAGGAGGCCTTTTAGCCTTTTGAGTCTGTTCCACCAGTTTATTAAATCACAGCAGACTCTCCTAATCATAGTTATCTGTCTTTTCTTCCATCTTAATACCCTTACTTCCAGGTATATAGAAATAGTGTAAAAGATGCATTAATTTTGAGTGGCCAAAAAAATCTATTCTCGGGTATTTGACGTTTCTTTCCATTCCCCCTCTTTTCTCCAGCACACTATATTTAACTGATTGTTAGTAGTTTGCTGTTAGCATTATTTTAGTGAACTGTTTCTAGTCTTATCGTTGCCTTTTCCCATTGCAGGAGAGAAGGGGCTAGCGTACACCTTAATGACTGCCAAGGACAGTAACTTTGCTGGGGATCTGGTCCGTAATTTGGAGGGAGCCAATCAGTACGTTTCCAAAGAGCTGTTGGACCTGGCGTTGCAGGTATGAAGGAGCATTAACTCTCACAAGATACAAACTACAATATGCTATTCAATTTTAAAATGGAAGATGCTTTGCATATATTGTTCAGATGTGTGTCTTTCCATTGATTGGGCTGGACAAATACAACTGGCCCATAGGCTGGTCCTGAGCTAGAGCAATGGGTGGTGGGAGAGGAAAGCTCTGGGATTTCTCCTGTCTCATAAATCATGGTCAGACTTTCACTTCACGACTTGAGAATTGAGGATTTTTAATTTATTTCTATAGTATAACCAACCTTCTGCCCTCTGAGACGCTACTGAAGCGCTCTGAAATGCTACCCTGCATGGAGGGCGCTGTATAAGTACAAGTTGTTGTATGTGTGTGGTATTGATATCTGCCTCTGTTTAACACGGGAGTCTTAAGCTTTCCTATACAAATATAGTGTGTGTGTGAGTGTATATATGTATGATTTGACTTTCTTTGCGCAGTCTTGCTGTGCAGTTTCTTTCAACTTTGCATAAACACTCCAATCTACTTGCCATGCGGTGATGTGGTGATTGCTTTTTACTGTGCTTTGTTTAACAGTGAGTTCTTCAACCTTTCACTTTGTCTGCAGAACCCATGGTTTCGGAAGTCCCGTTACAAAGCAGGGAAAGGGAAGAGGCTGAATATTGGCGGAGGAGGACTAGGTTACAGGGAGCGTCCAGGCCTGGGTTCAGATATTGCAGTAAGTAAATGATCAGATTCGGATTTGGGAAAGTTGCAAAGATTGTACTTCGGCACTAATTGAAAAGAGAAAGGAATTTCTCATTGTGTCCTGGACAACAATCCTTTGATTTATTGGTCATGGCTGTTTGTTGGACTTTGTTGTGCACCAAATGGCTGCCACGCTTACTTGCAAAGTATCCCTAAACCTGACAGGAATTGTAAGGTGTTTTGAGACATTTTGACATTATAGGCAATACAAAAATGCAGAGTTCTCATTAATTCAAACTAACTTCTGGACAAATTTCCTCTTCCACAGGAAAGGCCAAGCTGCAATGCGCTGACTAATTATGAAGCATACAAACCATCCACAGGAGCAATGGGTGATAGGATGTCAGCCATGAAAGCAGCATTCCAGGTAAAAGCTCAACCGCACCTTCAGCGCAGCTGGAGTGCATATAGTTAATCGGATAATAATCGGTAATTATCGATTTCTGCTTCACATGCGTCACTTTCTCATATATAAATTTATATATATTTTTTATATTAAGAGTGGGGGAAAATTGTCTGTAAATTGAAGAGGAAAGTTTTGCTTATTGTATAATTTTTAACATTGTACCAGTGTCTCCATGTCTAGTGGTGTTGATACAAAACCAATGCTCGTGACGGTGACTTTACTGCACATTAATATTTGCTTTTCCCCCTCAGTCGCAGTACAAATCTCACTTCATCGCGGCCACTGGTACTGCCCCGAAGGTCACAGGGTCCTCCAGTAGCAGCAGCAACTGGACCAGTGCTGGGAGTTTGAGCATTGTCCCCAACTGCCCTCTTGGTGGGGTACCCACCAACCAACCCCCGGGGGCTGGCACCAACAGTGGCACTCGGAACAAAGACAGCGGCGGTCGGTCTCCTGAATTCAAGGGTCGTCCTACTGAGGGTGGCAGTAACCGTCCTATTGAGGGTGTCAGTAACCGTCCTGACAGTGGCCGCCACGTGGAAGGCAATGCCCGCCATCTTGAAGGGGCTGGTGGACGCCATCTCGAAAGCAGCAGCAGTCGTCACGGTGAGGGGGGTCGTCACGGGGACTCCGGGGGCCGGCACTCCAGCAGCAAGTACAACGACCGGAGCGACGGCCGGCACGGCGAGAGGAACAGCGAGCGCCACGGAGACCGGGGAGGCGAGCGCCACGCGGAGAGCAGGCACGGGGAGCGGAGCGCGGATAACAGGCACGGCGATCGGCACGGCGAGAGGGGGGCGGAGAGCAGGAGTGGCGGCGGGGGCGGCAATGGCGACACCAGAAACGGAGACAGCAGGAGCGCCAGTCGAAACAATTCCATCGGGAACGACGGCTTTGCTGTGCCAGAGCCACCGCCCAGAAAGAAGAAGAGCAGATGGGACAATTAATCCCTGGATCCGTGCCGTGCACTTTCCTGCAGGCACTTGCAGCGTGCTTCATTTTTTGAATCCATGTTTTAAAAAAAAACTACTGGGCATAGTTTTATCTGGATAACCAACGCAAAATGGACACTACACACACACAAAAGGATTTTTATTTAGAGTAGTGAGCTATGTACCTTGTATGTTAGTACTTGTATTTGAAATTGAAATGAAATTCTGTATATTGCAGTCCGTTGGGAGGTTTTCAATTTGTCAAATACTTTCAATATAACGTCGAATCGACTTGTTTTTTTGCCTCTGTTCTGCTCTTTGTGAAACAGTAAAATCATCTCAAATGTTCAGAAATAGTTATAGTACATTACTTTTTTTTGGGGGGGGGGGTGGGGGAAGAAGTAACATTTGTTGAGTTAGTTGCCCATTTGTGTTGAGCACTGGGTTGTGTTTGCCAGAAGAGTAACAGCAAAAGATTGAGGGCAAGAGGTAGAATTTTTGTAACTTACAAGCGTGTGTGTGTGTGTGTGCGCGCATGTTTATGTGTGCATGAGAGGGGTAAGCGACTAAGAAAACTTGTTCAGATTATCACTCACTGAGGTTCAGTTTTTTTCTAGGCAACCATTCACAAGAGATGAAAGTTTTGGTTAGAGGCACTTTGGTTCACTTGATCGTATTCTTCCAGAAAACCCTTCCTGTCATCTGCCCTGGCTTCAATCACTCTCCCAGATGTTCAAAGAAGTACTTTCTGGTGTCTGTTATGAAATTGTCCTGAACTGTGCGTCTTGTCCTATTGCCGTGGAATGTGTGTGTGGGGAAAAAGTAAATCCAGGATTATACTTTCAATCTCATTTTACGTCTAATATATTGTACTTCTAAAAGGTCCCCTCTCTAAAGATGTCCGTTTTCAAGACTGAAGAGCCATTGTGAGTATCACCTTTGTTGCTCTGCTTTACGTTGTATCTGCAGCCCCTTTGTACATTAGATTTGAGAAGGGTGGGTGTCCTCTTGGGAACGAATGTGTGAAACTCCCTGTTTGTGGAGCGCTCTGAATACACTTGGTAACATCATTCAAGTTTTCACTATAAGTATTTTGTTAGAGAACTTGCATTTTTCTAGCACTTTATCACTCCGAACATCTCAGAAGTGCTTTACAGTGATTGCATCGCGTACAGGACATGTTTTGCAGGAAGATGTAGCAGTCATTTTGCACCCAAGTTTTGGGAGACTGGAGAAGTGTGATTCAAGATGACTGCAGAGATAGATTGGGGGGGGGCAATATGGTGAAGGGATTTGAAGGGTCGGGCTGAGGATGTCTGCCTGCTGGCCAGAGAGGACATGGTCCAACAAGCGAGGTTTGCTGAATGGATCTTTGGGACAGCTGTGAGATATTATGCAAGACTGATTCTGGATTGTAATGCTGGTTCGAACCTTTTAAGTCAGGGTGGCCGCTGAGGACTGGATGCTGGATTTGAAATGGGTCTGCGGGCAACATAGTAACAGGAGTCGGTCATTCAGCCCCTCCGACCTGTTGCACCATGCTTTAAAATCTTGGCTGGTCTGTACCTCAACACCAATTACCCGCCCCTTGCCCCATATCCCTCAACACCCTTAAGCAATATTTTCGTGATTTCCCTTCCAGAAATGTAACCCGTAAGAACTTGTGTTTGGCGAGACCGTGGAAAATGTCCTGAGCCCAGACCGTCTTGGCTGCACAATTCAGAATTGTGATGATGGGACCATTATCTTTGCAAATTGCTGCTTCATTCACTGACCATTAAGCAAATGTAATTGGAAAGCAAATCAAGTCTGGCTGTGGTTTGCAGGGGGTGGCAGTTTGTACTCACTAACTGCAATCATTGAACTCAATTATGCCTCCGGCACAGCAAACCTTATTGGTCAGCCTGGGTGAGTAATGCAGGATGCATGTCACAAGCGGCCGGCTGCAAAATTGTCCAATTAATAGGACACACGCTGTTTGTGATTGACTCTGCTCAATTGTAAGCGGAGTGGTCAGGTTTAAAATGCTCCTTTTTATCTATTGGGTTTCAAATCCCTGCGGATTGGCTCTTAATGACTGCACTTTCCAGTGGTCCATATTTCAGCGTTCGATGATTTATTTTTGCGAAAAAGACCCACAACATACACTTGACAGTTCACTTTACAGCGTATCCTGTGAAGCTCTTTGAGACGTCTCAAAGATGTGATGAGGCGCTATATCAAATGCGGATAATTTGAGGATTTTTTTAAGTATTTTTGCGTGCATCAAGTCTGTGCTGACATCGTCGCCATCTTCAGTCCCACCTTTTCCTCATCTTTTCCACACCTTTTATAATGCCTCCTTTCCAAGCATTTATCAAACTCCCTATTAAAATCCACAGACTCTGCCTCCAACAAGTTTGGCAGAGAATTCCACGTTCCATCCACCCTCTGGGTCAAGGACACACTCATCCTTCTCCCTGATTATTTACTCCTTGTGAAGAGAGGTGAGTGAGTTGAGAGATAAGCTCCTAAGTTCTCCCTGACCTGAGTCGTGTGTGTGTGTAACATTTAACATGGTGTACGTTTGAATGAATTATTCTGTTTCTGCTCTGCTCTGTAGCCTTAGAAAGCTTATTTCCCAACATACTTTATACATAATAAATGTTTCCAGTTTATTCAACAGGGAAAAGACACATGACTTAATACAATTTTTTCTTTACATAATAGTTTCCCCCTCGACGTTGGGAGGAGTCCTCGGAATCTCCTGGTCCTTATTTGGGGAATGCTCCTCGTGTATTCTTGTGTTGCTCTTCAGGATAGGTGAGGGCAGGGAGTTGTCTGACTGGGACGTGCTGGGTACATAACCAGGCAGGTGGCTGATGGAGTGCACAGGCAGCACTCTATGCTTGGCACTGAAGTGCAGGGCGGGCACAGCCTTGGTGCCCATTGTAGTGCTGACGCTGTTAGTGGCGTGAGAGGTCACCCCTCCATAATAGCAGCTGCTGCCCGCACGTGCTTTCTGCCTAAAATTCAGAGTTAAGTTGCGCCGCAGCCAAGCTTTCTTTATCTCTGCTTGAACCTGGACGGATGCCAACGAGAAGCATACACGCACGTCAACGAGATGTCCACGAGGATCTGAAATACTGTACGACATTCTTTCCTACAACTCTCCACGAAAAATGCACCTTCGCAAATGCGATTGATTTGTTCACATTGGAAATTTCCACTTGAAAACCTTTGAACATTCAACTCCTGAGTGTTCTTGACCAACAGAACTTTACAGCACATTCACAGGCGTTTTCAGTCCAATCATGCCTGCGCTGGGTGATCTAAAAACAGCTATCCTATTTATTCCCATTTCAACAACAAATTGCATTTCTGTAGCACTTTTCACAGTGGGAGGACTATACCTTTTTATTCTTATCTAATTTGCAATCAAAAGCAAAAATCGATACAACAGATTACATTTACATAACGCCTTTCACGTCGGGAGGACGTCCCAAGGCACTGGACAGTCAGGGATTTGGACCCGAGCTGGGGTTGGTTTGGCATCAGGAAGGCTGGCGATCAGGGAAGATAGGAGGGTGACCGAAGGCACGGTCGAAGAGGAGGGTCTTGAAACGTACCTTGAAGGAAGGTGGTGGTGGGGGGAGGAAGGGACTGGGATGGAATTCCTTGAGGGTGGGGCGCAGAGGGGCTGAAGATCGTGGATATTTCAAGGTAGGGCACTGCACATCCTCACAGCGTTTAACATCTACCTGAAGCACAAGGCAGACTGGACCGAAATTAATGACTCAATGGAAAAATGAATGAACTATTTTTAGGAGCGCAGCACGTTCTTCAATAGAGACCTTGGCATTACTGAAGCCGTGAGGTGTGGGGATATGGTTCATGCTCACCAGCAATCCAAGCATTGAGTGCACTGAAATGTAAGCTTGACTGTAGCTGAGTTGCATTCTGAGCAAACGAAGCCACACATTGCCATTGACCCGTTTCCTGGGTGCAACCACGGTCTGGTGCTCAGCTACAAAACAGTTCAACACGGAGCCATGTGACTGACTGGCTTCTGCACTCTTAATTAAGCCGACAACAGGGAGTGAAGTCTCAGAATTATATTGGTGATGTTTGACCAAGACCCAACAGAAGATAAATCAGCTTGCCGTGATGAGCTGTGCTTTTTACTGCCCTAAATCAATAGGCGGCTGACAGTTTCACAGTATCTATCCAAACATGCTCGAGTGATTTAGCTCGCTCGCATTGTGCAGTGCACGGCCTTACTCACCTCTCCGTTGCAGAAACAGTAGATGAAAGCGACAAAAAAGCCCTGTTTTTTTTTTGTTGGAGGAAAAAGAAAATAAATAATTTAACTCAACATTTTTTTTTCCATTATATTCTCCCCTTTCCCAACTGCCTCGGGTTTTGGGCCCCTGCCATTAAAAAGGTCTTTATCGCTCCCCCTGATTCCTCCATTTGGGACACTCAGCTGTCCATGCTCATATACAAAACAAATTGTGCACTTGAGTAAGGTATGCAGGCATACTCCAGTATCAATTAGTGCCTTCAGTTCCCACCCTTCCCTTTTCTCCCCCCACCTCCCAAAAAAATACACCCACACACCAACCCACCCAGAAAAGTCAATGAGAAGCAGCAACGTACCTGAGAGGAATTGAAGAGCATCTCGTAATGCATTTGGATTTGCCAAAGAATCCCAGAGACATCTGTGTAGGGCATTGCCATGAAGACCACATAATGGACACCGAAAAGAGGCATGAGCACAAGGGTAGACTTCAGCAGCTTTCTATAGAGAAGCGAAACAAATTGACAATACTGTGCTTCTCAATACCTCGTTCTCTTGCTGAGGATATGAGGACAATGTAGGTATCGCAGGGCTAAAATAGGCCAATCGGCTTATTGTGTCCGCACTCTGCTAGCTTCCCCACTGAAGCTCTCTAATCTCTACCTGCCTCTTTGCCCCCCAAATCCTTTCAGAACTTCAGTCTTCACAAGTTCATCTTATTCCCTTTTAAAATAAAGTTAGCTGCCTTCGTTTCAGGAACCCAAGTAGTATTTTTTTGTAGCTTAATGGATACATAAGCTTGTGGATTCGCAGACAAGAAACTATAATCATAATAATCCTTGCATTTGATATCGCGCCTTATTAACGTCATTGAGTTTGTCTCAAAAGGCTTCACAGAATATGATTGTAAAGTCGATTGACTACTTTGTGGGCAAAAAAAATCCCTATCTCGCGAATCAGTTCGAGTTCTCACCGGTATTGCTGTCGAGGATCCAGCTTCCCAGCATTTGTCTCCCAAAGTTTAGATGCCAAAACCCTGACAATATTTAGGAAGAGAAAGAAATTCACCTGAAAAAGAGTGAGAGGCATTGTATTGGGAAGTGCAGTGTTTTGCAATTGTGATAACTAAGTGTACTTATATGACGCCTTTCTCGTAGAGGAAACATCTCACAAAGTGCCTTGCAAGAAGAGAGCATTAAGGAAGTTGACCAGCCAATGTTTTGAGGAGGGCTACATGAAGGCAGGGAGAGAGGAAGTGTGGCGATGAGATTTTGGAAGAGAGTTGCAAAAGAAAGGTGCATCACGGCTAAAGGTTGGGCCACTAAGTTATGGGATGGATGTGGGTAGTGAGGAACGAACAGTTAGACCAGAATTGGGAGCGCAAAGGATATAGGGCTGAAGACAATTACAGAGGTAGGAAGAGGATCTGCCAGGAGTTTGGCGAGGATGGGAGTGATGGACGTGCACAGTCTGGTTCAGGAGAAGATAAGGCACAGAGTGCAACTCCGTTAATAAATGCTACATAGGGTGATTGCTACTCCTTGAACACCAGCTTACAATACAGTGCAACGCGTGATTACTGTGTGAGGATCTCACTTACCAGAATAGCAACCAAGATAGGCACCTGGTAAATCCACTTTAAGTTCCCAGCACTGAGGTTCCAACACCTGAAGAAAGGCAGAGAAATGATTCACATTGAGAGAGAATTCAGTTGCAGTGTAAACATCCAGAGTTAGTGTCATGGCTTCACGTGTCAGGACTTTGTTGCCTTTCATCCCAACACGCCATGAGCATCAGTTTTCAGACAGACCATAAGATGGAGCTGCAGCTCAACCACTGTCCTTCCCCACATCCTCCCAACTCACACATGTGCCCTCCACCCCACCCCTTAGTCTCTCCCCACCCCCTTTACGGCATTAAATTTATTTTGCAAAAAGTGGATGGTATGGGTGGGGGGGTGTGGGTAATGGGGCACCTCTCCTGCTTTCAGTTACGTGTAGCAAATCCTTTTATCTGTATTCATCGATTTCATATTATAGCATTATCAGCACAAACTGAATATTATCTGAGCGCACACAGATAAAGCCCTCAAGCTACTTTTGCCAGGACAGAGGAATGTGAGTGCACAAGGGGACACGAGAGGAATAATCCACCACCTTCTTGAGGGTTATTTTAGAGAGTAACAGAGTACGCACTGAGTGTCTGCCAGCGATGCTCTGACACTGGTCCACACAGCCACGAAAACAGCTGGCACTCCTAGGGAAAATACAGAAACACTCGCTTAGTCCAACAGCAACCTCATTAAATCTCCAATCACCAAAGGACCTCCAACACAACACAACCCACACTGCACTGGTACGTCAGCCTAGACTGAGCTCCCGACTCGCGATCTAGCAGCTGAAGCCACAGGCCACGATCTGACCTGGAGGTGAGAGTGCTACCAACTGAGACTGTGTAATCAAGCGATTCGAAGTTACCAAAAATACTTTGTACAATGAAATAAATTGTGGAATGTCCTTACCCCAGCCTATCAGAGTTAGTGCCCAGAGATAGTTCTTATCCGATAAGAAAGCCATGAATATCAGGCTGTGCAGATACAGGCCCTCCACCAGGATCCAGTAGTGATTGGTTGCAAGAAAGTACAGGAAAACAGTCACAGATACCTTACAGCCAACCTGCAAAGGCAGAGCTCAGTTACCAGGCTGAAAGGCAGTGGGTACAATGGGCTGATAACCCCATGGGTAATACGTCCTTTTGTATGAGTGAGTGAGTGTGTGTTTATTGTCCGCATCTTGATTAATCTCCCACAAATTCCATGGCAATTGAAACATTTGTTAGTCCATCAGAGAGTGGGCATCTCTGACAGGGTGGCCCACACTGACTCAGGACCATGGAGGCAGAATTGACTGGGATGTTTAATTGGGAAAGAGAGAGGGAGGCAAGCGAAAGCTCTACCAACCGAGCTAAGCTGCTCTATGAGATGCAAAGATTTACGTGGAGGGGAAGGGGGGAGAGGCCTATGGAGTGAAAATCAGGTTCGAACATGGGAGATGTGGACAATAATAATGGTGGTAATCCTTGCATTTGATGTGTCATCTTATCACATCGTCGAGACATCTCAAAGCACTTCACAGAATGTATTGTAAAGTCAATTGACTGTGTACCTTGTGGGCAAAATGTGGCAGCCAATTGGCACACAGCAGTGTCCCACAAAGAGTCGCGGATTGAGTAGCCAAATTATTTTTTTAAGGGATTATTAACCCCAGAAAGTGATCCGCCAATTGACTAGGACCGGGTTCTGACTTTCTAAGGATGAGTGGTGCAGATATTTTGCTCAGTTGATTTTGCTATTCAAGGAGTCTCACCAACAGATCTGTCCGTAGGCGAAGGAGCGAGTGGAGCCGAGCCCACCGTGAGGTGAGGTTTGTGTGGCTGTTATTGGGCCAGTGGCTTTGTCCCATTCCAAACTCCCCCGATGTTCCTACACACTCTGTGCTGTTTGACTTACAAACTGGGGCCTGACTCCGGGCTCCAGGTCACCCTTTAAATCTTCCACTCGGAACCTGTCGATCTCATCCACCGAGGACTCGGAGTAGACCACCGCGTCTTTGACAAAGATGCTGACTGCGCGGCAGATGAAGGATGCGAACAGGTGGGTGTGGATGAAGTTTCTGGTGCAGTGGAGCCGCCTGTTGAGGGAACAGAGAGGGAGAATCACTGAAGCACGACTGAGATCCGAGCCAGGGGGGGGGAAAGGGTGGGGGGGGGGGGGAATGCTCATAAGTCACAGGTGGTGTTTTGTAGGAGGTCCTCCGCAAAGCCCTGGATGTCACAGCGACTCTTGGTGTTGTCATTGGCAGACTTGTAAGGGAAGGGCCAAAAGGGGCCGTGCCTCTCTCTCTTGTGTGAAGTATTACATGGCGGTGAAACAAGGGTGTGTTGCTACCCACTCTGTGAATCATAGGAACAGGCGTAGGCCATTCAGCCCCTCGAGCTCGTTCCGCCATTCTATAAAAATGATGGCTGATCTGCATCTCAACTCCGATTTGTGTTGTCTGTGCCACTTCAACACGAGCGCGGTGCTGTGGCCAAGAGTGTGAATTACCGCTTCCTTACTTGAAGTAGTTGAGTATGAAGACGGCAACGAGGAGGGAGACCAGGGACACGGAGTAACCCACGGTGTACATCAGGTGCAAGCGATCAAACACTTCCTGTGGGGGAAAGAAAACAGGGAGTCAACTCCTGGTCCCGGCAATGGTCCACGGGAGAGGTGGAAGTGACTGTCGCGTGAAGGACCGAGCGCGTGCGGTAACCTGGCACGGCTCGGGTCACTGCGGATTGAACATAGATGAATTGAAATTCAAAGGAAATTGTATTGTGTGTGTGGTGCGCGTGTGTATGTGTGTGGTGTGCGTGTGTGTGTGTGTGTGGTGTGTGTGTGTATGTGTGGTGTGCATGTGTCCGTGTGCCTGCGTCCGTGCAATTTACAGGTCTTGCGATCTTTTACGACAAAAGCAAGTGACCAGGTGGGTTGGAGCAGACCATACATTCTTGCTTCTGCGCGCTTGATAACAAACAGTACAACAGTCACATTTTAACTTTTGAGGGGTTGAAGTTTTGTGCTTTGAGCTCTTGACAAATCTCATTTATTCTCCACGTCGAATGCTTGTGTCTGGGATCTTCGCGTGAGCTTCTTATCAATGGTGGAGGGGTCTTGAGCAGTTCCTTCGACTGGAAATCGTCTGACTCATTTCATATTCTTTTCTTCTCTCCTTGTGAAAGGCTCTCATCTCCCAGTGGAACGCTGCTGAGTGAGTGACAAGTAGCCTCGAGTTACGCCGTGTGCAATTGAATCCGTTTCTGAAACCACTTTCATTAGAATGATCAAGGTCACCTTCAAAGGCAATGTAAGTGAGTAACCCATATTGGGAGCAAGTCTCCGCTTGGAGGCATTCGTAGAAGAGATGTACTTTTTCACCGTGTTCCTCTTGATCGTTAAACACAGCATTACGGAGGCAGACTGTGCCTCCCCAATGTCTCATTTGGTAAAGACACCACCCATCATGGTAACAGCAGCGCAATTGGAGATGAGTGAGTGAAACAGGTCTCCAACTACCCCAGTTGCTAGTTCTCTCGCTCTACGCAGAAGATTGTAGGTTCAAGTCCCACATTAGGAATCAAGCTTAAAGTCCAGGCTGATACTCCAGTGTCAACACCGGGGAGAGCATGGTGGTGTCAGGGATGCTGTCCTTTTTGGAGGAGACAGCCTGTCTATTCCGTTGGATGTGAAAAGATCTCACGGCACTATTGGAAAAGAGAAGGGAGTTTGTCTCTGAATCCCGGCCAACATGGCGGACAGATAAAATGGTAAATTTCACCTCATGGCGTGTCGCAGGAGCTTGCTGAGCACAAACTGGAAGCCCCACGTTTGCCTACAAATGCACAATCACACGACACTGGACAGCGAATCCAAGCCAAGTGCCAATTTTTCAAAATTTCTGGAAAAACTGAAAAGGGCTGTTGTCTTCTAGTGACTTGCTGGAACACAGTTAGTGAGTGATGGGTTGTGTTGCGTTATACCGTGTGCAACTGAAGCTGTTTCTCAAACACCCACGTGGGTTACAATGGCTAAGGTCACCTTCCGACCCAATGTAAGCCTCCAGTTGCGAACTGGGCTTTGAGGAGCCTCAAATTCTCATGTAATTTACCTTCTGGTGCTGGTAATCGGGCATCAGGAACTTAGTGCACTCTGTGTAATTGGCCCACGTTCGGTTCAAGGCAACGACCAGCTCCCAGTTCCCGTGTGTGTCGCACTTGCGATACGCCTGTCCTGCCAGAGAGAGAAAAATATTTACAGTCACCGCCTGCCATCAAATACGAGCCAAGTGAATGAATAATTTTATCTGGGGGATTGTCTGGCAGGACACCGGGGGAGAGAGAAACTCTCTTCTCTTTTTGAATAGTATCGCAAAATCTTTAACATATATAATAATTATAATATAATCCTTGCATTTGATACAGCGCCTTATCACGACTTCAAGATGTCTCAAAGCGCTTCACAGAATATACTGTAAAGCGAATTGACTGTTCACTTTACAGTAAATCGCTGGGTGCAATTGGCTGTCATGTTTCGCCCACAAAATATACCATCATTTCACTTTACAGTATATTCTGTGAAGCGCTTTGAGACGTCTCGAAGAAATAATAAGGCGCTGTATCAAATGCGAGGATTATTATTATTTTGTGGGCGAAACGCGGCAACCAATTGTGCACAGCAGAGTCCCACAAATCGTCGTGGATTGAGTGGCCAAATTTCACTTGAAGACATGATCTTGGCCTACGGTCTCTCACTGAGGATGGGAACTCTGCCAATAACGCTCTCCCTCAGCTCCACACACGAGGGTCAGCCTGGATTGGGAGCTCAAAGTTCCGACGTAAGGCTTTGAACCCACAACCTTCAGGCTCCAAGGTGAGAGTGCTAGCGACCAACTGGCACCTTAACTAAGGGCAGATTCCAAACATGGTCCAGTGATTACCTTTGTGGTTGAAGTCATAAATGTACTCAGGGCATGGGACTGAGATGATGTCGTTGGGGGTGCCAGCTGGCCAGCACACAATGCCATCCCACTCGGGCGAGCAAATACCATCTGCAAATTAAATAAAGCCAGGCATCAGCATGAGCAATCCCACAGTAATAATAATAATAATAATCCTTGCATTTGATATAGCGGCTTATCACGTCTCTGACTGTGTCTATTGTCACCTCTACCCTCCCCCCAATGGTTTCGTGCTCCGCCACTGTCAAGCGATCTGGGACGCCACCCTGCGTGAGGGGTGTTATATAAATGCAAGTTGTTGTTCTTCTGAAATTGGGGCTGAAGCAATTTGTTGGGTGCGGATAAGAAGGAGTTTTACTCTGCATCTAACCGGTGCCTTGAGGTCCCGTTTAATCTGTGCTGTACAATGCACTCCTTTTAACAACCCGGGTAGTCAGCCTTGCAACTGCTAGAGGGAAAACACCATCTGAGAGGGTTAATTCAACAACATCAACAACAGCAAATTACATTTCCACAGTGTCTTTCGTGTTGGGAGGACGTCCCAAGGTGCTGGACAGTCTGGGATTTGGACCCCAGCAGGGGTTTGGGATCAGGAAAGGATGGAGGGCAGGGAGGATGGGGGTAGGAGGGTGACCAAAGGCACGGTCGAAGAGGAGAATCTTGAGATAGGAACTGGACGGGAGGCGAGGAGGCGAGGCGAAGGGACTGTGGGATTGAGTTCCAAAATTTATCCAAAGTTCAGGTGAACGTGTTCACCTGGTCCCGAAAGGGTCAATGGCCTGACGTCAACACGGGAAGAATGCCTCACGCAGGCTGAAAGTGGTGGCAGATGCACTGGGAGCAGGCAGGAGACCATTAGGTGCAGCCGCGTGCAGAGCTCACGGAGGTGATGCTATCTCAGGGCCACATTGTTAATTGAAAGTCGATGTCAGATAAGCAACCAAATCCTGGAAAGTGACCAGAGTCAGACCGAGTCGGGCTGTGCAGTGGGGAAGGTTTTTTTTGTGTGTGGATTGTGTGGGATCCGTATCCAAATGTCATCTCTGGACTGGTGTTGCTAAGGCGACAGAGCTAATGCCGTGTGCTCCGGTGCGGATTGTTGCTATTAAGTCATATTGGTCGGAAGCCATTAAACTCAGCCCTGAATTAGCTGTGATGACATTGGGGATTTCGCAGAAGCCACATTCACTCACTGACAAATCTACTGATTTATTTATCGACATAATGTTCAGTAGGTTATTGCTCTTGGCCTCGATATTGCTGCTCCGTCTCTCTCAGCACATCCGTCTTCTTTGCTTGCGCCTTGGCATTCACCCTTTCAGGTCCAAAGAATTTTTTTGGGGGGGGAAGTGGAAGTGGGTGGGTGGGGGGGTTCCTGGGTCTGAACTCACCCTTGCTCCAGTCGCTCTTTATTGCCCCCGACAGGTGTCGGAAGAGCCCCCTCGTAGCTGAGACGTTTGTAGAGGATGTCAGCACTGAGCTTCTTAACAAGTTGGCAGCTTATTAACAATAATAATATTCCTTGCATTTGAGAGAGCACTTTATCACATCATTGAGACGGCTCGAAATGCTTCACAGGGTAGTCCGCACAGTGAATTTGTGGGCAAAACGGTCCCACAAACAGTTGTGGATTGAGTGACCAAAATTATTATTGTTATTTATGTACTTGAGTGATTTTTTTTTTAAGTGATTATTACCACCAGAAAGCGAGCCGCCAATTGACCAGGTTCCTACTTTACTGTGAGGTAAACGGAGGCGTGTGGAGTAAGGAAACTTGCCTTATTATTATATTACTGAGACGCCAGCCTGCATTGGAGGGTGCTAAACAAATGCAAGTTGTTGTTGTAGTTGTTTCGCCCTGCTCGGGAATCAAACCCGAGTCCTCTCGCTTGCGAGGCGAGTGCTCCAACCACTACGCCACAAGACTCCACAAAGTACACAGCACATGTCACTTGGACAAAGAATGTTCCTGTTAACCCTGCAAGCTAATAATAATAATAATAATAATAATAACAATCCTTGCATTTGATATAGCGCTTTTCACGTCGGGAGGACGTCCCAAAGCGCTTCACAGAACACACTGAATTGACTGTATATTTGTGGGCGAACGCGGCAGCCAATTGCGCACAGCAATGTCCCACAAAGTGTCGTAGATTCAAAATGACCAATTTATTATTGTTTTTTTTTGGAGGGATTATTATTAGGGCTCTGTGTGGAGTAAGGAAACTTGCCCGAGGTTTCGCCCTCTGCCTGGAATTGAACTTAGGTCTCTCACTTGCAAAGCGAGTGCTCTAACCACTGAGCTACAGGACCCCACTGTACTGTACTGTACTGATGGTGCTCCGAGCTGGATTAAAGCAGCGGCAAACTTGCCAGACAGCGTTCTCGATGGCAAACTGTGCCGTTTTATCTGGAGGGAGACTCCAGCAACTGCGCCAAATCTCACTCTGGGGTCCTCAAGCCTTGGGCTGTTGCCGATCTGCGCCTAATACTTACTGGAATTGGTTAAGCAGTGCGGGGCCATCCGGGAAAGAGAGAGGGCGCGCATTCCATTCCCATGGAAATTTCCATGCACGTGTGGTCGTCTTAGTTTGGTTTGGATACTCTTAAGCGCACTGGTTTTCACATGCGTCAGACACCCGGCTGACCTCCCCACTCCACCACCCCCCCCCCCACCCCCAAAAAAAAACCCCATAATAATCCTTGCTTATGATTCAGCGGCTTTCACGTCGGGCAGATGCCACAGGTTTTTTTCTGTGAAGCGTAGTGACTGTGCTGCAGGTGACCGCAGCATGTTAACGTTACCTAGTCTCGCCTCAGTGGGGACTCGTTTGTTAACGAGCACTTTAAATGGATTAATTTAATGCTTCATTAGCCGATTTCTTTAATCTCTTTTTCCGGAGACAGCCAGCGGGCAAGGGATGTGTCTTATTGAAGGCGTTGAGTTCACACGGAGAGACCTGACGTCAACTGTTTAGCCAATTAATACAGACCCTCATTAGACCACCTGCTCTTTGACTCCCCGAACAGTGCTACTAAAAAAAATAATAATTTGGTCACTCAATTCATGACTGTTTGTGGGACGCTGCTGTGCGCAATTGGCTGCTGCATTTCGGCCACAAAAACACAACCGGGACAAGAGGGGCTGGAACTTTGTGCTGCTGAATGTTGGTTAAGTGGAAGGTTTAGCGTCCGTTACCTCGGCTCCCCTCGGCCCTCGCTCTGAGAGACCTCTCGCACGTCTGTTTGGCTTCGAACAGTAGATAGATTTGCTCCTCCTTTGTTATGACATCGTCTGCGTCGACCTGCGGATAGGAAAATACAAGCTGTGCAAATGACTGAGGCAGAAATCTTTATTAGTCCGCGCGCATTCTGCGTCGCGTACAAATTTTATTATTCATAATCCAATCACCATCCCGCGCTTTTATTGTATCGTTAATTTCTTGGCCATGACCGTCCGTGATTCATGTGGCTTCGTGCCATTGCTACCACAGATGAATTATGGAGTCCTGTAGCTCAATGGTTGGAGCACTTGCCTGGCAAGCGAGAGGACCTGGGTTTGATTCCTAGTCGGGGTGAAACGTTAGGCAAGTTTCCTTACTCCGCACACCCACCTCTGTCTACCTACCAGTCAGTTTGTGGGGACGCTGCTGTGCGCGATTGGCTGCCACATTTCGCCCACAGTCGATTCACTTTAGAGTATATTCTGGTGAAGCGCTTTGAGACGTCTCGAAGACCTGATAAGGCGCTATATCAAATGCAAGGATTATTATTATTATTATTATTATTCTTCGTCTTATTGCTAACCCTCCTCATCGTTCATCCTAAATTTATCGCAAAATTCAAACGAATTGACCATCCCGGCTTCAGTGTTGAGGGGGGGTCTCTGGCCCACATTAGCTGCCCAGTTTGCCTCAATTGGAACCTTCACTTTGTTTCTGATCAACCGTACTCTGTAAAGCGCTTTGGGAAAATTATTTTCCATCAAAGGAATCGACACAGTCCAAAACACACCGTCCATTGACATGTGTCAGCTTTATTGATCTTGACAAGCGTGAATCATCGGCCCACCTAAAAATGTCTGTATGAGGTTTCGCTTTGAGCTAAAATATAACAAGGCTGACATGATGTGGAGAGACTTGCTAATGGGCAAGAGGTAGTGAGGGAATCGACAGCTAACAAGCCACCGCTCTTTTACAGACTGCTCCAGGTCCATCCCAGCTTCGAGCAATTTAGGAGCTGGGCTCTATTACACAGAGAGAGATCAAGATAACCACATGCATCAGGTCAGGCAATGTCAGAGAGGAAGAAAGGCACCGGACTTATTTAAAACAGAGCTTGATGCTGTGATGGGGAGACAGTAGGGCCAGCGCGCCGCAGGGATGAGAATGAGATCAGATGAAACGAAGGGCCTTCTTCATCTTGTCAGCCATGGACTGGGGGGTCGCCTTCTTTTAAAGAAATCGTTTCACCGCTAATCAGAATTATTTTCTGAAAGGCTTTGAGACGTGAAAGGCGCTCTATAAATGGAACAAACGGAATCTTGCTGCTGCTGTTGTTGTTGTTTCCACATGAAAGGCCCTGTGAAAATGCAAGTTACTACTGTTACTAAGATGTAAGACCTCGCAAAATTGTTGGACCAATCGTTAAATTCAATCTCAATTTGTAAGCCTCTTGTCTGCAGCACTTAAGAGCCATTTTAATTTTTAGGGGAGTGGATTTTGAGATGAGCGAGGAACTTTGGCCAGGAATTAAACAGGAGAATTTCCTGCTATTCTTCCAAGTAGCACCTCGCTGGGTTTGGGATAACAATAATAGTAATGAAATAACAATTGTTGTATTTGATTATAGTATACCCTTATACTTATATTGTTGAGATGTCTCAAAGCGCTTCACAGAATGTATTCGTAATGTGGAGGGACTGGGGTTTTGGTTGACGAGTCGTGCACAGCAGTGTCCCAGAAACAGTCGGGGAGTGAGTGATCCAATTTTGTTTTCGGGGCTGGTTATCCCTGGAAAGCGATTCCTCAATCGACAAAACAATCAAGTTCCTACTTACTGGAAGGCGGTAAGGAAACTTGCCCAAGGTTTCTCCCGTGTCCACCCGCTTTGTGAGGCGAGCGCACTAACCACTATGCTACGGGAATTCGGGATGTTTAGGTTATGAAGGCCTGAGTTGGTATTTATTTTTGATAGCAGTCACATAACGCACGTGAACCCGGCACTTCCGGAATCTCACACCCAGGCTCTATATTCTTGTCTGCATTTCTCATGCCAATTACAGAGACCGTGTGTGTAAGACGTGGAGGTGGGAGGAGACCAGAGACAAACACAGTGGACACCAGATGGCAGCTCGGAGGGAGGGAGGGAGCGAGGGAGGGAAGAGTCTGCATTCAACACCACTCTTACAAAGTCAACAAGCAAAGCCCTCGCTCTGACCAACCATCTTCACAAACACATTCCAGCCTCCACACGTTATTTCCTAGCTTTTATTTCCCGCCCCGTCCACCCTCACGGGAAAAAAAAGAACCTGGTCTAAAAATCACAGTGAAGTGGATCGACAGTAAGCGGTCCACTGATTAAACAAATATTTTAACGCTTTCCGCTTATCATGCTTTTAGCTGGACTGGTATCTGATGCACACGGAAACTCATTGCCGTTCTTAAGGGTCTCGAAACCAAGCTACTGTTAATAATAATAATAATAATAATAATAATAATCCTTGTGTTTGATACAGCACCTCATCACGTCATTGAGATGTCTCAAAGCCCTTCACAAGATATACTGCAAAGTGAATTGACTGTGTCGGAGAATTCCACACACGTTGGTGTTGGTGCAATAGGGAACATGCACCCTCTTCCCCCTGTGGGAAGTATCCTGCTCACCTAATCCTGGGGAGTTTAGGTCGAGGAATGGCGCCTTACAAGTATAATATGTTGTTGTTGTTGAGGATGGCAACAGTTAGGGCTTGTAGGACCCTCAGAGTGTGCACTGATGGGAGTTTTGATTTATGCATCTGCTGTATTACTGCTTACAGAGATGAATGTAAGGCTTATTGTGTCGAAACCTGTGAAAGCACGAATAGGTATTATTCTGTGTTAGCAGCTAATACGGCAGCTAACTTGCGCACAGCAAGGTTCCTCTTGGAGCCCTGACTGGAGGTGAATGACCGAGTTAAGAGGCTTTTTGCATCCTAACGTGCTACAAGTGTATTTGGATTTGAATTGATTCATCTCAGGGATAAATTTGCCACCTTTGTGCTAAGCCTCAGTGATACAGTTCTCTATGTCTGCGACGCTGGTTGATGTGCGAATTATTTTATGCTTCGCAGAGTGCAGTGCGGTGAGTGGGGAAATCCAATTAAGTTTTCTTCCGAATCGTCAAACCGTTCTGAGGATTCTCATTAGGACGGGATAACTTTGCGCCGTTTGCCTCATATGAAATTCATAAAAGAGAGGAGGGAATAATAACGCTTGCATTTGATACTGCACGTTATCATGTATTCGAGACGTCTCAAAGCGCTTCACAGAATATAGTGGGATGTGAATTGACTGCACATTTAAAGATCCCATTGGCACTGTTTGAAACGAGAAGGGAATTTCTCTTTCCCGGTGTCCTGGCCGACAGTCCCAATATAATTGGTTGCTCACTCCATGGCTGTTTGTGCACAACTGGTTGCCACATTTCACCCACAAAAAATACACAGTCACTGCACGTTATAGTATATTCTGTGAAGCGCTTCGAGATGGCTCGCTGATGTGGTCAGGCGCTGTATCAAGTGCAAGGATTATTATTATTGTTGTTGCGACATTTATTTGAGTATCTGTGCTCCTATTTCTCTATTTCTCTGTGCTCTCCAACTTTCTCTCTCTCTCTCTCTCTCTGTCGCTCGGTTTTCTCTCACTCTATCCGGACAGTGCAATTGAAAAGTTCTCCTATCCAATGTATTACCTTAGAGTCGAACTCTAAGTGATCGGATTCGGGAGTGAAAGCCATGGACTCTTAAAAAGAGGTTCAAGAAAAAAAATCTGCGGCCAAAGATAGCACAGAGAAGCATTGTCTTCCCCAAACTAGACGCCGCTTTTCACAGACCTCCGTTGAATTTCTCGAACAAGTGACAAATTGGTGACTCCTTTTACTGTCTGCCCAGCAATTGCCAGCGAGGTTTCATTTCCGCAAGGAGTCAAGCGGGTTGAGGCAGGAGACAGGGGAACTGAGCTTGTTGTTGGGGTGGAAAACAAATTACCAGGAGAGAGAGATCGCGGTCGAGCACAAATGACAGAGGATAAGCCAGAAGTGACATTCTGGTTGTATTCCACGCAAACCACAGCACAACCGACGCATGTGGTATTTTCAGGATTGTTTAGGAGCTCAGTGCAAGAGGGGTGAGCGTCTTTAATCGCAGCCTTAGCCTCAAAACCAAAGCGATTACAATCTTAAAGTTGCGTGGAATTTGTGAAAATTCCCAAACCCACTCTTGGTTTGGAAGCCGCTTTTTTCGAGAGTTATTAAAAAAAATGTACTGGTGTCCAAATGAAGACTTTTTAAGTCCTTTCTGTAAACACTCTGGGCGACCATAAACCTTCAAACAGAATTGTGATCCTAATAATAATCCTTGCTTTTGATATCACGCCTTATCATGTCTTCGAAACACCTCAAAGCGCTTCACCGAATGCACCGTTAAGCGATCGACTCTATATTTTGTGGGCGAAACGTGGCGGACAACTGCGCACCGCGGCGTCCCACAAGCAGCCGTGGATCGAGTGACCACATTGTTATTATTTTATTTAGTGGTTGTTATAAAATGATCCTCGCGTTAGATAGCGGTGCCTTTCACGCGGGGAGGACGTCCCAAAGCGCTTCACAGGATTCACTGTGACGTGTAGTGACTGTGTGTTTGCAGGCAATTGTAAAGTGAAGACAACAGGAAATTACAGGACCATGGACCCGAGCAGCCTGTGGTCGGACACGTTGCTGCTCCCAGGTTTACAGATCTTTCTGTAACGAGCCTTTCACGAGCTGCAACACACCACTTACAACCCGGTTTGTATTCCTTCGACCCAAATTTTGTGTGTATGTTTATATACATATATATATACATATGTGTATGTATCTGCGAAAATCTATACAAATATGAAACGTTTCGCCCACAAATATACAGTCGTTTCAGTTCACAGTATATTCTGTGTAGTGCTTTGAGATGTCTCGAAGACGTAATAAGATGCTAAATCAATGCAAGGATTATTATTATCATCATCATTATTATTATTATCATCCGGATCGCGCTTATTCCAAGGAGAAGGGAGTTCCTCTCTCCCAGTGTCCTGGCCAACAATTCCTCAAATAAAATTGGTCCGTCACTCTGTGGCTGTTTGTGGGACACTGCTGCGCACAACCGGTTGCCCACAAAATACACAGTCACTGCACTTTACAGTCTATCCTGAGACATCTCAACGAAGCAAGGATGGTTATCACTGTTATTATAAATCACCTACAGATACACAGTCACCACACTTTACGGAAATGATACCTTTGCAGGGCTTTGAAATGTCTCGAGGTCTAAGTGTTGTAGCTTGGCCAGCTCCAATCTTGTACCTCGCCCAATAGCCACTAAAGCCTTAAAGACTTGCATCACGTCGCCCCAACAGATCCCGTTGTAGTGCAGGATATTTCACACTATTCTGGATGAGCAATAACTGGTCGGGACAGTGGTAGAAATTCTCACTTCTTTTCCCAAAAAAGCGCCTCATCACAATGTTGAGATGTCTCAAAGCGTTTCGCAGAGTTATCGTAAAGTGGATTGACTGTGTATTTTGTGGGTGAAACCCGGCAGCCGATTGCGCACAGCAGCGTCCCCGCAAACAGTCGTGGATTGAATGACCACATTTTTTTTGGTGGAGGGATTATTACACCTGGAAAGTGAATCCGCCAATCATTTAGCAACCGGGGTTCTGACTTACTGCTCGGAAAACAGAGGCGTGCGTGTGAGGGTAAGTAAGGAAACTTGCCTAAGGTCTCGCCCTGCCCGCCCGGCAATCAAACCCGGGTCCTCTCGCTTGCGAGGCGAGTGCTCTAACCACCGAGCTACAGGACTGCGCAGCTATCATCAAACAATCAATCGCTTACTTGTTTCGAACAAAAGTTCCATCAATCAATCAATCAATCAATCACTGTACATCCCAAATAAAAACAAGTAGCTTTCCCCCATCTCCCTCCCCACTCCCAATCAAACTTACCAACGCTCAGGTTGAGGTTCCCCCCCCCACCCCCAAAGTGAAATGGGAATGAAAATTCCCAAGTGGGACTGAGATCGACTCCTGGCTCAAGAGAGAGCAGATTCTCTGCTGTGTGACAGAGTAAAGCACACACTGGGGATGGGTTAATAGCAGCCACTCCATCAGGTATTGGGATGGACTGTCTTGTCCTGTACTCACCAGGGCTGAGACTGAGTGCAGACACCAACACAGACCCAGGAGACTGCTCAGCAAAGCGGATTGCTCCATCCCTCTGGGTCCCTCAAGTGGATCTGATGGTACTCCTTCCACCAACATGTAACCAACCACTGCTTTTGCAGTCACAGCAGCATTGAGATTTCCATCACTCTCACAGCCTCGTCTGTGAGAACGAATGATGCTTTCACCTCTTGGGGAGGAGGAGGAGGAGGAGGAGGTGGGTGTTGGGCAAAAGAGAGGAGAGAAGAGAAGTGAGAGAGAGAGAGAGAGAGAGGGGGAGAAGGTGGGGGAGAAATATTTTTTTGCTCAACTTTCTCCCACTTGCCATGGTTTCTCAAATGGGAAAATTAGTGTTGCAGGTGAGTATTTTGATTCTTTTTTTTTAGACCAATGGGTTGGGGGGGGGGGGGTTCTCCTGACCAGTGCTGTCCCACCCACCAAGTCCATTAAATAGGGCATCACACGTTGTGATTGTAGGCAAGGAAAAACGGGAACGATGGGAGCGTCTGACAGACATGACAGGGATTAGAGTAGAGAGCTCCAGTACAGACACGATGGGGAGAGAGAGAGAGAGAGAGAGAGAGAGCAGGGAATGGGGTTAGAGTGGAGAGCTCCAGTGGGAGAGGGAAAAAGAGAGTAAAAGAGTCTCGTCAGCTCACACTGTGACCTCTATAAAGAGCTGATCGGTTGAAATATCGTTCAGAGATATCCTATCGCTCGCCAGGAAGAGGGAACCGTGAGTCAGCATTCATTTTCAATTAAAATAATAAATTGTGTGTTGGTTCCCCAGCCCCTGCCAAGCTATTGATCTCAGCCCGGGTCTGCGAAGGAAGGCGGGAGGGAGAGAGAGGCATTGAGAGAGGGAGAGAAAGAGACAGAGAGAGAGAGAGATGGATGGGTTGGCTGGTGGCTGACGCACGGTGACTGCTGAAGCTGAGGGAGATCAAACCGGGGAAAGTAAGAGCGGTGATTAGTGCAATGTCAGATTTTCATTTAAGTGAAAGCTTTAAGTCACGTCTCAGCTGCTGAGTCCGTTTAATCTGATTGACTCAGTCATTGGGAGTGGCGGTCGATGGCCTGGGGAAGGGGGGAAAGGGGGAAAGGGGGAAAGGGGGGGGAAGTGGGGGGAGGGAGGGGTGGGCCGCGTGCAGAGAAGAGTCCACGCTTACAGCCGACTGCACATACATGTCATTGAGGCGTGTATCACCTGTCTCCCCTGAGTGGTAATCCTCGCATTTGACCCGGCGGCTTATCACGTCACCGAGACGTCTCAAAGCGCTTCACAGGACACACTGTAAAGTGTAGTGACTGTGTGTTGTGTGGGCGAAATACGTGTGTTATTGACGATGATTGATATCGGTACAGTATTGCGATGGAACCCCATTTGTAAACCTCCCTTTTTGGCCTCTCTCCCACCTCCCCCCAACCCCACCCGGACTCTGCCGTGGATGTGAGACGTGTGGGTGACATTTGCCATCCATGTTGTATGTGTGTGTGTCCCATGTTCCCCCCCCCCCCCATTGCTACATGTCAACGTGTCAGCTTCACAGTGTCCTTGTCTGTACACCGGTTCCCGGTGTTTACCTCCCTGGCTACAGAGGAGGAGGAGGAGGAGGAGGAGGAAGAGGAGGAGGTGAGGTCTGTGCGCCAGGCCGGTGAGGAGCAGTGGTTGCCGGTATTGGACACCGCGGAAAGTATTGGAGCCGCCACCATCAGCCCGGTGCTGCTGGAGCCTCTGGTGTCGCTGAACCTGGCCCGGTGTCAGGAGGTGGTCACTGTGACCCCGGGGGTCACCCAGGAGCCCGCTGTAGCCTCAGAGCCCGCCTGGCCCCCGTTTGCCAAGAACACGCATGCCGTTGGCGTGTCCAAGCTCAGCGTGGAAACGGCTCCTCAAGAGGGTTTTGGCGTGACCGGCTCAGAGAGCGAGGAAGAGGAGGCAATGGAGACTCCGGTGGCTGAGGAAGCCGGTGAAGACTTCGAGACGGTTGGTGTTGACGTGACCCAGGGCCCGGGCGGGCAGGCCCCGAGTGGCCTGGGGTCCGGGTTTGAAGACCAGCCCCCCGTGGCCGGGCTCCCCGAGCCGGGAGAGAGCCACGAGCCCGGCCACGAGATGCCAGACTCCGAGGAAAAGGAAGAAGAAGATGGTTCAAAGTCAGCGTCACCGAAAGGTTGGTGCCCTCTCTCTGTCCTGTCCTCACACACGCTCAGGATCCCAGCTCGGCAAGTCTCTCCAGCACTCAGCTCACTCACAGAGGGGCCCTGCTCCCCCCACCTCCCACCACCACCCCACTCGCCTCGATCTGCTTCAACCTCTCCAAAGGCACCCTCCGCCACTCCTCTGCTCTTCTCAGGGCTTCTCTCCACAGATTGATGGTTGCACGATTCCTCTCTCTCTCTCTCTCTCGCTCGGTCGCTCACTCGCTCGCTGGGTCGTTAATTCTCTCTCTGTCGCACGAGGTGTTGCATGTTTGTCTGCCACCCTTTCACCTTGTCTCCATCCTTCTCACGCTCGCCCTCTGTCTGTCTCGCGGAGGGAACGAGCTTCCTCCTGGTTTGGTTCACTCGTGGCCCACTTCCACGGTCACCCTCCCTGTGTCTCGCTGCAGCCCAGTGTGGGCAGCTGATGCCAGCCGACGGGAAACAGTCTTGATGCCCCTGGGCTGAACAAAAGAATATGGTGTGTGTGTGAGTGAGGGCACCTTGGGACCACCTCCCGACCTGAAGGATGCAAGTTGTTGCGTGATTTTGTACGTCTGTGAGGGGTATGTGTGTGTGTGTATGGAGGGAGGGAGTGTGTGTGTGTGTGTGAGTGTTGGTGTGCGTGTGAGGTGTGTGTGGGGGGTGGTGGGGTGCATCTGGGGAACGTGAGGGTGTGTGCCAGAGCTATCCCACAGAGCTGACAGCCGGATCCTCACCGGGGATGGAAACCAACCTGCTTCTCCTCTGGCCTCGTGGTGCTGGTGTTGGGCTCTGACTGTCGGGAATCCTCTGTGGCTCCTGGTACTGAGATTCCCTCTCACCCCGACCAGACCACACGCTTCCCCACTGCTCTGCTGCCTCTCACTCTCTCTCTCTCTCTCTGCCTCTGTCTCTCTCAGTATCTCCTGACGCTGCACTCCTCTCGGCCTCTGACTGTTACTGAGCGCACAGCACAGGCCGACAGGGCGAACGCTCCAATTCACACCTTGTGTAGTGACTGTCCACAGCACTTATCACGTTTAAGTGCAGCCTTGATAAAGCGCAGGGTCTGAGGTTATTTATCTGAGGGGGTTACTTCAGAGACAGCAGTTTCTGTCCGCAAACTGTTGAACTCTTCTCGTTTTCCTTCAGTTTTGTTTTGTTACCTTCACGATAAGAATAATAATTTTCGCATCAGATTGGCCCCAAAGGCTGAGACCGGGTGGAAATTGGAGCCGTGGTTTTGACCGAGTGGAGAAAGCGCGGGAGGTGCAGTACCCAATCCATCCCCCACCTCTCCCTTCGCCTCGCTCCCTCCTCCGCCTCCTTCAAGGCGCGACTCAAAACCCTCTTCTTCGGCCGAGCCTTTGGCCACCCTCCTACCCCCACCTTCCCCGCCCTCCACCCTTCCTGAACCCAACCCCCAGCTCAGGTCCAAATCCCTGACCATCCAGCGCCCCGGGACGTCCTCCCGACGTGAAAGGCACTGCGTAAATGTAATATTATATGGTATATTGTTGCACTGGAGGGTCCCTACTGACGAGAATCACACACCACCCTCTCGTGGCCAGGACCGGCGGCCGCACTGGTTCAATGTTCTCCATGGGTCCAACTGGTCTGAACACTGAGTATTTCCACCCCTCGAGGGAGCCCTGGGCTCAGAGCCAACAGGAGCTCCTCCCGTAAGTTTACTCCGCATGTCACGTGGTCAGTATTGCGCACTTGCTTACGTCAGCGAGAGTCTCTGTGGCGGATAAAACACAGGAGGACTTTCTGAGGCTTTTGCGGGTAAAGAGTTGAGGGTTAACCATTAAAGGGCATTTGCTGCATCTCGGGGGCGGACACAGAGAGGTATTTAGGACATTAATGAACAGAATAACCGAGCGAGGCTGGGGCACTGGGCACTTGTTTAAGAAGACGGAGGTGAATAGATGTTTATTAGGTCAGGGTATCAAGGGATATGGGGTAAGGGCGGACTTGAGGTGCAGATCAGCCATGATCTTATAGAATGGTGGAACAGGCTTGAGGGGTTGAATAGCCAACTCCTGTTCCTATGTTCCTAAAAAAAGCATCTCAATGCTGTAACGGGAGGTCAGTCGGTGGGTGAGGATTCCGGAAGGACGAGGAATAATGGGCCGATGGACCTGAGTTTACCTGAACCTCTCTTGTGAACCTGTGCCCCGTTGGTTGCTTTTAGCTGTGCCCCACGCTGCGGGCGAAGATGGCAGAGGCGATAGCGGCCGTGCTGAGAACAAGCCCAAGGTGAGAGGCCAGAGCCCAGGCCATCCCTTTCCTCGCCCCCCAACCCCCTATCCCCCCTCCACCCACCCCCCCACCCCACAACAACGTCCACGCTTTGCTCCCAGTGATGGCTTAGCTTTGCTAACGTTAGTTTGATTTGAATTTGCTCTTTCGTGGTTTTGGTTGGCTTTTTCTTGTGTTGCCGTTTTTATTTCCTTTTTGTCCGAATTTTTACTTTTGTTCGAAGACCTCGCCGTCTGCAAAAGCCTCCAAACCTAGGCCTCTGGCCTCTGCCACCCCTAAGCGCCCGTCGGGGGCTCCTGCCCCCAGCAACAAAGCCTTTGCCCCAAAGAAACCGTCCTCCACGCCGGCTGCCACAGCGCTGAGAGAGAACGTAGAGAAGGTAAGAGCTTGAGGACCTTTACTCTCACCCCCCCCACCCCCTCCCCCGGGCCTGGCCCTCAACCCTTCAACCGATTGCCTTCACCATCACTCAGACATTACTGTCTGGTGTAGTGACTGTTTCCCTCAGTCAAAGACATTGGTCTGATTCAACACACAGTAAATTCCCGTGGGAGGGGAATGATTTATCAGGGAGGAGGGAAGGGGATTGTAGGGCAGGACACCCGACCGAGGGTGGGAGTGGGTGAGGGAGGCCGGTGGAGTGAATGGGCCGGGAGAGGGCCAATAGCATAGCTCCCTGGCAGGAGGGATGGTTTAAGGAAATGACGAAGGAGTGAGGAGAGGAGATGGACAGTGGGATGAGAGTGACCTCAGGGCTCGGGGGGAGGGGGGGTGTGGTGGGGGGGGGTGGTGTCGGTGAGCGTCACACAGCCTGACGCGTCGCCTCTCCGCTCCGACAGGGGGCCGAGCCCAGGAGCAGACTGAAGAGCCCTGCCTCCCACGTGCCCAGGGCAACCGCCAAGACCCCACCCAAGCCCACCCACGCCCAGAAGGTGGCCCCCGGCTCACCCGACGTCAAGAGGGCAACAGGTAAACTGTATGAATGCCATTTCGTGTTGTTGTGTGTAACAGGGACGCAGTGTGCAGCGTCGCAAGGCAACGAGGAGTTGGAACATATTCAGGAATGAATTGTTATATAATTCCTGCGTCCGGTGGGATTGTCTTCTGCTGCGATAATTGGCTCCGGGAATGAACGAGTCTGCGTTGCCATGGTTTCATTTGCTCAGAGAGAAGGAGAGAGGGAGAGAGGGAGAAAGAGAGAGGGTGTGAGAGAGAGAGAGAGAGAGCGAGAGTGTGAGCGAGAGAGGGTGGGGGAAGGGCGACACCATCTGTGTCCTGATGATCCGTCGGGATTTTCCGCATGATTGCAGGCTGACATTCCCACATTAATCCTCCCCTCTGTGCGAAGGGAAACTCGTATCACTGCACAGCGCATTAAATGGGTTGGGGTGAGGGGCACACCTCCCTTTACCCTCCCCCCTCATTCCCCCCCCACACACCCACCCCCAGTCTTCGGGAGGGCTCAAGGCTGGGAACCCCTTGAAGCGAGAGGCACCAATTGCCCCGTTCGATTTGATTAGATTGCAGATCAAATTGGTTTTCATGTGATATTTTTGATGCCGGGGGCAGGGGCTCGAGAGGAGGTGAATGGGGGGGCTGTGGGGAGGCAGAACCGCGAACAGACAGACAGAAATTCCTTTATAATGGTCCTGGAATCTGGCAATAGAGCCACACAGGTCTCTGCCCCCCCCCCCCCCGCCCGGCCCATGCCTTCAGCCTCTCTGCCCCCTCCCCCTGGAACTCCATCACACTGTCCCTTTGTCTCGTCCCCTCCCGCACCTCTTTCAAGGCCCGTCTCGAGATCCTCCTCCTTGACCGCACCTTCGGTCATCACTCCTTCCCCCACCCTCCCGGCCCCCCCACCCTCCCGGCCCCCCCCACCCCCTCCTGGTTCCCAACCACCAGCTCAGGTGCAGATCCTTGACTGTCCAGGACCTTGGAACGTCCTCCTGACATTGCTGTTGCTGTTGAAGGACATCACTGATCTCCTGCTCAATCCCTCGCCTTCTCACATCCAAACACTTCATACGAGTTTCCCCCCCGGCCCCCCTGGCCCCCCCACCTCCCCACCCCCCCCCCAGCACTGCCTCTAGCCCCGAGACACCGAATAACCAGCCTGTTCTCTCTCTCTCTCTCTCTCTCTGATGACTGTGTTTCTCCCTCGAGCAGCCAGATCGGAGCAGAGGAGGATTCCAAAGAATGAAAAAGGTGCGATGGGCTTGTGTGTGTGTGTGTGTGTGTGTGTGTGGGGGTGGGGGGGGCGAGGGAAGGGGTGCGGGTAAGGGAGCCATTTGCTTGTGTGTGTATGTGTGTGTGTGCACATGTGCGGGCAAGAGATATGTGTGTGTGTGTGGGCGAGGGTGGGGAGGGGAGGGGAGAGTGGAGCGGGTGAGGGGGACGTCACTGACACTGAGGGATGGTTCTGTCCTGCTCTCCAGGAGACTCTCCGGCCAAGGCAGGGGGCAGCGCCTGCAGTAGCCCCGGGACCCCCGGGAGCCGCTCCCGCACGCCCTCACAGCACGTCTCGGGGGGGGTGAAGGAGGTGAAGAAGGTGGTGGCTCTGGTCCGCACCCCCCCCAAGTCCCCGGGGCCGGCCAAGACTCGCACCCCCCCTGCGCCCGTCTCCATGCCGGACCTGAAGGGCGTCAAGTCCAAGATCGGCTCCACCGAGAATATCAAGCACACCCCAGGAGGAGGCAAGGTAATAGCCCCGGCCTGGCCCCCCCACCCCAGGCTGCCCCCCCCCACCCCGGCCTGGCCCCCCCACCCCGGCCTGGCCCCCACCCCGGCCTGCCCCCCCCACCCCGGCCTGGCCCCCCCCACCCCGGCCTGCCCCCCCCCACCCCGGCCTGGCCCCCCCACCCCGGCCTGGCCCCCCCACCCCGGCCTGGCCCCCCAACCCCGGCCTGCCCACCCCGGCCTGAGCCCACCCTGGCCCTTGGGTGGGGGTGGGGTGAGATGGGGGTGGGGTGGAGGGAGGGGCGGGGCAGAGAGAGGCTAACAGTAACTTGGGGGGGTGTCTCGCTGAAGATTGTAACCATTTACCATCGTTCATGTTGGTCAATGTCTCTCAGACGCACAGAGATAGTAGAGAACAAGAGACACGAGAGGGTTGAGAGATGTTTGTGGGGTTAAAGGGTATCAGGGGATACGGGGCCAAGGCGGGTAATTGGAGTTGAGGTACAGATCAGCCACGATCTAATAGAATGGTGGAACAGGCTCGAGGGGCTGAATGACCTCCTCCTGTTCCTATGCTCCTCGAGCTGCGATTTCAGGACAGACACCAGGAAGTGTTTCTTTACCCGGAGGGTGTTTAACAACTGGGATCAGAGTTGCTGGGAAGTGTGGCTGAGGCCAGGACACTGGGACTTGTTTAAAGAGACAACTGGGAGTGGGAGGGTGGGGGAGAGGGAGGCCGGGAGCGCGGGGAGGATGTGGAGGGGAGCAGAGTAAGAGGTGAGGTTGGCCAATTTGGGCGTCCAATAGATACCTGTTGCGCTCAGTGCCCACCCCACCACCTCCGAGTTTCGGGGTCGGTGCCAGGGCCTGGAGTAGCCGGGGATCCTGCTGTGTGTTTGCCCCCCCCTTTGCTGGTGAGGAGGGGGTGGGGGGGGAGGGGGCTTTGAGAGCTTTGAAGCTTCCGTTCTCTTTGACTGTGTCTCTCCGCCACACGCCTTCAGGTGGAAATCCTGTCTAAAAAAGAGGATTATAGCAAAGTGCAGTCTCGCTGCGGCTCCAAGGACAAGATCAAGCACATGCCGGGGGGAGGCAACGTGAGTACCTGCAGCCCCCGCAACCCCCCCCACCCCTCTGTCAGTCAGTCTGTCCGTGTGTCCGTCCCTGGCTCATTAACACCCACTGATCTCATTCACCGCCCGGTCGGCGCCCGGACCCCCACTCGGGTCTCGGCTGCTGCTGCTGTTCAGTGTTTGGCCGCGACGATTAATAATGAATTAATAATTAATAATCACCGGCCATTGTCGGAGGCTCTGTCCCTTCGGATGCCATGTCTCGTTGCCCCAGTTCCCTGTCTCTGCCCCGTTCAGGTGGACGTTAACGATCTCGGAGACATTGCTCGAAGAGGAGGAGTTTCTTTGTCTCTCTTTTCTTCCCCCCACCACCGCCCCCCCCGCAGTGTCCTGGCCGACAATCTCCCCCCACCCCCCACCCCCCACTCCCCCCCCCCCCGATAAAATCGCTTGATCGCTTCTCGGCTGTGTGTGGGATGTTGCTGTGCGCAAATTGGCCGCCGCATTCGCCTACAGAATGCACAGTCACCACACTTGTCAGCACTTCTCTGTCAGGTGCTCTTTGGGACATTTTGATGATCTTTATTATTATTATTATTATTATTAATATGCCATCTCAGCATTGAGTTGTCTGTTTGAACGAGTCCCGGACTCCTGGCCTCAGCCTCACTTCCTGGCAACTCTGTTCCCGGTCGTTAAAATAAAGTGTGAAGAAACACTTCCTGGTGTCTGTCTGCAACTCGAGGAACGTAGGGACAGGAGGAGGCCCTTTCTATTAGATCATGGCTGATCTGTACCTCAACTCCAATTACCCCCCCCATCCCCCACCTTGGCCCCCATATCCCTTGAGGCCCTTTAACCTCACAAACTTCTCTGAACCCCTCTTGTTCTCTGCTCTCTCTCTCTCTCTCTCTCTCTCTCGAGAGTATCTGTTCTGGGATTACTTGGTCAATCCCATTTAAAACCTTATCCAACTCTGGAAGGTGCTCTCTGATACATGACCCCCCTCCCCCCCCCCCCCACCTCCCCCCACCACCCACTCCACCACCACAAACCTCGGGTCCAAACCCCTGACTGTCCAGCGCCTTGGGACGTCGTTGGGTGAAGGTCATTGTGTTGTATCCCCTCGAGGGCGAGGGAGGGAGATGGGAAATCCATCTAAATTCTTGGCTCCTGATCGCCCTTCGGTGGACAGTTTGTGTCTGTGCATCTTTTTAATCTGATCTCTGGTCATCCACAGCTCAATGGTCACCCGATGACCAAAGCTACAACTTAACTTGAGATCCCTCTCGCTGACCCTTGGGGGTGAGTGGCTGGTGGTGGTGGTGGGGGTGGTGGGGGTGGGCGTGGGGTGGGGGGGGGGGGGGAGACCGGAGTTAGGTCAGGACGCAAACACTGAACAGAACCCAGTTTTGTTGCTTTGTCCATTCCTCCCACAAACCCCACACCCCACCCCACCCCTCACTCACTGCCCCCCCCCTCCCTCCCCCCTCTCCCGCTTGACCCTCTCCGATGACTGTGGTTCTGTCACCGGCTTACACGGTGCGAGGCCGCTGTAAGATCTCTCTCCCCCTCCTCCCCCCACCTCTCGCCTCCATGGCTTATCCTCCCGTTTGTTCCTTGGGATTCCCGTTCCTCCTGTTTCTCCGGTGGGATCTGATCTGGCCGGAGGTTGTTGGTGGTTTGGGATTGGCTCGGCTTGGGGGGCGGACTCTTCCTTGCTCCTCCCGGGTACCCCCGGAGAGGGAATGAGCGAGGAAATTTGGGAACCTCGTGCGTCAGGAGAAGCAGGATCCACTCTCGGAAAAATCCGTGCGTTCGGGGGCATCCGATCGAGAACGAAATCCGGAAGATAGCTTCGGAGCCCGGGATCCGGAACCATCTCTCAGTCGCTCGCTCCGGGAGTGTGGATGTCTGCGTGGTGCTCGCTGGCATCCGGGAGGATTCGCTTTCACAGTGAAACCCCCCCCCACCCCAACTCGCTGCATGCGTTTTTGCATGCGGGTCTGCGTGTGTGTGCACAGGCCTGTGGTAACAGTGACAGTAACGGCTCCGGCGCAGTGTTGCACGGGAGGGTGGGTGGGTCGCAGTCGGCTGCGCTGCCGCCTCCACCGCCCCCCCCCACCTCACTCCCACTCCCCCTCCTCTCCCGTCACCGGCACCGCCCCACACGCAGAGTGTGTTGGTGCGTGTGTTGGTTTGTGTGGAGTCTGTCTCTGCTCCTGAGCTTCCGTTCTCTTTGACTGTGTCTCTCCGCCACACGCCTTCAGGTGCAAATCCTGTCTAAAAAAGAGGATTATAGCAAAGTGCAGTCTCGCTGCGGCTCCAAGGACAAGATCAAGCACATGCCGGGGGGAGGCAACGTGAGTAGCTGCAGCCCCCGCAACCCCCCCCTCTGTCAGTCAGTCTGTCCGTGTGTCCGTCCCTGGCTCATTAACACCCACTGATCTCATTCACCGCCCGGTCAGTGCCCGGACCCCCACTCGGGTCTCGGCTGCTGCTGTTGTTCCATTAACTTGGAACCTGATCGAAGGGGTCGAGTTGATATCAGCAAAGGTTTCTCCTCTGTCTCTCTCTCTCTCCCCCCCACACACAGGCCCCCTCCCCCCCAGGTTCCAGTCCGCACCCTCTGTGTGTCTCCCCCTCTTCCTCATCCTCCTCCTCCTCGCCCGTCACCTTTGTCTTCAAAATTTCGGGCCATGGTTCATTCGTTCGTTCGTTCGTTCGTTCGTGACGCCAACGCTGAACAAATCTTCGATTGTGCTCGATCGATCGATCGCTGACTCTTCATCTCCGGGCTTCCTCCCCCCTCCCCCCACACCTCGCTCTCCTGCTCGATCCTCGCCGATGACCGTGGTTCTGTCACCGGCTTACACGGTGCGAGGCCGCTGTAAGATGGCTCCTCTCCCCCACCCCTCGCTCCGTGGCTTATCCTCCCGTTTGTTCCTGGGATTCTCGCTCCACCTGCTTCTCCTGTTGGATCTGTCCTGGTCTCCGGCTGTTGGGCTCTGGGATGGGCCGCGGTGTCCGGGGCGGTGTCTTCCTTGCTCTTCACGGGAACGCGGAGGGGAACGAGCGAGGAGTTTGGTTCGGCAAATACGAGCGGATCGGATAGTCACGCGGCAAAGAGGTCGAGAGGGTCGCCGTCTGGTCGATGATGGAGCCTGACCTGACCGCTTCCTCCCTTTAATCTGTGTGTGTGTTTTTTTTTCTCTCCTTCACTGTTTCGTTCAAGGTGCAAATTTTGAGCAAGAAAATTGACCTGAGCCACGTGGCCTCCAAGTGTGGATCAAAGGACAACATTCGCCACAAGCCAGGCAGGTGTCCTCACCCCCCCCACCCCCACCACCGCCCCCACCAGCCTGCACCAACCCCCACCCCCCCAACCCCCCACCACACACACACACACACACACACACGCGCGTGCGCGAGAACATCGACCTGAGGCGCTCCGGGACCCTACCCTGCATGAGGGGCGCGATATAAATGCAAGTTTATCCAGCAGTCAGCAGGAACCCGGTTGATTGGCAAATCATTTCCGGAGAGTAATAATCCCTCCCCAAAATAATAATAATAATAATAATAATAATCTGATCACTCCAACCCACGACTGTTTGTGGGAAGTCGCTGTGTGCAATTGGCTGCTCTGTTCCCCCCACAAAATGTACAATTTCTACCATATTCCTGTGAAGCGCTTTGAGAAGTCTCAGCGACGTGATAAGGCTCTGTTTCAAATGCGAGGATTATAATAATCCTCCCTTTTCCTCCCTCCCCCCTTTCCTCCCTCCCCCTCTCCCCCTCTCCCCCCCCCCCCCCCCCACCCCCCCCACACACAGGAGGAGGCAACGTGGAGATCAAGAGCCAGAAGCTGGAGTTTAAGGAGAAAGCTCAGTCCAAGATTGGCTCCATGGACAACATCACCCACACCCCTGGGGGCGGCACGAAGAAGGTGAGACCCCCTCCTTCCCCCCTCCCTGCCCTCGATGGACCTCGGGTTCTTACGTAGTGAGGAGTGGGGTCCAGGGGAGACCCCGATATCACTCACTGGATTCAGAACCTGCAAATGTCTGACCTCTGCCTCCCTCTCTCTGCCTCGCTGCTCGCTCACCCCTCCCCTCCCTCCCCTCCCCTCTCCTCTCCTCCCATCCCCAACCTCTCCTCCCATCACCAACCTCTCCTCCCCAACCTTCCCTCCCCTCCCTCCCTCCCTCCCTCCCTCCCTTCCCCTCTCATTCACATTCACGGCCTCATCTTGTTGTATCTCATATTTTCGTTCTCTCATTCTCTCTCTGTCTCTCTCTGTCTGTCTGTCTGTGCCCCGGGGGGTGGGGGGGAGGTGGGGATGTGGGATACGGGGAGCGAGTTGCTGCTTTCCTCCTTTGGCCTGATCTTCCCATTCCCCCCCCCCCCCCACCCGCTGGGGTTTGAGGGGTTAAAAGACGCTGTTTGTATCTATGTAAATTGACGTTGCCTTTTCCCACATGTTCCCACATCCATTTCACTGACGACTCGGGTTCTCTCACCAAACCCCCAACCCCGACTCCGGCAGCAGAGAGCGAACAGGAGAGAGGATTCGGCAAACGCCAGGCAGGGGGGCGCCAGCGGGGGGGCAGGGGCGGGACCGGGCGACGAGGGGCGGGGCACACCCACCGACCCCGCCCGTAGCCCCAGCCCCACCCCGGGCTCCGCCCAGTCCCCGGAGGACCAGTGAGTAAAACGCCTCGAGACCCTGCCTCGCTTTTCTCTCTCTCTCTCCACCTCCGCTCGCTCTCGGCTCGGATCCTCACAGCCGAGAGCTTTCTGCCTCTCGGACTCTCGGCTTCTTCATCTTCGCTGCCGGCGTCTCCACCAAACACCGCGGAGCCCGGGTTACACTGTAACGACGACGACAACGACCGCACTGCCTGACAGGCCGATGGAAACAGATTCAATCATAACTCTCGAGAGGCAATTGGATATTTACTTGAAAAAGCAAAATTTGCAGGACTTTGGGGAAGGAGCGGGGGATATTGGGACTAGTTGGTAGCTGTTTCCAACCCCGCCCCAGGCCGAATGGCCTCCTTCTGTGCCGTAGGATTCCATGATTCTCTGAACAACAAATCACACCTGCCTTTCACGTCGGGAGGACGTCCCAGAGGGTTATTGCCGGGTCCTGCGGATACAGGGAAACAAAGCAATGTTTAATATGAGGCTGTGTGTCAATCAGGGCTGTTGTGTTCAAGGCCATCAGAGGCTCCGGGGAGGTGGAGGGGTGGAGGGGTGGGGGCCCTTACGGAGATCACCAGGGGTTGAAGGGCTTTGATTCTCAGGGTTGGGGGCTGTTTTCAACTGAGCAAAGCATCGCTTGTGTCAATGGTGGAGGTGGTGGGGGGGGGGGGGGGGGGGCGGTGATGGTGGTGATGGGGGTGGGGGGGGGGGATGTGCCCAATCTCATGAGGTAGGTTTCCCAAGGCTTTGCTCCAAAAGGTTTGGGGGTGATCGCAGTACTATCCAAGGGGCGGGGGGGGGGGGCTCTCTAAACCACCAACCCCACCGCCCCTCCCTCGTGTAATACTGTGTGTGTTTGAGGGTTGGGGGGAGTGGGGGTTGAATTTCCAACTGAAACTCAAAGGTAATCTCATCCCTCCCCGGATTGGACTCTTGTGGCTGTTGCCGGTTGGGTTTGGGTTGGGTTTGGGTTGGGTTTGGGTTGGGTTGACCCTCGGTATTGCGGTCCGGCGTCGCCCTCCAGTGGCCCGACATAGAAATGACACCATTCGTTGATGCAAATCCGCTTTGGCGTCAATTCTTTTGAATGGGTTGAAGAAGAGACGGGTGGGTTCTCGGGCAATAAGGGGATTCGTTGCTATGCGGGAAAGGCGAGGAATCAGTGTTAAAAATATAATAATAATAATCCTCGCGTTTGATATAGCGCTTTTCACGTCGGGAGGACGTCCCAAAGCGCTTCACAGAACTCACTGTAAAGTGAATTGACTGTATATTTGTGGGCGAACGCGGCAGCCAATTGCGCACAGCAATGTCCCACAAAGTGTCGTAGATTGAAAATGACCAATTTATTATTGTTTTTGGTTTTGGAGGGATTATTATTAGGCTCTGTGTGGAGTAAGGAAACTTGCCCAAGGTTTCGCCCTCTGCCTGGAATTGAACTCAGGTCTCTCGCTCGCAAAGCGAGTGCTCTAACCACTGAGCTACAGGACTCCAAATTAGATCGATTTCTACTAGAAAATAATATCTGGGGCGACGGTGTATGGTTTGGGGGCAAGACATGTGCGAGAGATTGCCAGGGATGGCGGAAGGCGAACTAGATGGACCTCGGTCTTCTTCCACCGGCAAATTCTTACGTTCTTATGTAGGTGTCATGGGCCGAATGACCTGTTCCTATGTTCCTCAGTTGCTCGAAACTCTGCAACCCTGTCATTGCTCCGTGTGTTACACCGATCTGATGTGGCCTTGTTTCTTCTCTCTCTCTTTCTCTCTCTCATTGTCTTTCCATCTGTGTCTACCTCACACTGACTCGATTTGACCTTTTCATTCTCTTCCCCCCCCCCCACCCCCACCACCAGATCGAAACTCACAAGCTGACCTTCCGCGAGTCGGCCAAAGCCCGGACAGACCACGGCGCGGAGATTGTGTACAAGTCGCCCTCCGCTTCCCTCGAGGGCTCGCCTCGCCGGCTCAGCAATGTCTCCTCCACTGGCAGCGTCAACATGGTGGAGTCCCCGCAGCTCGCAACACTCGCCGATGAAGTCTCTGCCTCTTTGGCCAAGCAGGGCTTGTGACTGTAGTTCTGGGGCAAGCTTTCCCCCCACTTCCCCCCATCCCCACCCCTCTTCCCCTACCCCATTGACCTCCCCTTCCCTCCCAGCAGCTCGCAGGTGTCTAACATGAACTGGTTTCCGGACCGAAGCTTTGCTCCGAGTCCACTCTACCTACAAACAGGGGCCGCGATCAGACTCAGTCCGGACACAAGCCAAGGATTTCCGAGGTTTTATCAGTATTTCTCAGTTTTAAAAGGGCAGCTTTGGTGAGCGCGCGCGTGTGTGTGTGTGTGTGTGCACGTGTGTGAGTGCGTGAGTGCATGTGTGTGCATGTGCACCTCGTGTGTGAAGCAGAAATTCCATAGGCTCTTTTTCAGGAGGTGTTAATTCTAACGAAAGAGGACTTAGGGCCTTAATTCTGCGCCGATGGCAACCGTTATCCCTTTGATCGGTAGATTGCTGTCTCCGAGCTTTGCTGCCACCGTCAGTACAAATCGATTTACATTCACACAACAACAGATTTACCTTCGCACAACAACAACAACAACAGCAGATTTACCTTCGCGCGGCGCCTTTCATGTCAGGGACGATTTCTCAAAGTGGTTCCTTACACTTAATTTGCTTCAAACTCAGTTTTGAGCGGCTGTAGCCGTCGTTCCTCCTCACTGTGGGGGACGTACGGAACGGCGCGTGTTATACCAGAACATCTCAAAAGAGTTTCACGGGCATTTTACAGTCGATTCTGATTCGATCCAGTTTGTGAAACGCTTTGAGAGGTGGTGTTTTTCACCTGAAGGGCGCTGTTAGGAATGCAGTTCACTGCACGATTGCAATTGCTGTGAAGTGCAGTGACTGTGCAGTTGTCGGTTTGAGAGCCAATAACAAGGAGACTGTGGGAGGATTGGCAGAAGTTAAGTGAATCCAATTTATCAAATCCGAGGATAATAATCCTGTTCTGAAAAAGTAGTCACAATTAAAGTTTTAGCCAAATACTGACAATACAATGTTATTTTGCTCCTCTGACGCAGAGGGTTTCCCCTACGCTGTCCGACAGAAACACGTGGATAAAATAATCAGCGTTTTAAAAAAAAAATTGTGTGCGAATTTACGTACTGTCCCTGGTAATAGCTTTGATGTTGAATAATTGAGCAGTTCGCCTCCGAAAAGCCTATCGAATTCCCGCTGCACAAGGGTTGTTATGTCGTGAGAGAAATCCTGTTGTTACTGTAAATACTCTTTCACATCCTCGGGAGTGAGAGATTCCTCCTCCCCCTCCTCCTCCCCCCGGTGCTTTAAATCCCCAGGTTAATCATGTCGACGTCCTTTTACACAAGTTGTGCTGTTGCTTCTACTGATCAGTGACCTTCCTCTGGTTTCTGACATCCTTCCACAGGTGAGAGAGAGAGAGAGAGAGAGAAAGTGAGAGAGAGTGAGAGAAAGCGAGAGAGAGAGAGAGAGAGAGAGAGTACGTGATTTTCCCACTGGCTGAACACATGCAATGAAATAAAAGATCCCGATTCCCAGCTTTCCGACACGTTCCCCGCCGCGGAGGCCCATGAACATTAAGGCGGTTTCCACAAAATACGCAGTCGATTCGCTCCACAGCGTATCCTGTGAAGCGCTTCGAGACGTCTCGAAGACGTGATGAGGCGCCCTATCAAACGCCAGGAATCACCCTTCCCAGCTGATCCCCAGCCTGTGGTTTGGGCCGGGGTGTGAGGGTGGCACACCCTGCGCCCCCGCTCTTGGCCGTCAATAATTCCGATTCCATCTCTAACCCCCCCCCCCCCCACCCCCATTAGTCTCCCGCCTGTATCTCGCTCCCAGAGCATATTATGCCATATGCAAAGTCCCTGTGTCCTCGAATCAATTCCAGTCTGTAACTCACTCCCAGGCAGTTACTCTGTATAAAATCTGCCCTCAACCGCCTCACTCCTGGGGTACCCTTTACCTAAATAGAAGCTAAACTTGTTCCTCGTGATACATAACGTACACAGTATGTGTTGGGCTGTGAGTCCTGGTCTAACCTTTACGCCTCTGGTACAGGTTTTTGGCCAAAGAGGCATTGGCTATTCTAACACTGTTTAACAAGAGCTGATTAAGACTACGGCTTCCTCGCGGTTGGAGGAAACCAGGTTTAATGGTAGATAACGATGCATAACCTTGGCTGCGACCCGCCCTGTGAATAAATAGTGTTTGCATGTATTCTGGAGCTGAGAGTCGGGCAATGTGCAACTCTGGTCAGTGAACTGCTGTTTATAACACTTTGCACATCCTCCGTCCGCTCTCGGAACCCGTAAATATTGATTTCTCGTGGCTCTCATTCTTTTACTAACGCGGCGCAAGTCCATTTGTACGTTTGGCAGATTTAAAATTGTGGGGGAAGGGGAAGGCGGGGGTGGGGGAAGAAAGCAGAACCCCCCCTCCCTCCCCCCCATTCTCTCTCAGTCCCCCCCTGCCCGAAAAAAATTATGTGACGGCTGTCAAGTGCAGCAATCAATGGCAAATGTTACCGACGACATGGGTCAGACACCTACTTCCCCCCCCCCACCACCACCCCCTCACCCCTCCCTCAGGGCCTGTGAAGATTTTCCACGTGCAGTGTTGCCCGCGCTCTCTGGAAACGGAGCCATATCTATCGAACGATGCTGAGAGTTGGGTTGACTTAATAGCAGTGGGACGCGCAAAAAATTTGGGGAGCGGGGGGGGGGGCAACTGCCGATCAAACTCGCCGTTGCGTTCTGCCCACGAAATATACAGTCACTCCCACTTTACAGCGTGCGCTGCGAAGCGTTTTGAGGCGTCTCGACGATGTGATAAGAGGCTGCATCAATTTCCAGTTATTATTGTCGTCATTATTATTGTTATCATATCTCGATTCCCTGCATCTCTCGAGCAGATGGTGGTCTGTATCTCACCCCCAGATATTCTGAACCTGGGGAGAATCACCCGGGGGCCACAGGTCCCGGCCTCTGCGCCGCACGTTTGCGTTATCTGTGCCTCTCTCTGTTCTCCCAGACGTGAGCGGTGAGAAGGTTTTGATACGTTGACTGTGTTTGATTGTCTCTTTAAAAAAAAAAAAAAATTGTGATGAAAATGTTGGCTGTGTATAGAATCGGAGTAGGAAATATTGTGGATCAGTGAAATTTCTTTCTAAACAAACACGGTGTTTTAAGCCGGGACTGAATGAACAGGGAGAAGCCGCAGAGTAAAGCATGGGAGTGCGTCACGTGTGAAAGATGCGATGGGAGTTCCTTTGGAGCTCTATCCCACAGTCCCTTCACCTCGCCCCCCCTCCCCCACTCCCTCCCTCGCCCCCTTCAAGACCCGTCTCAAGACCCTGCTCTTCGATCACGCCTTTGGCCACCCTCCTACCCCCCACCCCCTCCTGATCCCAACCACCAGCTCGGGTCCAAATCACTGAGCGTCCGGTGCCTTGGGAAGTCCTCCCGACGAGAAAGGCTGTGCCCAAATGTGATCTGTTGTTGTTGTGATCCAGATTGAAGGCAGTTAAACTTGTTCAGACGCGGAGTGCCCATCGGTCTTGATTTGGGTCTGAGAGATCAATAATTGTCGGTTTATTGATTTGCTTTGAATGCTGTCGACCAAAACCGGATGAATTGTTTTTAAGAACGGAGTGGGTGAAGGTTTGGGTCAGAATTCTGAATGTGACTTGAGGTGGAGTACAAAGACTGGCGCAGACGAGCCGGGCTGAACGAAACGGCCCGTTTTTCGCCGTGACAGTCTGTGTGAATCTATGAATTCTGTCTTAATGAAGAGCAGAACGTTTGATGGCCGACACCTGATATCGATAGAGGGAGAGAGAGAGAGAGAGAGTGAGAGTTGACCTTTGTTAACTCGGTGACCGCTTTAACCACACATTTCAGCAGATCGAGAATAGCTTTCAGAGGGGCCGTGGATAGGTATTTAAAAAGGAAAAATTTGCAGGGCTGTAGGGCAAGAGAAGGACGAGGCGGTGGCTCTTTCAAAGCACAGGCCCCAAGGGGCTGAATGACCTCCTTCTGTGCTGTAAGATTCTATGAAGGTTAATTCTGCCGTCCCAGGAGCTCACTCTACATATCGTAGCATTGGGGAAAAGATGCCAACAGGATGCTGTCCATCTCTGTTCCAAGGCACGACAATCACAGGGACGCAAGCGAGCGACCAATCCCTCGGCAGTGCGACTGCACAATAATCGGCCCACCTCCAATTTGAGACCACTCAACATCGATGCGTTTTTTTTTGTGGCTCGACTCCGAAGCAGGAGATGAACAAAACGTGAGCCAGTTCACATGATGTGCTGGATGTAGGAGACGGGGGTTCTGCCCTGGTACCAGCGATCCTCAGGCTCAGTGCTTCGAGGCCTTGGCATCACAGCTCCCCCCCCCACCCTACCCCTCTCCCACCCCCAAAATGCTTTGACTTTCTCTGAGGAAGGCTAACATAAAACTGACGCTCAAAGTAGGATTTACATTGCGTTTCCGAAAGCTGATCATTTGCGATTGGGATTTGAGGGCAACCCGTTAACCCGATTTCCCCCACTGCGACACTTTGCTAACGTCTTGCCGTTTCACACTTTAGCTTCGCTTCTCGTCTGTGGCTGTCCATGATGTGACTTTGTGTGTTTTAATAACTGGTTTACATTGATAATTGTTGCTGTTAAAAGAGTTTGGAAATAAAGTCCGTATTACAAGACCTGCGGTTCGCTGTTTGACCACAAAGATACTGCGCCGGAGAACTATTGACCGTTGAATAAAAGCCATTTGGAGTCCTCCAGCTCAGTGCTCAGAGCGCTCGCCTCACAAGCGATAGGACCTGGGTTTGATTCCCGGGCAGGGCGAAACGTTGGGCAGGTTTCCACACTCTTGTTTATCTAGCAGTAAGTTGATTAACAACGATTGGCGGATGGCTTTTCCGGGGGTAATAATCCCTTCAAAAAAAAATTATAATTTGGTCATTCAATCCACTGCTGTGCAACTGATTGCCGTATTTCGCCCACAACACTGTATGATGCAGTTACTTTAAGAACACAACAGTCACTTACCAGATATGCAGTCGATGTCTCTGGGAACACCTCCTTGTTGTGCTCCACATGAAGAGCCATTTATAACACGATTTATTGAACAGGCAATACTGATTGACGGGTCTCAAATTCCTCTGCCTGCGATCGCATACACTTCACCAGCAATTGCGGGCTGTGGATTTGCGTCCCGATCATCTGGTGAACATGTGAACAGGGTCACCGAGCATTGAACCTCCCGTGAAAAATTAATTAAATCTTGAAATATACTTGAACCTTTAAAGACATTGCGCGAGGCTTTTACCAGAGCCTCTAACAGCCTGAACATCCCACAGCAACTTGCATTTATATAATGCCTTTCAAGCGGGTGTAGTCATGGGGGGGGGGAAGGTGGCCAAAGGCACAGTCGAAAAGGATAGTCTTTAAGACGTTAGAGGTTGAGGTAAGGAGTTTCAGAGATTCAGAGCAGAGGCTGAAAGCACAGCCACCGAGTTTGGAGCGGAGGGGAGGGATGTGTGAGCGGAAATCGGAGAGGAGGTGGGTGTGAGCGGAGTGTGAGCAGATTTGAAGTAGGGTGATGACAGGGCGTGAAGAGATTTTAAACCGAGTGCGAGGATCTTGAACTCAATCACTAGGACGTGTAGTTATCTTCTGGTTTGGGGGTGTGCAATTTAGTGCATTGCAGTATCTAATCTGAAGGTTCATTGCAGAGGAGGACAGAGGGTAAATAGTGATAGATTATAACCCATTGGCTGATGAGTTAGTAATGAGACGGGAGATTTAAGACGATCACAAAAATTGAAGGGGAGGGTAGGGAGGTAGGTAGGTAGACACAGAGGGAATTCTCTGCCGCAAATAGTAGTCCGAGTAGAGTCCATGAACTGATTTAAAAAGGAATTAAGATCGATGTTTGAAAGAGGATTATGAGAAGGGATGGTGGAGCGAGGAGAGAGAGATTAGAGAGAGTGCGATTAGACTCACACAGAGAGAAACACACCAACTGAATAGCCAGTTTCTAGGTTTAGGATTCTGGCAATCATTGTGTTTCTCCCACAAAATATAGTCAATTCACTGTCTAGTATCCTGTGAAGGGCTTTGAGACGTTTCAAAGACCTGACGGGCCCTATATCAAATGCAAGGATTTTTATTATTATGAATCAAGTGCCAATTAGACGAGATTTCTTTCGGGAAATAGTCTTTTGGGACACAGTATATGAGCAATTAAGTCAAAGAGGAAAGGTCTTCAGGCGCTACCCGAAGATGGGGAAGGAAGGAGCGAGGCGGAGAGGGGATAGAGGAACAGTGTTCCACAACGCGGGAGGCAACAAAAGATCTGCCAACGTTCACGATGGAGGAAACAAAAAAAGTTGCACGAAAAGGTTAAAGTCTTCAACTTTTTTTAATATTTTTAAAATTTTTAAACTTTTTTATAAGCACGGTCTGTGCTTAAACATTAGGGTTGATTAAGTCTTAAACAAAGTACTGCTTTTCTGGATGACGAAAAGCCTTCTATACAGCCAGGACAACTAGAGCCCATGCCTCCACACACAGCTTTCGAAAAAAGAGAGGAAAAAATATGTACAAAATAGAACATTTTTACAAGGCGTAAGGGCACTACAATCAAAGCAGTCAGCAACAATTTGTTTTTTTTTCATTTAACATACCGTATATAAAAGATCCAAAAAAAAAAATCCGATTTTTACATTTCTCAATGACTGTTTTGAGTTGGAAATTTACAGAGACAGGCACCAAGCTAAACAGAGAAACAGCTTTATACAGACACACGGGAACGGTTTACAGATGGAGAGAGCGAGACAGAGCGAGAGAGAGAGAGAGAGAGAGAGAGACAGACCATTGATCGATCAATCGATCGATCTGAAGACTGGATTCCAAACAAAATGAACGGATCACAAGAGGCCGGTGGAGGAAACAGCTGAAATGGTCACAAGGTGGCACAAGCGGAAACAGATCCTCCCTCCCTCCTCTCCTCGATAGAACGGAAGCCCCCGGCCACAGAACCTGCACCCCCCGCCCCCCACCACTCCCCACCCCACCGCTACGGCAGAGTGCGAAGGTGCGAGTGTCATCCCGGACATTCCAACGTGACGGGTGCTGACCGGCGAACACACGGTTTCAAGTTTTCAAGCAACATTTTGTCATGATTGTGTAAGCTTGAAACCTGAAAATGGAGTGGGGGGGGGTGTGGGTGGGGGGGGTTTCAGGTAGCGTGTGTATGGACAGGAGAGAGAGGAGGCAGGGATGACGGTATAATTGGGGGAGAGGGATTAGGGCGCAGAGACTTTCTTAATAGATAGCTTCCACCCCCCCTCCTCTCCCCCATGGCTACTTCAGTTAGACGTCGCCTCGTAATACGTAATTCCCCCCACCCCAAAAAAATAAACACCTCAGACTTGATCAGAACACAAACGAGAGACTCCAAAGTTCAGCTGCTGCCGTTGTCTGAAAACTCCAAAGGAAATTGCTTGTTGTAATATCAACTACTGTATACCTCAGCAGCAAAAGCAAATGAGACATTGCTATGTTATTTAAGACCAGGACTAGGATCGAAGCTGGTTTTCTAAGCATTACAGAGTTCCTAAAAATCCAACCTTTGCTGTATTTAGGCCTAACCCGATGCAAACTGCTGTAGACTCGTGGCGGTCGGCACCACCGCTTAACTTGGCAAAACCTATAATCGTTTCGTAGAAATCCCAGAGATATTTTGTTGGGGTGGAATGTGGGATAAACCCTAAACCTTTACACTCAATTTAATTAATCTTCAAACCTCCTTCTCGCACCCCCGGCTCTAATGTTTATGTACAGAAATCCCTTTGCTGCGGCATTCTCCACTATAACAAACCAAGTATAACTACCCCACTTCCCTCTTCGAACTAACCTGCTCCTTCCCCTCCCCTCCCCGAGCCAAACGCGGCTTTGCTAGAAAAGGACGCACTGTACTCAAGATATTTAAAAACCCCTCCTTACGTGGACAGCCCAAACTCACTAAACAGAAGTTACTTTAGACCTTCCACCAAGAGTTTGGCGTGAACAACTCCACTCAGTCCCGATAAGATTTCCCTCAGGTTCAAATACGTTTTCTTTGGTTAAACCACAGTCACATACGGAGGCAGCTCCTGAATTTCACAGATCTGAAGACCTAACAAGTCTTGGAGATGGCAGTAAACTCGCCCTCCAACACCGCCCTCCAAATTTCAACAGGTACGACTTCCCTCATTAAAACCCTGCGGCCATCATTTCAAAGCAGAACAGTCTACATACTGAACACCAATGCCATCGTTCATCCACAGCCTCTCCTTACGGTTGAACCGTTGCCCTAAACGACACCCTAAGCTGATGGGAAGTGTATACCAGATCCTTTGTCTTACAAAAGTCTGTCACCTAATTGCCCACGACAGGTTGCCCTAACATGGGTACAAATCAGTCCAGGTATATGATGTGAACTTCATCAGCAAATAATGATACGGGGATGAAAGCACCTTGAAACTCTCCCTTGCCAGATGGTCAATACATGTCTCATTGCACCTGCCTACTCAGACATACCAGAGATCAGTCTGTGATAAGTCATCTACTGCTTTCCCTACCCCCCCCCCCACCCCTATTGGAAGCTTATTCATTGCCCCTTTTCATTGCTATCTAACTCAACAGACATCTCTCAAACATAAGTGGGGGTGGGGGGGGTCAAGTGCATGAAGATCAGAAGGGCTTAGAGAGACTTGTCAGTTTACAGATTTCTCCTTGTGGGATCAGGGACTGAGGCATTGCTAGATATTATCTGACAGACGGAAACAGTGAGTATACAGACGTCAAGAGTGAAAGGGAGAGGGTACTGAGATACACCGAGTCTGACGAGAAAACAGCTTGGAGTTCTCTTCACTGGACAAAACATCCCCTCAACACCCCAGAGGGCTTCAAGACACCCTCATACAATCAGGGAAGGGGAAGGAGGTGCTGAACTGCCCTGGAAAAATTCCAATCTCAAAACTTCCACCGAGTGCTGTACATACAACCGTGCGATCAGCAACAACAACAACGAAAAAAACGTGCGATCACACAACTCTGCCACAGGCCCTTGTGCTGCCTCCCCTCCACTGTAGTGTCTCAGTACCTCAAGTGCCCAATTCATCTGCCCCGGAGATCAGCTCACAGATCACAATTGATTGTACACGGAGAATATCAAAATCCTTTGATTATTTTTTTATTATTATGGAATCCGTCGCTCCTTAGGAATTTGCCAAGATTTGCTACAAGTAATTCAGACTGGGACAAACATTTTATATCTGCAAGTGGTCTCTGGCTATTGAAGATTCTCCCCCTCCCACAAACCCCACCCTCACCCATCCTTCCTAACGAAAGCGCTTTGAGTGATAACGCCCACATTCACAATCTCCACGTCAAGGAAACTGCACAGTCTTATGCACAGACTGACCAATCAGTTACCTTCCTAACCTGGTCAAACAGGTTAAAGGCAGGAGATATCAGCACATTTAATGCGTTTGAACCTCAAACTGCAAGCAAACCCTATGATCGATACGGGAAGCTACCCAATTCCAACCCGGACAGTGCAGTTTCCTTAAAGGCAAAGTATTCCCCCACCCCGCGCCCCCCCCCCCACCCACCCACACACTCACACACATACCAAGACAGCAAAAACAGTAACAAAACAGCATGTACCAGCCAACCTGTGACCCTTCCCACTGATCGTGCTCCACTACTGATTTAAAGGGACTGACAATCACTATACGCAGTTCCCCAAGAACGGCAACCAAAGTTAAGTCAACTTTTATGTACAGTTCCATTAATACAGACCAACGCCTATGGAGGTGTTGGCCGCCCCAGCTTTTAACCCATAATCTAAACTGGTCAAACTAAATCTCTTTAATCGTGATAACTGTGCCCAGTGACAGAAAGTTTGAACCTAAGAAAAAGACCTACATAGACTCTAAATTCACTAAAAACTGTGAATTTTGTTTGTTTGGGGGGGGGAGGGCAGGAGGAGCGGGTGGGGGTGGGGGGGTGGGGTGCGATGTTTGAATATCAAACGTCAAGAACAAAGTGTAGTCACCACTAAAACTTGTTTTCCCTCCTGCTCTCTCTGCTCTATCTGTGTGCCAGTCGTAGGGGGAGAGAGTGTCTCTGTTTGCAGTCGGGCTGGAGGGTGGTTGTTGGAGGGGGTGGAGGTTGGGGCGGACTGCTCTCCGCCTCCTTGTTGGCCTTGCAGCTCCCCGAGGCTCTCCGGCTGTTCCGGGTCTGCCTGTGCCGGGATTCGGGATTCTCCTCTCGCTCCGTGCCCGGCTCGGACACCAGCGGGAACGTTCGCTTCTCCCACGGTAGGACGGTCTGGGAAACGAGCAGAGCACAAGAGTTAGTTACGAGCGCATCAAAGGGCATCGGCCACCGGCATAAAGGTAATAATAATAATCCTTGCGTTTGATATAGAGCCTTATCGGGTCTTTGCAACGTCTCAAAGCGCTTCACACAACACACTGTAAAGTATAGTGACTGTGTGTTCTGCGGGCAAAACACATCGCAGTCAATTCACTTGACCGTATATTGTGCAACACAGAATGCCCTGACATCTCCAGCCCAAGGTGACCTGGCATCAGCCTCAGCACTGGTGTTCCTAACCAATCATCACAGTGTCGCTTAACGACCGCTTAATGCAACGACAGCACGTAATGGAGAGAAAGGAAAAGCGAAGCACTGACCTGTTCCTCTAGACCACCGTCTGGAGTTGAACAGCGCGTATCCTCGTTTGAAATTCGCCGCACGTTCTCTCGAGACAGGGAACAGAATGCTGCGGACAGCGTGTCCGGGCTGACAGGAGGCGCAGGGGGGCTGTGAGGCGAAGGTGTGAGTGGGAGCTCTGACAGACTGTGAAAACTGACGTCAGGGGATGCAGACTGGGGGGTTGAGGGGTTTGTGTTGCTCGGCTGAGGAGTCGATTGTCCGTCTGTTGATTTATAGGATCTGTGGTTTTGGGAAACAAAATTAATCATTGGCGAGACGTACATACAATAATCCTTGCGGTCGATGTAGCAGCTTTCACGGCAGGACGTTCAAAGCGCTTCACAGGATTTACTGTAAAGCGCAGTGATTATTTTATACGTGAATTTATCAGCAGCCAATTTGCACACAGCAATGTCCCACAAAACAGTCATAGAGTGAATGGCCAATTTTATTTGGCTTGGGCACTGGGAGAAACTCCCTTCTCATTTCAAGGAGTCCCATGGGATCTTTAACATTCATCTCAACAGGCAGACAGGACCTTGGTTTAACTGTTTAATGGCAACTCCCACAACCCAGCACTGAGCGCCAGCCCTAGACCAAGAGATCCATGTCCTGACTGATGTTGCCCACACAGACAGACACACACACACACGCTTGTACGCAGCTTAATGTATGCGAGGGAGCTGTGTTAAGAGCCACGCTCTGCCGTGCTGTTACCTGCTTCCGCGCCGCTGAGAGCTAATGGGTGACGCAGACCACGAAGTCCACCTGGAACGTTCAAACTCCTCGCACTTTGAATGACGAGAAGCTATCACGGCATCCGAAAAATCCTCGATCTGCAACAGACAAGTTTGGGTTCAGCAAAACGTGGTCTTGGGTCAGATTTCACAGCCCCAAAGAAATCTACATTCCTTAAATTATTATTATTATGCCCAATCTGGAACAACTCCTCCTCTATCCCTCCGTCTTTCCCCTTCCTTCCCCCATCTTCAGATCGCACCTGAAGAGCTTCCTCTTCCGGCTGTGCTTACGGTCACCTCCCCCTCCCCAGGCTCGGCGTACTGCTCTGCCACTGTCGAGCGCTCTCGGAGGCTACCAAGCATTGAGTGGGCGCTGTGTAAATATAAGTTGTTTTTGCTTTTTTAAAAAAAAACTCCCCGGAACTTGCTTCTCTCTCTCGCCCCTCCACACTCTAATGTTTATCAGGTTACAGTTCCTCAGGCACGGGCTAGTGCCCTCTACACTAGATTTACTTGCGTCGAGTCTTGTCCAGTGGGTTTTGGTCAGAGGTAAGGACCAGGCAATGCCAGGCAAATAAAAAATTTGTTGTTGCCTTTACCCACAGCAACACACAAGAGCTTCGCACAAATCCTTACCTCCTCATGATCCTCTTCCTCAATTTTGTGGTTCGTTAAGTCTGCTTTTACACCGACTACACGCCAGCTAGGAAAGAAGACAAGGAACAGTTACTGCAGGTCGGGGTATATAAAGCCCCAGGACTCCTGAACCCAGTCCCCAGCCCCTTTCCCCAATTGTTTGTTAACCATAAACACACAACACGCACAGACCTTGGGGTCAGGATCTCCTTGTACTGCAGTTTCTCCACGCGGGTGGTGGCTGCCACGGACATTGGGATTACAATGTTGTTGATGTCGAACGAACTCTCTCCCCTCCTCCGTCGCACTGGTTGCTGATGAGACACAAAGAGAAAAGCTAATCGGAACTGTTCACAGAGACTCCACGTGTGGGTGTAGGAGGCCTGAGTTTCTAAAAACGTACCTCTCAGAAAGATTTTTTTTGGGACAATTCAATTAGGGTTTTAGTTAAAGGAAGAAATTGTTGAGCACAAAAGCCAACGAAAGGAGAGTCCAGTAGAAAGGGTTTCGAGAATATGAACTGTGTTGCCTCATTAGGCCGTCGATACACGAGTAAGGTGTTGGAGAGAAAGATAGGTAGGTAACTGATGAGTAAGAATATTAAAGAATTCGGAGAAATGGCAGGGGAGATGGGATTGAAGAGTTGGCACAGACTAAATGGCCTACAACGCTCAGATATTCCGAGATATGAATCTGGAACGTGTCAATTCCAGAATAAAATCCAGCGGGTTCTAGATACGCTCAGCCACCACTCAATGTATCCTGGGTTCATGTTAACTTACCGGCGTGTATCCCGTGCCCTGAGAGGTGCTGAGTGAGGAATTCTCTGACGACGTGGACAGCTGCCGCATCAGCGTAGCGTGCGAGGACGAGTGGGAGCTGACCATCGAGCTGTACCCCATGTCTGAGGACAGTTTGCCACCTGCAAACACACAGACACGTACTTACAATCGGGAAGTGAACGATGGATAAACAGTAATAATCCTTACATTGAATGTAGCGCCTATAATAATAATAATCTTTGCATTTGATACAGAGCCTTATTGCGTCTTCAAGACGTCTCAAAGCCCTTCACAGAATATACTGCAAAGTGAACTGACTGTACAATTTGTGGGCTGATCTACAACTTTCTGATCTACAGGTGCTAATGGGACGCCTCAAACAGAACCCAGTAGTGTAAGATCCTCCCAGGTTGTTTTTGATGTGCTGAGGTCAGGTTTGTGTTTGATTATAAACAATAAAACACACCTTCTGTGTATTCCGCTGAGTGTTCCCGCTGCCTCTTCTTGTTCTGCAGTCTCTCGGGCCCGTGTGTGTTGCACGAGCTTCCCAGCTTAGAGACACATAGTAGATCATCAGAGTGCTGTTTAAACGTCTTCTCTGTCCGATTCTTATTGTGGGAATATTCTGCAAAGGAGAAGCAGAGTCTTTAAAACCTACACCTGCCACCAATCGATTGTCCCCTTGTTTGAAAGGCTCAAGATCCTGGGAAATGGAAGCGCTTGGTGCTCAGTGACTTTAAGAGAGAGACAGACACACACACACATCTATACACATACAGAGTGAGTGAGAAGGGAAGTGTCTTCAAAAATATTCAATACTTTAAAAGACAATCCAACTGCAAAGGATCATCAACATTGCCCTCTATAGCGCCCATCATGTAGGACAACATTTAAGTGCTTCACATTGGTGGAATTGGATGCCGAGCCGGGGTGCAGTGAGGGGTGGGGGAGAGAGAAGAACGGTTCAAACTCCTGACCCTCAGTCTTACAGGGCAGAAATCTCTGGGCAATAACGGGACTCAGGCAGAAAGAAAACAACATCCTCATACTTACTGGCTGAAGTGAGAATGGAGTTGGCCAGTTTTCGCGATGGGTCTGACAAGCTGCCCGTTAGCAAGCCACGGTGCTTTAGTGAGAGCTTTTTGGAAGCTTTGCTCCTCTCCAGTGGTTTATTTTGCCAATGGCCCTTTAGCAAAGGCTGGAAGTGCGTGTTTAGTGGGATATCTGAGGGGAAACGGAAAGCACAAACGTTCACATGACATAAAATATTTGACCAATTCACAGAGTAAGACTGGACTTCACACGACCTCACAGCCATGGAACGAAGTAGCACCCACCAAACTGAGGCCACAGAGCTCTCATCAGCCCATATATAGTGGGACTTGGGCTCATAATCTCAGTCGATGCTAGTGCAGCACGGAGTTCAACAACAGCAGCAGCATTTATATAGTGCCCCCTCATGCAGGGTAGCTTCTCAAGAGCGCTTGACAATGGCGGAGCATGACACTGAGCCGATTCATAGGTGTGCGGCCCTTTGAACAAGACCGAAAACTGTCTGCCTGGGTGGATGTTGAGAGTTGCACAGCACAATTACAGAAGAGTGAGGAGTTTCTCTCAGTGGCTTGACCCATCTCTCTCTCTCGTCCAAATTCAGCAAGATATTCATTTGTTTCCAATGTAACTAATTGACCAGGTATTTTTGTTCATAGGAAGTCTACAGCACACTATTTGGCTCACTGTGCGTATCTCTGCTGGTCCGAGCTCTCCCACTGGAGTCATTTTATGCCCATTGCCCCACTCTTCCCCCACTGTACCCGCGTTGGTCCAAATTACTCCCAATTCCCCACAATATCTCACAATGCTCCTTTTCTGGTGATGGGGGGGGAGGGAGGGGAGATTTTATGACCGCTGTCAAACCCTATTTTTAAATCCTCTGGTAAGCAGCATTTAAAAACAGATGGCGAGAACCGCGACGTGCCTCGCTGTTCAAACGCTAATCCAATCAGCGCGCGGTCAACTTGAGCGGCAACAGGCGGCCAGAGGCGGCGGCCCTTGCTGGCCGGCTCCCCACTTGGCCAACTCCCCCCGCGTGGAGGAGAGGAGTTCCGCAGCCGAGGCTCTCCTCTCTTTCGCCCCTCGGATTGAGCTGCAGTTCCCTCCAGCTGCCAGAGGATGGAGACTCGGCAAGTAAACAAGACAGGACACCCGTGTCTTGAGAGAGCTCCAGGGGTTCGGAGATTCAGGAAAGTTCCTGTTTATAATCTTCATCTGGTTCAGACCGCACAATACCCACCGCTTGGAAGGCGTCTACGTGACCAGCTGCGGATGTCATCTGATTTCCTAACCCATTTGGTAAACACTTTCCGAGCGGGAACGTAACTGGGCTTCGGATAAATTAGGTTTTTTTTAAAAAAAACAAGTGGAATAATAAACTCCAAGGCCTTCCCAGCTGTCACCTTGCTGATCCGCCCCCATCGCTCGGCAAGATTAAAAGAGGATTATACCAACGGCCCTCTTCATTCTCTGTACACTACACTCTTACCAGCACCTCTCAAGAGACTTAGATCACGTGCTGGGGAAATGGCAGTGCGGGAATTAGAACCGGCAAGTTGGGGAACGAGCAGGGGAATAGGAATAGCCGCAGCGGGAAAACTTGTTTCCAGGGATTCTTGGCCGGTTGAGTTGCCGCCTCGGGAACACGTACCGTCGGAGAAGGAGAGGACCGGGTGCAGACAGGGATCTAACAGTGCCAGGCGCTCCGACACAGGCATGTCGTAGTGATGCTCCTGCGAGACGGGATTCCTGGAGCCGCACATGATGCACGAGGTGGTGACGTCACAGTTACACTTCACTGTGAGGGGACGCTGCACCTGCCAACAGCAAAATAAACCACGGTCAACAGCAAAAAACAACTCACTCCTCACTCACACACGCGCACGAACCAAGACACACACACCGCAATAATTTAACGCAGTACGTCACGTTACTTCAATTATCACGTCAACAGCACTAAATCAAGAGGTTCGCTGCATTCCTCGTTTGTTTTTAATCAATTAAATCCTGTAATCGCGGTCGCTGGGGCTTTCCCGAGGGCAAGTTCTGACAGCTGGTCCAGATCTCGGCTATGTTCACAATCATCACATCTCAGGAAGGCAACTCATGCATCTCGCAGTCTTAGTCCCACACCCCAGTGCACTGTCGAGAGGTGTACACACCGACACTATTTTAGCCCTGATGTAGCATCTTCAGCAATCAATCTTAAGGTGCTTCAAGTCTATTTATTTGTAGGCAAATGCAGCATTCAGATTTATAATAATCCTTTAATTTGATACAGCGCCTTATCACACCTTCGAGTCTTCTCGAAGCGCTTCACAGAATATACTGTAAAGTGAATTGAATGTATATTTTGTGGCTAAGGAAACAAGGTTATGGAAACAAGACTCTATAAACAGCCATAAAGTGAATACCCAGTTTACCTGGAGGATTGTCGACCGGGTGCAACTCCCTTCTCTAATAGTGTCCAGCGATCATTACCACCCACCTGAACAGGTTTAACTTTGCAATCCGAAAAACCTTCCGACTCGCGGACTCAAAAGGTGCAATTGACTGAACCAAGCTGAGTAAGTTCACAACTTAGTTAATTATTCTAAACATCATGGCTCACCTTCCTGCTGAGAGGTTGGACATTGTTGGGCCTGACTAGCCTTCGCTTCTTACAGCTCAGCACTGGACGGGCTCTGGCTGCCACACAGGTGTTATCGGGAGGTGCGGGCAGCATGATTAGCCTCTGCTTCTTGTTCAACAGCTCCTCCGCATCTGAGCTGTCGGTGGAACTGCTGTCCGGAAGCAGGTTGTGGACACTGCGGGGAAGGAAGAAGTTATAATATTAACAATAATAATCCTTGCATTTGATATAGCGTCTTATCACGTGTTCAAGACGTCTCAAAGCTTACGCCTAACGCCTGCATGTGATCTGTATCGTCACCGACTCTCCCAGTGAGTCACTACACGTTGAGCTTCCCTCTCCTTCCTAAAGGCAATCGAGGGATCACCAGCACAATTCAACATTTCAATCTAAGTCACTCAGCGGCGGCCAACACTCTCCTTGATACATTCCCAATTTCCTTAAAAAGAAGGAAACTCCTACAACTAGGAGGTGTAACTAACTCTACACTACAGCAACACCTTACCTGTTGACCACTCCGTTGACCGGCCTGGGGTGGATGCAGGGCTTTGTGGGTGTGAGCTCCGTTGGTGTGGAACACGTGGTCATATTTTCTACAGGATGAATAGGGAGAAGGACCTGAAAAGAAACCAGAGGTAAGGCCAGATATTCTAGTCAGACGGGGCAACCAGAAGCAGCACATTAATCCACACACAAAAGTTACAGTACAGAATATGTCCATTTGCCCTCATCATAGCTGTGCAAAAAGATTGAACCGTTTAGTCCAATCCTCTTGCCTTTTCCTTACAACTTTCTATATATATATATGTTATATTTGATAATCCTTTCATTTGAAACAGCGCCTCATCACATCTTCGAGACGTCTCAAAGCCCTTCACAGAATATATTGTAAAGCGAATCGACTATGTTTTGTGCGTGAAACGCAGCAGCCAATTGCGCACAGCAGTGTCCCCCACAAACAAGTCTACATTTCTCCCTTTGAAATATTTAATTCATTCTTAAAAGCTAATACGGATTTTGCCTCAAGCACCATTTTAGGCAGGGCATTCCATATCCTAACAACCCTGCGTGTGTGTGTAAAAAAAAATCTAATCTCTTCAATGGAAACAGTTTTAAGACTCCTTAAAAACCACGGCACAGGCTTATCGAGCCTCACTGCCCACACTGGAGCCATCCTCTCTAATCTGAATTTACTGCTTTGTCCGCGTACCGTGGTATATTATTGAAATACATATTTAATTCTCAATCAAAGGTCGTCGGTGCCATCATTAAAGCTGCTACCCGCTGAAGGGCACAATAAAGTGGATGCAGATCAACTCATCCACTGCTTTGTAGAACAGGCACTGAAGCGCAGCTCACATTACTCCCCTCAGATAAACATCACCTTTCAAATCCAACCCGTTTAATAATAATAATTTAATAATCCTTGCATTTGATACAGCGCCTCCTCACATCTTCGAGCCTACGCTGTAAAGTGAATTGACCGTGTATTTTGAGGGCGATGTTTACCTGTTTACCCAGGATTTTGGGCAGTGAAGACGGATTGCTGCCCGGGCCATTGGCCTTCACTTCATTGTGAGAGACGCAATCGACGCCATCTGGGTTGCTTGCTGTAAGCCGGCTCGAGTCATCTGGGGGTGCAGAATCTCCGAGCGCAATCGAACCCTACGGGAAAACATTTAAGATTCAGTGCCACACTTTTTCCGCTGCAAGGAAAGGATATCACAAGGTGGTCGTTGGGTGGGTGTTTCCAATGAGTCCAAACCGAGGGACATAAATAAAAGGCAGCCAGCGGTAGGTCTAAAAGGGGAGTTTAGGAGAAACCTCTTTACGCAGCTGGTTTGAAAATGTGGAACTCACTGCTGGAAACTGTGGCTGAAGTTTCAATGTATTTAAGAGGAAACTTGATGCATATGTGAAAGACCAGGGCATAAGAGGGATAATAGGAGAGGGGAATAGAGGCTTGTGCGGCCTATAAACACTGGCATTGACCGGTTGGACCCAATGACCTCTTTCCAAGCCATATATTCTATGTATCCTCCCTCCCACCTTACTCCTCGATTCCAAACCCCCAGCTTGAATGCAAACCCCTGACTGTCTAACACCTTAGGACATCCTCCCAACATGAAAGGCGCTATATAAACATCATTTGTTGTAATCTACGTTGCATTTTCCACCACTTTTGCATTATCATCATTACTTTTGCCCTGGAATCCCAGAAAGCTATTTGGACCATTGTATCTGGTGCTCGCTCCCCCCACCCACTGGAGTCACCTGATCCCATTCCCTTGCTCCTTTCCCTCCTCATCATGCCTATGATCATTCTAAGTATCCCTGGATCCATCTGCTATATTCCCATTCCCCTGCTCTTCAGAAAAACAGTCCTCAAATCGAGTTCACTTTAGCCTGGATTCAACATCTCTCAGTTTACTTAGCTCAAAATGTGCTACAGATATCGACTTGGATTGGACTAAATCTATAATTGTAACACGACTTCACAGTTCACATGTGCACAGAATAAAGATTTCATGAGCCTTATACTTTTGACCACATTCTAGTGGATAAAATAAAACACAGTGTACCGGGATCAAAAGGTTCACATCAACCAACCAATCATTCATCCATTCAGTTCTCCTGAAACCAGAGTGACAGCCCTGTCCAGTGACATAATCAGTACTCACAGCTTAAGCATTGCTCAACCAAACCCACACTGGCATCTGAAGATGCTTGGGACAAGGTCAACAGCCCTGTGCATTGATTGAGGGACTGAAGCAACTGACTCACGATGCGTCTCTGACTATAACTCATCATAGAAATTTACAGCACTGAAGGAAGTCATTTGGCTAACCGTATCTGTGAAGGGTTTCTGAAGCTCTCCCTTTGCTTTCACTCCCCTGCCCTTTCCCTCACGCCCTATGAAATGTAAAAATATTCTTCTAAATCTTCACTGTGCTTTTTGGTAATGTAAATCTTATGCCCTTTAATTAGTGACTCACCAGTTAGTGGAAAGAGTTTTACCTGTGTACCTCATCAAAGCTCCCTCATTATTTTCAACACCTTTCTAGCAGGTCTCCTAGTATTTCCGAATCCCACTGAAAAACCTCTAGTTTCTCTAGTCTCCCCCTTACAAGACTGTGATGCTGAGTTTCTCCCCCATTTTGAGGAAGGGAGAAGGGAGGGAAAGCAAACTTTCACACCAAGAAAAACAGAGAGAGACGAGAATTGTACGTTCACAAGAAATGTGCAACCATCAGCCAACAATCGAGATTAAAAAAAAATCCAGGATATTACTAAGGATCCAGTTTCCTTGACAACTCTGCCCTCACAGTAAACCTCTGATTAGCAATTTGATAAACAGGACTGCATAACGACTCTGACACACACCAACTGTAAGATCCCTTCCGGGAAGATTAGAAAAATTCAAGGTACACTTTCAACATTAAATACAATAATCCTTCATAATAATAACAATCCTTGCATTTGATATAGCGGCCAATCACGTCTTCAAGGCGTCTGAAATCGCTTCACAGAATTATACTATAAAATGAATTGACTACATATTGTGTGGGCGAAACACGGCAGCCAATCGCACACAGCAGTGGATTGATTGAGTGACCAAATTATTATTTTTTTTTGGAAAGGTTATTACTCCTTCACTTTACTTGTAATTCCAGTGTGAGATCTAAACAGAGCAATTTAATACGTAAATAAAAAGGATTTCCCCTCCTCCCCACAGAGAAACACAGCAAGAGGTTCAGCAACGTCATGAAATACTTTAACTGGGAGTCACGCAGATTTACGCCATAGATACATCATTCTCACCACGGATCACATTCAAGCTGGAGATTGAGCCTGGCAAGTGGAAACCAAGTTGATTTTTTTTAAAAGGAGTAGAACCATCCTTTCAACTTCCTTAATGAAGTTTACTTTTCATAGGAACAGGAGGAGGCCATTCAGTCTCTCGAGCCTGTTCTGCCATTCTGTTAGATCAAGGCTGATCTGTACCTCAACTCCAATTAACCGCCTTTGCCCCATATCCCTTAATACCGTAACTTAACAAATATCTATCCACTTCAGTCCTGAAAATTTGAGTGGATCCAGCCATAATCCACAGCCTTTTGGGGGACAGATGACTTCGTGGGTGGGTAAAGGCGCTGACCAAAGCAGTACTGAGCCATGTGGACCGAAAAAAAAACAGACTGAGACACTCCCTCACACAGACACACACACACCCAAACCTACCTTGTTGGCCCGGATTTGCCTGTAGATGTCTGTCTGTTGCCGGATGCGGTACTCCAGATCTGATACGTGAGCCTGAAGCCAGTTCCAGCGACTCACAATCGCGGCTCGTTCGACAGCCCACCTCCATTCTGATCGTTGCCGTCTGAAAACCAAAATCAGAGAAACGGTAAATGCCAGTGGGCTGTTGCCATAACTCAGACACAAGCTAGAAGCCAGGACATAATAATAATAATCATAATAATCCTTGCATTTGATATAACGCCTTACCATAGCTTCAAGATGACTCAAAAGCGCTTCATAGAATAAACTGTAAAGTGAATTGGCTGTATATTTTGTGAGCGAAATGCGGCAGCCAATTGCACACAGCAGCGTCCCACAAACAGTCGTGGATTGAGTGACCAAATTACTATTTTTTTTGGAAGGGATGATTACCCCTGGAAAGCAATCTGCCAATCGACTAACAATCGGGTAACTGCTTACTGCTAGGTAAACAGAGGCGTGTGGAGTAAGGAAACTTGCCTGACCGGGAATCTAACCCATGTCCTCTCGCACAGCCTAGAGGTGAGATACACAAGAACAATAAAAAATTACATGGATAGAGCGCCTTTCATGTCAGAGGGATGTCCCAAGGCGCGGGACAACGGCCATTATCTGAGCTCAACCCCAATTCGGGAAGCTAACCTTCCATTTCATATCAACTTGGGGTTTCTCCAGGCTTCAATGGAAAGTTTCAGCAATGAGGTCGTTGGGTAAATGTTTGCCAAATTCCTTGGATTACGCGTTGAATTCATGACCTCATTTAAATGGAACAATTTATACACGAGAAGGGAAGGATACTCAGGGCACGTAATCTATCAAGTTATAGATCAATAAGCCAACAAATAACACTGGTATCACAGCATGCTGCAATGGGATGATAATCGCAGCTTCTCATATATTCCTGCTCACAATCACACTGCTGTGGGGGAAGTGTAGGCACTCCATTGGGTACAAGGGTTTTAACTCTGGGTTAATCTCACACCCTTTCCAGCAACAGGAATCCTCTGTCATTACTATCCATTGGTACTCACTGAAAGTCATTTGGAGTTCATTAACCATTCCATCCCTTGAGAGACTCGTGATATTAGCCAAACTAATTTGCTTACTCCTGGAACTCTCGTCCTTTGACATTCAATCGTATTCTCTGGGAAAGTCTACCGAGTATTGCTCAACTGATAAGATACGACATCGGGCCATTGATGTCTCTGCCTATCGTTCAGGGGGATCCTGATACGTTTACTGGCCTGAGTGTAACCCTGAAAATGCAGGACGTGACCATTAACCCCGAAACATTCCAGCCCCGTAGCCATTACAAGATGAGTTACTTTGTGGAGAATACAGCCATGTCCAGTAAATGAACAGGAATAGGTGGAGCCCATCAATCCTCTTCTTATTACATTTTATTAAATTGTGGTAGAGCTTTTATTCCTACTGTACCCCTTCCATATTCAATAGCCTAACTTTCCGTGCACCTATTGCTTGATCCAAACATGTTATTCAAGAATTGTACAAGTCTCACAACCCATTATTGTGGATGGTTAGCATCCACCCACACAAAGCACTAGGCTATTGCTAGCTAGACAAATCAGATCTATAGATATCCCGCCTGACAAAATCCTTTCAGGCATCTTACAATGAATACACAAATTAGATTCTAACTGCAACTCACTACTCCTGCTTACTCCCTGGCTCCGGCCTCCTGCGTGTCCCTCATCCCCTCCGCTCCACCATCGGTGGCCGCGCTTTCAGCCACTACGTCCCGAAACTCTGGAATACCCTTCCTCTATCCCTCCCACTTACCCCTTCCTGCCCCAACTTCAGGTCATGCCTGAAGCCCTTCCTCTTCGTCCTATCATCTTTCCCTCCAGTCGGGTTCCGCCACTGTCGAGCTCTCTGGGATGCTGACCTGCGTGAGGGGCGCTATATAGATGCAAGTTGTCGTCGTCGTTGGGCATGCGCGCATCCATGCGTCCACGAACAAACCACCCAATATCATTTGACTCGATCACAACCTCAAACCAATGTCCAATATCTATGCTTCTACTTTTAACCTGAGCTCAACAAGCTCACGTTTCCTGGAATCAGCTTAATCTTTTAAGGGTTGTTAAAAAGCTGAAAACCATTTGTGCTTTGAGGTCACGTCTCGCACCACCAGATGGGACTTCTGAACTGCAGAGCCAGCTCGGTCAGGTGGAGCACACTGAAATAAACAAGTTTGTACCATTACGTGAAACAGATTTTGGTGAGTTTCAGTGAGTTATTGACATGCTTTTCTTAGATTTCAGCGGGGAGGAATTGGGGCACAGTGTAGCATGCACGTTCTGTCGTGCGTTTAATAGAAGTAAACCTCATTCAGCATTTATATACACTGCCACTAACTTATTCTGCTCTCCATTGAAAGGCACAGTCGAGGTAATGTTAGCGTCCTCAAAAAGGCAGTAAATCTCTGGCTCACTTGCAAGTGCTCCACCTGCTTCAGAACTCATCACTGTTGACAAATACCTCGCACACGAACCGACATCGTGGTTCGTACAGAGCTCAGAAATTCAGCAGCAACCGACCGGTCTAGACAGTTATAATGCAAGTCATTATGATGCTTCAGCTGACTAATTCTGGGAGTTTACATATTATGTTGTAAAAGGGATGAGGCAATAAATAAGGCTGGGAGAAACTGCAACTGTACGGTAGGAAAACATCAGTCAATATTCTAGCGAGGGCACTCAATGCTTTAGTCAAGAAAATTGAAAATGCATCAGTTTTGGAATAGATCTGCAAGTCTTTGCAAGCCCCAGCACAAAAGGTGCAGTTTTCTGCATCGGCCTCTGCACAGGAATCGGATTACACAAGGTCAGCTCGTCCACTGCGGGTTCAAGTCTCATTTATTGTCTGAAGGATACGGTGTGGTTACGAGAGACAGGCTCTTTACAGTTTACTCTCTATCCGGCTGACTCCTCTAGTTCAGCACCATCTCTCTTTTACTTAAGACTTGCTGTTACGCTGTGTGCAAAAGAAGAAAATACTAATAATCCTTGCATTTGATATTGTGCCTTATCACGTCTTCGAGACACCTCAAAGCGCTTCACAGAATATACTGTAAAGTGTAGTGACTGCGTATTTTGTGGGCAAAAAGCTTCCCTCCTCACTTGCTTCCCAAGGAAACTGGTGACCTGGGTACCATTACCAACAATACTGTATTCTGCCCCATTTCAGAAAGAGTAACTTTTCCAGATTTTTACCGCTGTAGTATCAATGCCATTGACTTATCAACAAAAATCTGTACCGCACTACCTATCTTTGAAGTTCTAGTACTAATGCCATTATAAAACACCAGCGTCTGAGAGCTTTAAATGGGGCGGCTGCAGAACAGATACTGCACTAAGCCGAGAGTCGCCTCCACAGTTGACGCACCAATGTATATTACGGACCACCATCACGACAGAGATCGAACCTCACCCAGTCTGCTGATTACATCGAACCACAGTTGTGTTGCAGGTCTGCACATGTCGCTGACTCTGATGGAAAGGTTCCAGTGCCAACCAGAATGTTGTCAGATCCAATCGATTTGTGTGTTGTGCCCACCTGCTGTACTTGCGTGCTGTACACCCGCTTGGTTGGTGGGCTGCTCACCCTCCACTAACGTAACACGCAACAGTTGAGGCCTCTTTGACTGAAGCTTAAGGATGGACCCCGTACAGCTCTGCAAGATTATTAAAATTATGATGGGGTGAACAGTAAATGATTATATCTACCGGGTAATGAGGAAGCGGGATAATGTGAGCCGGCTCACATTATAGAGAAAAACATCCGCGGAGATGATGGACTGAATTGATGGTTTCTCTGCTACTTTGCTCGGATTTTATGAATACAGTCGTCGTTGTTCCTTGAATTAGCATCTTCGGAGCGAGAGAGAGAGAGAGAAAATACACACATACTCATTGTGTAGATCATCTCGCTAGGGCGATTCATTTAAATGAGATATATGGGTTCATGAGCACTTTTTACTGTGGTCGCCAGTGTAATAACTTTGCTCAGTAATTGGAGAGAGTGCACTAAATGAAGCTGGATTAAATTGATCCACCCTGATATGGAAAGAGCAATTCTGCTTCACTGATGTAATCTCAATGCCACTGCCCGGATATAGCCGCTGTGTGACCAAGCTCCGTTTACGAGTTTGACTTGATCAATAGAACTGACTTGAAGTGGGCACAACACAGGAATGAGTCTCAGCAGGTCAGGCTCCAGTGTCCTGGGTATAAAAACTATTTTACTATTCAGAGGGGAAGTGGTGTTAGATTGCACTGCAGGCACAAAGCGAGACAGTGGGTAGATAGTACACGCTAAAAACAAGGGGAAGGAATCTGCATGTCAGTGTCCATTTGACTTTGAGTGCACTTCCAGTTTATAATTGGCTTGTATTTCAAGTCAATAATAGGTGGGTCTGGGGATACAAAGGCACAGGAGGCAAAAGAGCACGTTAACTAACACTTACACTGTCTTCCACACTGAATCAGATCACAGAGGGGAAAGATTTGAATACTGGGAAAGGAAAAGTAATGACTGCGTGTGAAACAGCACCAATAATCATACCAACAACGCATGCGTCCGAAAGCACTGCGTTGCGCAGTGCATGGATTGTGGGTACATTTTTGCGGGCGAAAAGTCGACAAAACACAATTAGATTGCTGGGTTTTCAAGGGTTTGGAAGACAGCGGGCGAGGTGAAGTGGTTTTGGAAAAGGGTTGCCCCAGAGCGGTCAGGGCGTTGGCCCGCAAGCAAACCAGAGTCGGGCTGGGTCCACAGTGGGTCTTACGGCGGACACGCCTGAAGCGATGTGAAACCAGCAATGTTAGTTACCGGCTGGCACCATGGTTCCCATGGGAATGGAAAAGCTGCCCACAGCAAGTTAATTTGACAGAGAGCCACTCCAGTCTTATCACCTGCTGCGCTGCAGTGTAAACAAGGAAAACTCCAATCAGCCCTGCGCCAGGCACGGCAACCCACCCACTGCAAAGACAATGCGGTCGATATAATAGAATCATTCATCCACAGCTATACACCAGCCTTTCAGTTCTACATGGGATATGCAAGCACGGTGCATGATGC